TTGCGCATTGGTGAGGCCGGTCCAGTCTGCGTTAGTTTTACCGGTGAGGAAAGTGTCCGCAGCCTGGATGGTACTTGCCACAGCGGAGCCGTCCGCCCCGGTTTTGATGTTGAGCTTCGCGGCGAGCAACTGCGCATACAGCTTGTCGATTCCGTTGCTACCGGTGGTACCCTCGATCTTGGCGGCTTCAGCTGGATCAGTCACCTGGCGGCTGCCAAGCGAGATCGGTAGTAGTTCCGGGGGGCCCTTGATGACCTCAATGTGATTCTTCCAGTACCCGATCGTCCGCGTGCAGCCACCACCGCCGCCGCCGCCGCCGCCGCCGCCGCCAGTGCACTTGACCGTCACCGTTGCCGGATCACTGGGCCCGGGCGACCCGTCGTCGTAGGTGATGGACGCGGTGTTGGGATTATCTCCCTCGTTAGCACAGGTGAATGTGCGGGTGTACGTCGCCTTTCCGTCATCGGAGAACTGCCCTAGCGAGCCCTGGAGGGTGTCGGACACCGTAACGGTGTTGTGCACGAGCGTCTCAGTCGCTGGAATCGTCGTGGTGGCGGCCTCGTTCGGCCCAAACGGTTCTCCCAAGTGCCCGGAGTGATTGATAATCGTCGTATCAGCCGTCACCTTGTAGGTGCCGCTGTTGGCGCTCGGGATGTTGGTGCTATAGGGGTAGCAGTGGCTCTCCCCGGCAGCCAGGACAGGTTTAGCCGACACGTCAAGGTTCGAATCTGGTACGACTATATCGTTGGACGGCGGCTGCGTCACCTTAAGGGTTGACATGAGGCTCTCAGTTGCCTTACTGCCACCGTTCGTGATGCAGACCTGCCCGTCGATCCAGGTGCGGACAGTCCCGTCGTCCTTGGTCAGCGTCACCGTGTAGTCCACGGTCCCACTCTGACCTTGGACCAGATCGAGTACGGTTGGGTTAGCCGTCTTGTCGATTGTCCACGTGAAAGTTCGGGTCCGGTGCCCGGCGGCTGTCATCGTCTCGCTGAGCGTTGTGCCCGATTGCCCGCCCCCCTGGCCGCCCGCGGCCTGGATTTCCTGCCTCTTGCTGAGCGCTATGTCCTCAGTTCTCGGCAGGCGCCGGAAAGGCGGAGACCCCCCAAGCTACGACGAGTGCCAATACCAACACCCATCCGAGACGGAGCAGCGAGGGCGTTTTCATTTTAATATTGCCCCTTGAGTTGAAGTGCGATCGAACTTTTAAGCTTTGGTAGTTCCGATTTCGAAAACAGATTGAATGCCTGGGCGATGAACTATGAATCCTTCTCGAGAGTCAGTTCTTAGGGTGGACATCGAACGGTTATTTATCACTTCTTATACTGCGTTCAAGCCCAATCCAGGACGCTTGTTCTTTCCGATATCAAGGATCTTATCACAAGACTCTCGCGCATCATAGGAGAGAGGTCAGAAGGGCCGGTTGCTTTGGATTTCTTGGAAGATGGGCACCAGAGGTCACTTTTTCCAAGTGTGGCCATTGTTTGCCATCCGATCTATGAGTTTCGGTGGTACAATTTTGTGACTGAAGGCCCCTTCCTTTGTTGCAAGTCGCGGTGGGCGTATCACAAAGCAAAGCCACTAAAGGAGCCAGAAGCGTTCACGAGCTCTCCCCACGGAAAGCGAGGTAGGTGGAAGTGGGAATGGAGGATGGTAACGGGAACAATAAAGACGACGACGAAGAAGAGGCGGAGGAGGAGGGCTCTAATTAATACGTATGTACCTCCCACCGGTCGTCGAGACTCTATCTGGCCACACCTGGTCGTGACCGTGGTTTTTGACCGGTTATCTCAAGACAATAGGCCTAGATGCGAAAGTGTCGTCCCTATGACTTACACTCATGCGGCCTCGTGATAGCCGGGGACCACAGAGCTCATGGGAAAGACACGACTGCGATGCTCAGGCTGCACGAATTAGAAGTGCTTGTGAAGGAGAAAAGTCTTAGCGGTCTAGTGTTTCCCACAATACGGCGGACGTCATCGTTACTTTTAAAGGGCGCATCCTTACAAGTCCCCGCGTTCGGCCGAGCTAGATGGTAATTAGCTTAAGCCCCCGGGCTCTAGAAAGTTTAAATATCTATACGAGCTACGGAGTACTCGGCAACCATCGATCGGCCTAGCTCTGCCGACTGAACAGATATCCCGGGTTCTGGCACCAAGCTTACCGCGGTAGCCGCGCCTGATAGCATGGATGAATGGGCCGCCAAGAATTTTCCGCTTCACAATTACGATGTAACGTGCGACACCTATCAATAGCACGCGACTTTCTATGCTCCTTAGCTTGGTGAGACATATCATGAAATCAAGTCACGGGGACGATGGCCAGACATATAGGCCTAGTCTGTCAAAATTGTCGGTCGAGAAGAAGTGGAGATTACCAGATACGGTCAGATGTGCGTTTTGTATGGCTTCGAGTCTTAACCGAACCAGTGCTAACTGCGCGGTTGCTGATTAGCCAGACCAAAGTATGGCTCACCGGTTCAAGCTTATCTTTTAAATTCTGACCTTCCTTGGATGCTGTCGATGGCTGCGTCTAGCTCACCACAGATACACACGTACAAGCAATTAAGATTTGATGTGTCAAGGGAAAACGCTGAAGGTAATGTACGAATAAGACGACTTGATACGACTTAAAGTTCAAGCACAGGCCGGAGAGCCTAGATGATGCCACCTCTGGTCAAATATATGATGCCTACTAGCTATTCCTATTTGTACATGCGTTAGCGCAAGATCTCACCTGTCGCATAGCATAAACATCTCAATGACCAAGGATCGCTAGCTACAATGTACTATGTATCAGGCGGTTTAGATAACCGGATCCATACCTTGGAGCTCTGTCACCGACTCGGCTCCGAGGGCCTCTCAGCTTCTCTGAAAAAGCCTGATACAGGTGGAATGTATCCAGACTGGATAATAGCACTTTACACTAGATAATTGGTCTAGACATTTTCACACACAGCAGGTTGCTCTTGTTATACCACCGCTTGAATCCGTTGGTCGACCTGCGTCACTCATGCCGCCCTAACTTCGAACCAAAGCCGCTTGATGGACAGGATTCGTGGACTCTATAGTTCCCTTCGCTAATCTCTCTCAAATTCTCAATGCTGGGCTAGCTTATGCTAGTCCAGCGAACTTGAAAATGCTCCAAGTCTCGCGACCCAGGATCTAAACTAGTGTGCAGATCACTGCTACTTACCCAAACTGTTGAGTACAACATCAGGTCCCGTAAGCCGATTCCAGAATTGTCGAGGCGGCACCTCAAGCTCTGCTACCGTTCTATTGCTGCAAGCTCAGCTTTTCTTCGCTGTAGATATGTTGTGTTAGTCGTAGCATTGACATGCCTAGGTGGTACTGCTGGCGGGAACAAAGCCTTGAGCGAAAGTGCAGCGATACCGTACCTTGCTTAGTCCTTTTGTCTTATTCTTTGTTGACAGCCAAACCCTGCACAATAGCAATAATGAGCACTCTTGCTCTTGAAAATGAGTAGGATTTCTTTGAATCAACTAACTAGTGGCCGTGCCCTCAAGTTGCAACCTTCAGGCGGATTGCTTCATCCCCTGTAATCATTCACATTCAAAAGATTATCCCATGGCTCTGCTGAAGATGATCCCATCTCGAGGACCGGGGTCAAGGGCTTACGGGGTCCACGGGGTCCACGGGTAACAAATGCGTTACCTACAGGAACTCAAAAGAACCGGGCTGTCTTTATCATTATGATCAATGAGGTCAAGGCTGGTTAGTGGTAGTAGTCACGCAGAGACCTATTGTATACTACCATTGTATCCCTGCTCAGGTTTAGCCAGTCATGCCTTGTTTTACACGAGGACACCCTCTCTCAAGAAAAATTGAAAGATGGGCAATCAGACCATTCCAAGAACTGTTACTATATTTTAATATCATGGGCTACTGACAATAATGTAATTAACTTAATCGGTACCAGAGCTTTATCTTGATTGACTTGATTCTTGGTCGTCCAGTGGACCTTGAATAAGATTTGTATCAAGGAGTAGTCTCTAGCAATCCATACCGAAAGAAATATCAGTAGTCCCGCGATCGAGCTTTTGACGTGCGTTCTCTGTTAAGAGAACTACTAAGTACAGATTTCCAAAAAGAGAGGCATCAAGTCACCAGTCATGTATCTTAGTTAATCATTCTATCTCCCTGCCCGCACAAGTCGAAACTGGCAGTAAATCTCAAAAAATGTTCAAAATTCAACAAAAATGGGTTGTATAGGTTGGGACCGATTACCCTGACTTATTCTACCAGACAAATCAAACACTTACTATTTGAGAGACTTCTTCTACACTCTATGGTATTTGAACCTCACTTAAAAATTTTGGCGAGTACACGTACTCTGAATGGCCAGGCGGGGTTGTCGCTAACCCGGCGCTTAATGCATCTCAAGATGGTTTCGCTTTTCTCAATCCATGAATTAATCTAAGATATTTTAAGCATGCCCAGTGAAATAAAACTTCTTTTACTTTCTTTTATCCTGGCTTGCCATCCTGCTTTCTCTCCCGATGCTTTATTTTCCATAAAACAGTGTGCTACTTAGACAGGGTCGCTAATAACGAACAATGACGAACTAGCTTTCATGCCATATTAAGCCCGCCACATGGTATTTACTTGACCTCTTCCCTACCACTTCGTAGTCTCACTCAAATGACGCCTCGATGAGAGACTAAGTAGCATCTCGGCGTCTAACATCCTTTTTCTTGGAGGAAAACAAAGGTCCTCATGTCTTCTCATCCAATCGACGGACATGGGTTAGCGGCGCGTATGTTGGCTTCCAGTTCTCGGCAATTCGCTCTCAAGAGCCTTGAAGCCAGCTTACACCCCTGCATCCCTGTAGTGACGTGGCAGCCAGTCACTCTCGATAAAAAGACCGCTCGCCCGTGTTGGAGAATTACATACCCAGCTATACTAATCATTCAACACCTCCGACCAACTCCTCCATCCTACTCTCCAACAGACTGATCTTTTTGTCAGTATAGTCTAACGATGGACACTGAATTTAGCGAGTAAGTACCCGATGAGGAGAGTTCTGGAATGATCTACACCCAGCTCACGAGAAGTAGAATCATCTCATCCCCACTCTTTACCTTCATCGTTGGCAAAGCAAAGAAGGAAATCACGGTTCATTCCCAGGCCCTGGCTAGCCTGTCATCCACGCTTGACAGATTGATATATGGCGAGATGATCGAAGCTAAAACCCGTAGGGTGGACTGGTCGGAGGTAACCGAGGAAGCAACCTTCCTGCGTCTGTGCGAATATGCGTATGTGCGCGACTATACCCCACCGCCGTGCTCGTACAGAGAGGTAGAGCCTCTGAGCGTTCCAGTATCGAAGTCTCCAGAACCGGTCAATGAGCTCATCGATGTGCCAGCCGAGCCTGAGGCCCCAGCTGAGTCTCCACCACCGCTTGATTCACCACAACCCACTTATGGTGTGTGACTGCCCAGTGGTTTTTCTCCATTTGCTCCATGACGAGAAGTCTGATAGGCTCAGGAACGACGAGAAGCTGACTACAAAACAATCAGATCTTGGGCATCTTCTAAAGCCACCAGTGAATGCCTCCAACAAAGCGATCTTTGACGGTTACATTCTACCGCGCAAGAATCCTAAAAAAACGCGGTGGCTACGTCGCCTGTTTGATTTCGACAAGTTCAAGGAACAGCACTGGCACGATGACTTCAGAGTGAACAAGTATGCTCCCAAGGGGAATTCGCACCCTCGCGAAGACTTCACGGATGTCTTTGTGGGGCATGTGGAGCTCTATATTTTGGCTGACAGGTATGGGGTCCTCCAACTCAAGGAGTTGGTTAAATATAAGCTGGCAGCCACATTGAAGGAGTTCACTCTATGCAAACACAATGTCATCGATTTGGTGGAACCGATTCAACTGCTATACCAAAACACTTTGCCCGGTGATACCTTGCGAGCTTTGATTGTAGGCTATGTTCTCTCAGTGCTTATTCAGATAGGAGATAGTGCGGATTTCCAAAAGCTATTGGCAGAAGGTGGAGAGTTTGTTCTTGATTTCTGGAAGACATACTGGGAAGGTTAAGGAAAGAGCGCGGTTGCTCTAAAATTCTGTTTGATTTTCTTAGGCCACCTATTTCCAGAAATACAAAAGAAAAAAAGAGGCTGGTTCTTTCGGCCGTCCGTTGTCTTCGAGTATCTCTGGGTAGAAGATACACTCCAGCGCAGCATGGGACTAGAATTGCTCTGTTCTTATCCAATGACTTGTCTTGGAGCTTTCTCGACATGATTATCCGGTGGTGTACTCCGGTTATATTGGTATGAGCGATGAGAATTGACCATTTATGAATACCTTGAAAACGCACTCTCTCTTTCGCATGTACATATATTTCTCACTATACTTGGAAGCAATGGCGATATCGATGCAATCCCCTCGATTATCTCACGAGGCATGATAACTTTTAATTCAACCAGAGAGGTATTCCGCACCATATCACAGCTTGGCTGACTCACCCTTCCGCAACTTCTGATGGGCGTGCGCGAATGTGTCTGTGACAACCGACGCAGCAGTGCTGAGCTCCAACCCCAACGCGAAACAGGCTAGAAACCCGGCGAACTGTCTCTTCTTCTCTGATCCGGCACACTGCATGATCTCTAGAGCTTCGCGCTGCGTGTCGTATACCGTGCCTCCACCGACGACACCCACGGGGATGGAGGGGAAGTACATGCTGACGGTGATGCTGTTCCTGGCTCGGTCGTAGAATGAGCTGCCGTGGCTCCACGAGGCATCCGTGACACTTGCGGCATCCTGGCCGGTGGCGATGAACACGCTGGTCAACACATTGACGGTGTCAATATTGCTCCCGTGGATGCCATTGCGGATGCATCCGTCTTGCGCCATGTGCAATATGTCATGCAGGTCGGCTGCGGAGCAGCTCAGCACCTCCTGGCAGGTTTCGCCCGGCAGGCACGCCCACGCCGTGACCTCGACGCCGCGCGGGGTTACCACGTTGCCCCACGAGGGCTTCTTCTCCGAGCTCATCTGCCCGTCGACGTAGAAGCGCTTGATCTTGTACTGCGCCGCATACGTCTCCATCAGCCAGACACAGCACCGCTGGGTGGCGATGCTGACCATGTTCTGGCCCGCGGCATCTCCGCAGGTGTAGTTGAACACCACATGGGCGTAGCACCCGATCAGGTGCGGCGTGATACTCACCAGCTTCAGATGGTTACTGGTCAACTCGGCCACTTCGCTAAGGGTGTTCTCCACATAAGAGAGAATATCGATGAAATTTTGCGCTTCTCGGGGATTCACGAACAGGAACGCGGGACCCCGCGACATGCCTTCCCTGCCGAGGATATACTCCACCCCGCCACTGGCGTTCAACGCTTTGCAGCCTCGACTGCAACTGGCGATCAGAGCCGCTTCTGTTGTGGCCATGGGCGCACATATTTTGAAGATTTCACCATCGGGGGTGCGAATGTTCAGGGGCCCCGCGAGGCCGACCGGAACCCGCGTATAGCCGATAAAGTTCTCGATCTGAATCTGCGAGGGTTTGGCGTCGTGGTCGGTGATATGTTTGACATCTTCGAGGTAGGGACGGATCGTCTCGGACATTTGTTTAGAAGGTGGAGCCATGGTGGCTGATGCTTCCGAATATGTGCTTGGTATGAGTTGATGCTTCATTGTCTCTTTATACTTCTGGTCGGGGACGTGGATCGAGGATAAGCTTTCCCAGAACCGGGAACAGCAGGCTTCTGCACGCCAGCTTCAAGCTTTGCGTCTGTTGGTCATGAATTCGGAGCTTGAGACAATGATAGACCCTGGAACCGGGGGCGACTTCTGGACGAATCTTGGTTAAGGTAACGATTAGCAGCAAAGCCTGAATGTCAGTTGCTTCGTTGGGATATAGCCAACCAAATCCCACGGCTGGGATACAATGCCAGCGAAAACCATCATGCCTCTGCATTCTTCCTCATCTGTCATGTTACGTATGTGTATGTGTAAACTGACAATGATGCCTGAGGCTGCAGGCAGGCCTGCGCTAAATCGGATCTGACGCCATCGTGCAGATCATCCATGCATGATGCCTACGATGTCACAACCAAGCGGAGCAAAGACCGGCCGATCAAGCATTTCGACCGGCCACTTATTAATAATGAGTGGCCAGGTGCAACCATGTTTCCTCCTAGATCATTTTCATATAAGCCTTCGACCTGAGACTCTGTTGCCTCCTTCACTCCACTCCTACCACCAACCCAAAACCCGCAACATGGCCATCGGAATTGCATTCATTGGAGCAGGTAAACACCTTCGAAAGCCCACGACCGAACCTCACACCCCTAATACACTCCACCAGGGCTCTTCGTCAAGGACTACCATCTGGTACGCAAGCCATACCGACCAAGGCACCAAGAAACTCACCCTCGCAGCCAGGAGTCCAAGCCTCCCCCGACCTCGAGCTGAAAGCCGTCTACTCCCGCTCACTGAAATCAGCTTCCAGCATCGCCTCTGACCAGCAGATCGACCGCTACGCCGACGATGCACCCCAGGGCCTCGATCAGCTCCTCGCGCGGGGTGACATCCAAGCCGTGATCATCGCGTGCGTCAACTTCCCTCCCAGCAATGCACCTTCAACACCACAGACCCAACTAACTCGTGAGTTTCGAAAGCCTCCCTATAACCAACCAAGCCGCATACGTCCGCGCCGCCCTCAGCGCCGGAAAACACGTCCTCTCCGAGAAACCCATCGCCAAGGACCTGGCCGAAGCCACCGCCCTGCTGGACTGGTACCGCTCCACCATCCTGCCCCAGGGGTCTGCTGCTCCAACGTGGTCCGTCGCCGAGAACTACCGCCACTTCGACAGTCTCCGCCGGGGCCGCGCCCAGCTGGCCCGCCTCGGTCGCATCCGCCAGTTCCGGACGCAGGTGTACTTCGATTGTCGGCCGGGGAAGTTTGTTTTCTGGCCTTTCTTCGGTAAGTTTCTCCTTGTTCGTCAGATTTTCCGTTGCTTGAACTGTGCTTGGTGTCTGGGATGATGAGTGCTCATGTTCTGGGCTTGAACAGCACTCGCCTGGCGCCAACAGCCCGAGCACCAAGGCGGAGCCGTCCTGGATATCGGGGTGCACCATGTCGCTGCAATGCGGTACCTCCTGGGCGGCAGACCGAGGGAGCGGATCACGCACGTGAGTGCATTCGTGGGTAGCTTTGCGGATGCGCTGCCGCCGGTGGATACGGTGGATGCAGTGCTGCGCACGGAGTCTGGGGCGCAGGGGACCTTCCAGCTGTCCGGGTGTTCGAGCTTGGAGGAGAGTGGGTGGACGGTGGTTGGGGAGAAGGGCCATGTGCGGGTTACTGACGATGAGGTGGCGGTGCATGTGGAGGGGGAGGAGGACGAGAGGCAGACGTTGCCGGTGGACAAACTGGCGGTTGGTAACGAGATCAGGGCGTGGGGGGAGGCGTTGATTCTTGGGGAGATGAAGGCTGAGCAGCGGCCGGAGGAGGCGTTGGCGGATCTGGAAGTGGTATGTTCTCGTTCTCTTGATGCGATAAACAGGTGGTTCGATGAAGGTTGACTGACTGACTGGGTTTAGATCGAGTTGATTCTGAAGAGTGGCAAGGAGAATGGGGCGCCGCAGATTACGCAGTATCAGAGTATTGATCTGTGAGGTCTGTGACGTGGTACTATCAATGAGCTAGGGGAGAGAAGTTTTATAGAGCTCAAGATTCAAGATACAGATCAAGTGACCTTCTCTCATAGGAAGAGGATCGCACCAGCCCGCCGTCCCCGACCCGGCGACTGCGTGTTCCAGTTCCCTCGGACATACCTTCTCAACCAACATGGCCAGTGTCAGGTAGTGACACCATTGCCCTACAACCACCTCATACCACCGTGAACTTCCAGTTATCTCGCCCCTCCCAGCCTTCAACGCACTCCTCACCCTCTTTCCCTCCAGATACACCCCCTTCGAACAAGCGTTGGCCTTCACTTGCCCGTCATAAGCCAGCCGCTCATGTAAAAAGGAGTTACACGCGTATGCAAGCAATTATAGTAGCCAGCGGAGAGCTTGGTGATTTAAATGAGAACAGCGTCATTTGAATGGAAACTGTTTTCATAAGCGAGTGGGTTTACATCCTGATGACGTTTCGGATGGTAGTGAGACTGAGATTATCGAGGCTCACAGGTACAGACAAAGCAGCCACCGAGGCTTGGGGGCTCGATCAGCGAGGCTGAAGCTCAGCCGCCCCGGCTGCATGTGCTGGATGTGCGTGAGCTGCACGAGACGGTGACGAGGTCGGCGCTCTTGCGGGGGATGATGTTGTCGGGTTGGATTCACTCTGGGGAGGTGTTTGGGGCGGAGAAAGAGGGGATGGAGGGGAGTTTGGATGCGCTGGGCGTGAGGGTGGTGGAGATGCGAGGGAGGAGTGTTGCACTGTTCGCAGTTGGCACGATGGAGGGGTGAGAACTCGGTGCAGGTCACAGGCGAGGGAGGCTGGACTGGAGCTGTGACTGATGCAAAGGGGGTGTATGCGGAGGGGAAGAGGGTGAGGAGTGTGTTGGAGGCGTGGAAGGGTGAGGCGGGTTGGATTCCAAGGACGATGGTTGTGAAAAAGGAGAACGTGAACCACTTCCCCACCCTGGCACAGTCGGTTCTATGGTGTTGTTTTCTGACGCTGGCCATGTTGATTGATTGTATTTGTCTGAGGATATTGGGTTTGTGGGACACAAAATTGCCGGGTTGAGGGCGGCGGGCGGGGGCGTTCCTCTTGCTGCGAGGGAATTTATTGCTTTTCATACAGCGGAGTTGAAATCCCCGGGCTCGAAGAGCGCCCACAGCAGCGAGTAGGGAATGACGCGCTGGGCCAGGAGGCTGTGCATCTCGGCGCGGAGGTCCCCCAGCTCGCGGTCCAGTATCTCGTACAGCAACTGTGTGAAACCGGCGGCGACGGGGTCGTCGTGCCGCTGGCGCTCGAGAATCGCGGTGAATGCGTCCCAGCGGTAGATGAAGGCGTGGAACGGGGCCCGGAAGACGAGTTTCGGCTGCTGCTGCTGCTGCTGCATTGCGGCCGTGGTGATGCCCTGGTAGCCGGCGAAGACCTCGGTGAGCATTTGCTGTAAGGCGCGGCTCTGGACGACGATCGAGTGCAGCGTGAGCGGTCGGACCACTGCGTCGTCATTGTGGTTCTTGCTCATGCGCACGACGAGGGCCGTTCGGTTGATGATGCCTTCGGAGTCTGCTTCAGGTACGGGACGGAGATGGGCGAGGGCTGTCTCGACCCAGTTCCTGCAGCAGATGCATCTGGGTTCGCCTTCGTAGGGTCTGGATGGCGCATTCGGTGTCTTCGATGCGTTGTTCCATGGGTGAAGAGGGAACTGGACTGGGGGCTCGTGAAGCATGTTGATGATATGGTGTTTTAGTCTGAGAAAGACGCGATAGATGCTGTTGGGGTGTAACTTTGATCGTGTTTGGAGGCTGAATGAATGTGGGGTTGTAATCTAGGAGCTGATTTTGGTTTCGTATACCGTGTCATCGTGCTAGGAACGGGACAGTGAATGCGTGCTGTTTACTATTTTCCTTCTTCAGTTGATGCTCTCCAGCCTCAGCCTTCCGCGTTTTGTACACGACTCTGAGGCTCATCTGTACCTGCTCTGAAATATGCTGTCCCTTCCTTACATATCGTGTGCGACCAAGAGTGGTTTCCCAGTTGCGCAGACTGTCGGGAAAGAGCTTACATTTACCGAAGCAAGCAAGTCTGGCATCTGACCCCTGCTGGGTTACAATGATCAGGTGATTGTGTACCACAGATTCAGCAGGCTGAGCAACAGTTGAACGCATGGAATTAGGTTAAGAAACTCAGGGTGACATGCAGCAAACCATCAACAACCTCTTGAAACAGGTTGATAAAGGAAGAAATCGTGTTGTACAACAACACCAGGTCTATCCCTCAATGCGAACCCTGTCTTCGATTCTGATTCCTTTTCAGCCGGTATTCATTTTCTCCATCTTTGCATACGGTGCGGCTAGTATGTATCTATCCCAACTGCCTCGGTGCTGTCTGACGGTTCTCCATCCCCGTTCGCAGCGGAATGGCGAATGCAGTCAAAAGTCTCTTGCGGGACAACCGCGCTCCCTTCCAGTCGATGTCGAAAATTGTCACTGTCTAGGATACCTGCTGCGTCTTCTCCCATCGTGGCCATATACATCGAACTCATCACGCCGTCGCCATAAGCAAAGAGAAGAACCCAAGAAACGCTTGGCTTCTGCTCGTCGTCAGACACACCAGTGGCCAAAACACTCGCTAAGAACCCCAACCCCCTTCCACAGGATGGCGGCCCGTACTTATCTACAGATCTCCAAAACAACAAGAGAGAGGCAGATTCATTCTCCAAATCCTGCTTCGGAGAGGACGAAGAAAGCTTCCTGCACTTAGAACGCATGGTTGTCTCCCGTATCGCTGTCACTTGTAGCCAGCTTTTCATGCTGCTGCTCCCTTTGTTGATCGCGTCGCGAAGGAATATCTCGCGAGAGCCTTGACCCCAACATTCTTCGCTTCGATAGACATGGGATATAATAGATAACTAGATTCAATGCGACTCAATGTTCAATAAAGGCTTGCTACCCACGGCCAGGTGAACTTCTCGTTATCTTAAATAGCCCGCATATTTCCCGGGTGCAAGATTTCTCTGACATGCGGGACCACATGGCTCCGGGTGTGGAGGCTCTGTATGCGGTCACACTCGGGGATCGGCGGTTATCTACTCACATCTCTTCTGCCACCTTGTCTGATGACGATAATTCATAAGATAAGCTACGGCTACTAAGTTGCCGAATGTCGCCAGGCCCAGTTCTCAGGAGCGATACGATACTGGCGTCGTCCCGACTTCCTCTTCCCTAAGCATAATTCCAGGCAAGGACGTATTCATCTCAAGCCAGCATCATCGTCGTCGTCGTCGCCGTCATAATATTGCCCCCCGCAATGGGACGCCTTCGAAACAAGAAAGGCCTGAAAGAGAGTAAGTTCAATATAACGTCGAACCCCCCTGGCATTGTGTCACTGCTGACCGGACGCAAGGATCCTCAAGCACGGCGCTTCCTCGAGATGGATTCGGGAAATTCCTGAACAGCAGGTTGGAGGCCGAAGGGTGTCGTCACATATCGGAGGCCGAATTCAGTAAGTGGTCAGGAATAGACTGATTCTCAACAGAGGGTCAATCATCGTGGCTCCTTGTTCTGGGCTCGTGCTTATGCATTTCAGACGAGCTATACATGCAATGCGCGGCGACGTGGGCTAGTGCGTCCCCACGTCTGAGGAGCCACTATGAGAGGCAGGCTGGTGCTGAGAATCGGCTTCAAGAGAGGGAGGGAAGAGACTCGGGATATTTCACGGGTGAGGAAGAGTAGATGGGACCTGTTGGATCTGTTGGTGGTGATGGCTGTGACCATTGCCTGCCTACGTAGGGCGGCAGTGCGGTGACTCCAGAAGTGACCACTGGGTTAGCTGGCAGCCGATGTGGTTTATCTGTCAATTCTGATTGTGAGTGCATGTACATGGAAAGCATCTTGTATCTAGACGTACCTCGTGTGACATTTGTTGAGCATAACAGACACCGTCGTGGCCTGCTGGTCTCCCATTCGAGATGACATTCAAGTGTGATGAGAAACAGCAGGGTCAAATTTGGGCTTGAAAAGATCAAAGAATACAGTATTTCGACTATCTGTTCACATCTATAGACACGCATAGATTGTGAAGCGGCGAAACGTTCGAGGCAGTGCTGAGGACAAATGGGGACTGCTGTGAAAAGGAGATAGAGGGAAAGTTCAGGGTATGCCCTAAGCGTGTGTCTTGAGGGGGGAAGAAGATAGCCTGTATGCCCCGTCGAAAATAATGAGTCTGTTGTCTGGATCCATCAGGCAGTTATGGTCATTAACCCCGGGGAATCCGGGGATGACTGCCGACAAATGGGAAGGGGGACCATGCGCCACATCGTTTGACAAGATCCGACAAGGTTGAGGGTGGTTTCAGTCTGTTATCGCCGAGTAAAACCTTCGAAACAACCCATTTCCGGTCAGCGTTCAGACCACAGGCAAACCGACAGCAGTTAAGCTAAGTCGATCACAGCCAATTTATCTCCATCCCCACCGATCGACCTCCCTAGATCATCCAAAATGCAGATGATTACCGTAGATGCACGTCATCCCTCCATTGATGATCCGGCAACTAGTTAGAATGTAGGTGAGAGCGGCCCGCGCGGAGAGCAGCGTAGTCAATGTGATATATCACGAACTCTGCTACGCCCAATGTCCGAGCGCATCGTATGTTGTGGGGCCTGGGCGGGAGGATCTGGATCTGTCTTATCGGGCGAATCCCGAGGAGCGGATATATCAGATTCTACCCCTCAGACTTGCATGTGCTGCATGTGATTTGTATCGTTGCTTTATTGTTGCGAGGGAACAAACAACAAAATTGGGGGTATGAGGGTGTGCTAATTCCTCGATGGGATTGCAAGTCCAAAATATGGGTATGCTGTTCGATGAGTTACCGAGGATCTCTGACCGTACGGTGGAAAACGAACGGAGTTTAGTTTATATGCATCTAGATGGTAGAATATACATCATTCACAAAGGAAATAAGACACGGCAGCTGTGGTCCAAACCCACATCACCGCGGCAGATCAAACGAAGGCGACGACCGCAGATACACCGGACTGACCTCGACATTGGTCTCGATCTCCGTCTGGGCCATGATCTTGCCCGCCGGGATGACGATTCGGTCCTCGCTGCCGTTTCGCTCGATCTGGGTGCCGGCGATGGTCTCCGTCTCGCCGCAGTGGCTTTGCAGCACACTCATCCCGAACTCCGGCGGCCTTGGCTTAGAGAAGCCCGACCCGTACCGCTTGGCGGCGTTGTTGTTGCTGCTTGACCAGCCGCCGTAGCCCTTGTTCGAAGAATATTCCCCGATCCAGCGCGGCAGGAAGCGCGAGGCAATCGCCTTGAAGGAGGGGATGGAGGCCGCGAGGATGCCGACGTTGATCTCGATGGCGGACCAGTACATCGCGCCGCTAATGGCGTAGGTGGAGTCGGCGGAGGAGAGCATGGTGGGGATGTAGGTGATGCGGATGATGGAGGAGACGCAGGCGCTGTAGATGGGAGAGTTAGCGGATTGCGTCTTGCTGGTGATGGATCTTTGTGGTAACGTACAAAAGACCCAGGCAGAGAATGCATCCCAGGGCCAGTTTTTGTTTGTAGGGCATGTGAAGGTGGAGGATCACCCGGATGGGAAGGGTGTAGGTCAACAGGTCGGTGAGGATATTGAGGGCCGCGTTGCAGAGGTAGAAGACGTTGATGGTCACGCAGTGGCCGGGGAGAGCGCTATTCCACGCCTTGGGGATCGGATTGCATTGGAAAGCTGCTGTCAAGACGAAAGCCGTCGCTTGACATCCCACCACGCACATCATCCCCAGCGATAGTCGGGTCAAGGTTTTATCGCCTAGTCGAGTGTAGAAATAGCAGACTGAGGTCTTGATGAAGCCGAGACAGGCAAGGTAGAACATCGAACTGAGCCAGACAACCTGTGAAGTAATTGCATTATTAGTTGGGATGTCGAGGGCTGAGGGTGAAGAAAGCGTACAAAGGCGTAGGTGATGAGACCGTCCGGGTCGACATCATCCATATGTTTGCCCATCCCATGTTCAACGGCTGGTGATATTTAGTATCATCAAACCCCAAACCCGAAGTACAGTCCAGTACATACCAACGATTGTCACAGCCGTGAAGGCCCATGAAAGAAGCTAAAGCCGTCAGCAACACTCACATCAATTATTGCCGGCCATCTTACACAAGCAACCACAATCAAGTCTGAGAAGGTATCAGTCAGCCAAAATTCTCCGATCCTCTCTCAGGTAGAGACTCACAGTCATCCAGGCCCATGCTCTTCAACACATAAAGCCGGGCAAACAACCGCAAAGAAAGAACGATAAATGTCAGCACGGCAAAGGCGATGGCCACGCCCGCCACGACGGGGCCCTGCGTCTTGGCCATGTCCGGAAAGCAATATCGAAGCAGCGAGCGAAAAGGAAAGAAAGAATCCTCCGATCCAAAATTGGCTCTGGCCGAGTGACGTGCCTTTCTTTATGTAGCTGGAAGCGACATTCGGGGCGCGCACCGACCTGAAATTGACGATTAGGTTCGGTTTGTTGATCTTGCAGGTTACGAGTCGCTTTGCTGGGATAACCCTAGCTCGCCCTTTTCTTTTTTCCCCTAATCCTCACATTGGGACGAATTGTACACCCTTGGCATACCGGTACAGCTCGAGTCGATTGATGACCAGTGGCGTTTCCCCAAACAGGGAATCAGGAGCGAAGAAAATCCCTTTCCAGGCTTTCCCCAAACTTTGGGTTGACGATTCTGGAAAGGAGGTGGAAAGACTGCCGATTGGGAGGGTCCCTGAGTACGAGCGCATTCGCTCGATAGGGACTAGCAGGCTACAGCTTTGGTCCGCGTATGTATCGACCAAAGATGAGAATTGCATCTGACACAGCGCCTGCGTCCAGCGGATAGCTCGCAGAAGGGCTTCTTTGACATAATTTGGGCCAATGCGTGACAAGAATAGCAGTTCTGGCCGGATCGGCGGCGGCGCGGGTCATCGTTCCGGACGGGGGAGAAATGAAGCCCGCCGATCGCGATGCCACTGTGGACTGCGGTGGCATTGACAGTTGACCGAGACCCCTTGCGGGCCAGGTGTTCTATTCGTTCTATCCTGCTGGAGGGTGCTGTACATCGTTAGAGATGTCACAGCTGTTTCTTTTTGCACAGGCACGATGCCACTATTGTTCGCAAGCAAACCATTCACCCTTTCATGCCAGGCAATCTAGTCCGTAGTCTCCTTGACTATTGGAAAAAAAAATCATAAGGCAGCAGAGTTTGGTAGGAACTATATTCCGACGCCGGTGATTGTCTTAAACGACCGGCGTCTGACTTGAAAGGGGACAATCCGACGCATTCTCTGCAACTGGCTTAGGGCATGGCAGCCACCAACAGCAGATTGGCGGGGGAACCGGCGGTGGCGCTCTGGCATCGCGATTATCCAGAGTCCCAGACCCACCCACGCAAGGAAGGCTCGAAATGGAGACTGCGAGTCGATGATGGTGGGAGGACTCAAGACTTTACCAAGCGGCCAGGATTCAGCCCTGGTCGATTCTTGCGCGTAGTCGTCGACTCATGCCTGTCCTTTCGAGACAACATCGGCTCAGAAGCCTCTCCGATTTGTGATCATCTCACATAAATAGTATATTAAGGGGGTGATTGAGTGCTGACACGATTTCACGTGTGAGGCTGTAGAGAAGGAAGACACGAGTTGTTTTTCTCCAACAACTTTTCCTGGTAAGTTATGGAGCAGTTCGTGAGAAATCATAAATGCCCCCGAAGACGGCAGAACGGCAGAGGCTGGCTGGTGCGGGAATCGCCATCTGCCACCCTTCTTTCGGGTGGATTCGACCGACCCATTGGCAATATCGTCCCCATTTCTCCATCTTCTGTCAGGCTTTGAGTTTTGAAGCCTTAAGCCTTGAAATCTGGAGGGTGAGAGGCCGTTTTCTGGGTGGGGATAGCAGATTGGTAACAACTAAACCCCTCGAATATCATCCGTGGCAATCGGCCAACCGGACGCTCTTTCCTCCTTGCGAGGCAACCGACACAGACACTATTCGCGAGGCAAGCTGTCAAAAGTACGCAAGGCGCCAATCTGGCACTCACTGGAGTCACTCAATCAGTGGTTCAGTGCAAATGACGAGCGAAGGAATGCCGATCGGATGACGGCGCGCGCATTAGCGGCGTTTAGTGTCTGTTAGCGGGCTTTGGTGGCCGCGAAGCGACTTTTGCGCGGTGGATCCCAATTTGAAGCGGTTGATGCGATAGGTCACCTCCCACACGGAGGGGCATCACTTATAACCCTATTGTCTCGCCCAAATAATTAAAGGGGAAAAGACCGTCCTCCTCCGCGGGTCGGTTATGGAGCCGGTTATGACTTTCCAACCAGCATGCCATGTTTTCCACCCACTCCAACTCGACAGGGAAGATGCCTGTTCTTCGAGCCAACTTTGTTGCTTTTGACAGCTGTCAAGTGGTTCTTGGACAATACCAACAAACACAGACCGTTGACCGTTAGACTTACATATAAGGTGCTGAATAAGATGTGAAGTCGTTCTCTGCCCTGGATCATTGTGGTGTAGCAGGCATGGATTGGGGCACGGGGCGCCGTTGAACCCTAAGCTTCGTATATGAGCTGCGGTGCGCCTGGCAGCCTGTCAGCCTGTCAGGGCCCATTGACACCCACCATCTCAAGCTGTTCAACCCCTCCTCCTCCCACTCCCCGCACCAACGGTGCTCCAGCCCGGATGGCCTGCCCATTTGATTCTAGGTCCTCCCCGAAACAGGCTTGACAATCTCCGTGGCTCGGCTGAGGGGACGCTTGGAGGCCTTTGTCGGTGGTCGGCACGGGGGCCGGACTGCACGTTGTCCACTGCGCCAGCTCGTGCCAATGAGATGCAAATTCTTTATGCACGACGACAATGATTTGCCCTCTTACCCACACCGGATCATCTCTAGTTGAGGCCCCTTACTGGACGACCGATCAGCAGGAGGGACAAAGGATAGTGCTTGGTCGGTGTGAGGTCAGGCAACGGTCGCATTCTTAAGAGCCTACCTCTCCAGCACCTGCGACTCGCATGCCTCATTCAATCGACAGCCATGGGTCTGGAGAACGTTTTGTCGCAGCTTACCCTGGCCCGGGTGGCCGGGGGTCTGCTTGCCTATGTCGTGCTGCAATTCGTCTACCAGATCATCTACTACCGCTTCTTCCATCCGCTCGCCAAGTTCCCCGGGCCTTTCTGGGGCAGCGTCACTCGCCTTTGGATCGCATGGCACAACCTGCGTGAAACGGAGCTGCAGACCTGCTCTGAGTTGACGAAGAAATATGGTACCAATTCGACCCCGTCGATCGAGAGAGCGATGTTACCCAAGGCAGCACATCTAACGCTGACATCCGTCCCCCTCAGGCCCCGTTGTCCGCATTACCCCGACACTGCTGCTGGTCAGCGACCCGACAAAGCTGCCGGACATCTACCACCGCCAGGCCGACAAGACCGGCCACTACATCACGGGCTCCTTCGGGGAGACCGAGTCGCTGTTCAACATGCGCTCGCACAAGACGCACTCCTCGTTTCGCAAGCACATTGCCGGCCCGGTACGCTTCCCTGCCGCTTTCCCGCGCGAAATCCCGACTGACGCCCGCTGCAGTACAGCTTCAGCAACGTGAAGAAGATGGAGCCGTTGATCGACCTCCGTTTGCAAGAGTGGCTGGACAAGCTGGACGAGAAGTTCGCCAGCACGGGGACAGTCTTTGACTTTGCCTGGTGGGCCGTGTACGTTGCCCTCAACCCTGCCCTATACCGTTCTCTCTTCCACCTAAACACACTCCCCACCTGTCTAGCCTCTCACTAACTCGAATTGAACAGCTACATGGCCTACGACATCATCAGCGAAGTCGGCTTCGGCGCCCCCTTCGGTTTCGTCTCCCAAGCCCACGACGTCGGCGGCCTAATCCAAGGCTTCCACGACGGGCTACCGGCCTTCGGTCTTCTCGCGCGCCTGCACCCCTTCACCAGCTGGGTGAAAACAACCTTCCTGAAAAAGTACCTCGTGGCGACCCCCTCCGACCCGTCGGGGGTGGGCGTGCTCATGCGTTTCCGCGACACACTCATCGACCAGCGCCTACGCGACCTGGCGGAGAAGAAGGACATCGGACGGGTCGACCTGCTGCAGACCTTCCTTGAGGCGCGCACGGAGGACAATCAACCGCTGGACATGGAGTACATCAAAGCGGAGGTGCTGCTCGTGCTGCTGGCGGGGGCCGACACGACGGGTACCGTCTTCCAGGCGCTGGTGCACAACCTCCTCACCCACAAGGCCGTGTACGCGCGCATGATGGCCGAGATCGACGCCGCGGTCGCCCGGGGCGTTTTTGCGAACGGCCAAACCCCGCAATACGCCGATATCCTCGACCACCTCCCTTACTACGTGGCCTGTGTCCGCGAGACAATCCGGTTGAATCCCCCCGCGCCGAATATCTTCCCGCGCTACGTGGCGGAGCCCGGGATCGAGCTGTATGGGAGGTTTGTGCCGGCCGGGACGGAGATCTCGGGGAATCCGTGGATCATGCACCGCGATCAGAAGGTGTTTGGGGAGGATGCGGAGGTGTTTAGGCCGGAACGGTGGTTGGATGCGGAGAAGGCGAAGGTGTTGAATAAGTATATCTTTACCTTTGGGTATGGGGCCCGCGTGTGTTTGGGACGGGATATCGCGATGATGGAGTTGTTTAAGGGGCCTTTGCAGGTATGTTTCCTTCTTTCCTTGGCTTGAGTTGGTGAGAAGTGTGGTGGTTGGACTGACTGTTGGTTGTTGGGTCTAGTTCTTCCGGTATTATACCCCCCATGTCGTCAAGGACAAGCCGTCGGCCAAGTTTGTGATCCAGGGTGGAGTGGGCCATTGGGAGGACATGTGGTTGACGATTGAGAGGCGGGAGGCGGCGTGAAGGGCTTAGGGAGGGAGACGCACTTTGTTAGATGTGTAGAGTGATGATGCTTGGGACAATATGATGAGGTGTATGAACTACACCACACTTTTTATTGCACAATCTTGAAAGAGCAGAGCCTGAGAACATTGAGACTCGCTGATCGGGCGGCCATCTGCGAGTATAATAGCACTCGTATCACTTTTACTAGACTTGACTGTCTTCAGCATCACCGCTTGAATGGAGCTTTAGACATGAGAACCACAACTCGTTCTTGGAAGGAAAGATCTGGGGACCCCTGCTGGGTAACCTATGTTGTGTTCCTGGTGAAGGCAACAGTCAACCGACAGCCAAGTTCGGAGATTTCTCTTCGAGTAGTACGTGTCGAACCTACTGGATCAATATCTTCTGTTAGAATCATATCTCCAAACTCGCAAGTGGTGTGTCCGTTCTGTCAAGACTACTATCACAGATCCAGTCAGATGACGTTACCAGCGCGAGCAATGCACGTCAAGTCCCACAAATCTGCCCCATGGTTGCATTTAGTATCAAGAATCTACGCTATTTACACCACGAAGCGCTTCTTATGCTCTACGATCTGGAAGTTAGGAGTTTCAGATGCTGTTGTTGGCGCTTGGACTATGCAAAATATATTTAACCGCGGAAGGCTACCACTACCCCACGCAGGAGCAGGATAATGAGTGACAAGACATCACGCTGGCCGCATCGCAGTGTTACAAGGCACAGATCGAGTCCCATACTCGATATGAAAGGGACTGATGTTAGCATATGCCCAAGAGTTGCATGCAATACAAAAGATAATACTAAGCAGTTTCAGGCATTATGTGGCTGAACTTCACTCACAGGAAATACTTCCGGGGTAAGGTTACGTCGACTAGACAAAATAGAATTATGTTTGCAGGGGTCTAGATAAGACCAGCATACTCTACCAGGTGTAAATTCACACCCGAACCTGAAGAAGATATTCTACACCACCACTATCTCGGAACGTGACGGGAAAATCCAAAACCCATGAATATGACCATCATCATATAGACATAACCTCCGTAGCCATTTCTCAAAGCAAACCCCCTCAACCAACACAATCCTCATTCTCGGAGCGAATCACACCCCGCCACCCCTTGTATACAACCCAGAGAAGCACCTCAAAATAACAACCCCATCGCCCCAACCCTCTCAAACGCGCGATGCCACGACTCCTCCACCCCCAACTCCTCCACGAATCCAACCCCCCTCGCCCGCGTCAGATCAAACTCGCGATCGAAATCCATCAACCTCAGACTCCCCATCCGCGCCCCGGTATTATGCATACTCCGATCAATCACCTCCTCCTTGAGCCCCTTCTCGCGACACAGCGCCTGCACCGTACCCCAATGCTTCTCCATGAACTGCGTCGGGTGCAGCACCGCGGGGTCGGGCCCGACCCCTTCCAACCCAAAGTACCGCGCCAGCGCCGGCCAGCGCTCCGACCAGGCGACGGGCCGCGCGCTGTCGGCGATGTTGAACGCCTTGCCGTGGACGTTGTCGCGGGGCTGCAGGGAGGCGTGCAGGCAGAAGCGCGCGATGATGTCTTGGTTGGAGTCGGTGGATGTCAGCGACCAGGTGGTGTCGTTGCCGGGGAAGGGGATCTTGGCCGCGCCGCCGTGGATGTGTCGGTATAGGCTCAGGTAGATCCCCATGGTTTGAGCCATGCAGTTTGCGTTCCCGAAAGGGGCGACTCCTACCTATTATTTCCGGGGGTGTTAGTTCGTGGAGGGGGGAAGTTGTGGGGGATGAGATGGAGTGAGGGGAGTGGAGGGTGCACGGGGGCTGACAAGTGACACATACAATCACGTCCGGGCGCACTTCACACCACGACCATTGTTTGCCCGCGCTGAGCTTCTGCAGGAGATCGACTTCGTGGTAGTAGAACAGGTCCTTGGCGTATTCGGCCGGCACGCGGGGCAGGTCCTCGCTCAGCGGGGTCTGTCCGCGGAAGGGGAATTTCTCCAGGAGGTAGACGCCGTATGCCTGCGCGGATTAGACACGATGATGTTGAATGAGGGCTGAGAGCGGTGGTGTACCGTACCTTTGTACCGGTGATCAGCGTCACGAACGACAGCTTAGGAGAGAGCGTCTCCAAGGTCTGCACGGCCGCGCGCAACATCTCCTTGTTCAGGCGGCATTCTTCGGCGGCGTTGTCGCTGGCGCGGTAGGCTGGCGATGGACAGAGTCTATGTCAGTGGATGATGCGATATTCCGATCAACAGTTGAGAGCACAGCCGGGGTAGCTGAGGATTATACACACCCGCATAATACACATGGCTGATCGTCTCAACCGCAGGGATCTTCTCGCGCAACGTGGCGGCCAGCGCCTGATCGTCGCCGGCTAGCAGGTCCACGCCCGAGACAATCTGCAAACGATCATCGGAGGGCCATTGGGCCTCTGCCGGATTGAACGCACGGTTCGCAACGGCGGTCACCCTGCTGAACGTCCCGGGCGCTGGGTAGTCGGAGAGCAGCTGGTTGACCAGCGCCCAGCCGTTGATGCCAGAGCACCCGAAGACGATCGCGTGGTGGCCCTGATTGGTGTCTTGGTGCTGTTCCTGCATGATGATGGGCTACGTGTGTTTAGTGTGGTTGAGTGAGAGGAAACTTCTGGGGAGAGGAAGTCTAGTCGCCTTGCGACGGGGACTGCTGTGGTCCTTACATTATGGAGTCGGCTCATGCATGCCACGCATGGCATTCAGGGGTCTGCCACGCTGGCTATTCCGTCACTATGCAAGGAACGATGGACATAAGTCTGCAGGATATTCGAACATTTCGCCGGCTAATTCCGACCCATTCTCCTTCCGCTGCTCGTCTGAGTCAGATAACGAATGCTAGATGGATGCAAGTTGCCGTGCTTCACTGAGACTATCGACTTTCGACGCAGTAGTTTAGCCTGCGAACGAGAAAGTCTCCCACCTTACGGAGTAGTGACCACACAAAACCACCGCCGCTCGGCCATCCGCCACCGTCCACCGTCCACTGGCCACTGGCCACTGGCGTCAGGCAATTTGCAGTGGAGCCCAGCGGACGGGCGGCCATTACCGCGGATGAGTCCAGAAATCCCCCGAAAAAGAACGACCTGGCTGCGTTGGGTGGATAACGCGATCGGTCGAAAGTTCGGGTCCGATGTGGTAGTGCCACTGTGGACATACTCAAAAATTTTCTAATTCTTTTCCGTCTTTCGTCTAGCCCGCCGAAGAGTGGTCGTTGAAGTTGCGTTGTTGACTTTAGGCGTTTAGGGTTCCGGGTGTCATTCCTCCTTTAGTGGCGCAAGATAAGATTTCTCGGCTGGGCTTAAGGACTCGGTTTAGATTCTTCACACAATTCCGACAGTTGGGATAGTTAGTACAAATAAATGAGTCTTTTTCTTAGTCTATAGGCAATAAGCATCTTATTGTCTTTCTAGACAGGGGTGTGAAGGCTGTTATAGTGAAAGCGCGGCGTATCTGAGGATAATACCCTGGCCAGTCGGACTAGAGAAAAACACCGAACGACAGCCGACAGATTGCAATGGCGTGTGTCGCCAGTCACGAATGTAACCCTGGCCAAGCCAGCCCAGGACAATAACGTGCTAGGTGTCTGAAACATACAGCAGAGAAATTACAGTATTGATCGCAGCAGAACCAATCATTTTGCCGTGTGCCGGTAAATCACCAACGCGGAGAGTATCCGAGGTAAGAAGTGCTTCATCCGCAAAACAAAAGAGCTGAAGGGACAGACTCCCAACTTGCATCAAACCATCGATGGTCCCCTCCTCCTGCAATTATGGAGCGGGTGAAAAAGAATCTGATGGGTTGGTGGGATGGAGCGAGTGGAGCCGCCGCCCTTGGGCTAATTTCCACCCGGCGGGCCGTCGACCCTATCCATGGCCACACATTTTATAGTCGCCGACAATATTTCCTCCGTCTGGAACTAGCGCTGCGCTGCAGTCTTAGTGTCGGATGGATTTTTTTTTCTGGTCATTGATGAAGCTGACGACAAGAAAACCCAAGAATGCAAGAATATGCAGTACGGTTGGAACGCCCAATCATGTCGGACATCCTCATGCGAGGTTATCAACACGCAGACAGACCGGACAGTGTGCTGGCCACCCCCGGCCGTCCAACGATGGCTTGCGCGTCCAAGTAAGTCACCCGGCCACATCAGGGGCTTGGTCGGCAGGATCAAATATCTTAGCTCATATTTTCATCCTTTCCACCTATTAGAGACCGAATCTGAACAAAAGACGGGCCATTCCTTCTTGTCCCAATTACAGCCGTCTCTTGGCATAAGCTTAGATTAGCTTACCCATCCACCCACTCTACTCAACCCTACAATGCATCAAACCCACCAACCAAGGAAGCTAATTAAATTGAATCATGGAGACAATCAGAACGGGTAAAGAGCCCGGACGGCCTTCAACCCCCTTCCGATGCTACTTGTATGTATCCGATCCAGAACCGAGTTGGGTAAAGGATCTGCCGTTCTTCCGTGGCATAGCAGCAAGACAGGCGTGGCATTATGGTCGTAAGAGCGAAGATCTCATAGAGACACGGTGGGAACAAAGGAAAATTATGTTTTAGTGTAGGTGGGTAAGTAAGGGGAGTGAGGCTCAATCACTCTGGTTGACGCTGACATGCGTCGTGATCTGGATGCCCGCGTGCACCGGGAAGATGCGCTCTTCCGACCCATTCAAGCTGGCCTCGATGTCTGCCCGACTCTGGCCCGTTACAGTATCCAGCTTGATGCTCTGATGCGCCAGCGACCGTCCATGCGTGGTGCGGCGGCCCGAGGTGCCATACATGCGCGATCGACCCGTCGAGTCGCCCTTGCTGGAGAGACCGAGCAGACGCTGCAGGGCGGGGAATCGGAAGGAGATGAGACTCTTGAAACTAGGAATGCACGCGATGAAGATGGCCACCGCCACCTCCACACTGGACCAGTTGAGTGGGTTCACCAGCGTCCCTACCCTCGTACATTAGATGCGTGTCAATCAAAAGTGGATGGCCCAGGGGGAGGGGCACACTTACACGTGTGGTCCAGCGAGAAATTACTGATATAAGTCGCCCGGATGATACTCGTCACGGAGACCCTGCAGCTTTGATTAGCAGGCTTCTTTGAGAGCGCGGCGGGGAACAGGGGCCTCGTACAGAACTCCCAGCCCAAACATGAACACCAACCCCGCGCGTTTACCGCGGGTCATATTCAGCCGCACCAGTTTGGGAATCGGGAGGGCGAAAATAGCCAGGTCGGTCGCCAGACGGATTCCAAACGAGATGTAGTAGAATGCCGTCAGAGAGAGACATTCCCCCTTGACCACGCCCTGCGAATCCCAGGCTTTATGGATGGGCGTGCATTGGAACACCACCACCAGACACTCTTCGGTTGTTTCGGCCACGAGCAGGGCTGTCAGGCACCAGCAGATAATGCGGAAGGTTTTGCCCGGAAAGATCTGGAGGTACAGGATACAGAAGGAGCATTTGACGGTGCCCAAGGCGATGAGGTAGGCGATCATGGTGGCGAAGTCCAGCTGGAATTCGATGATCACGTTAGTGCATGCTATGCATGTATCAGGGATCAGTATCTGCAGACCTTGAGGAACATCTCCAGGGTTTCATTGTCGTGGATTGTCTCGATGTGTTTTCCAAAGCCATAGTTGGTCACTACATTCCGAGTATCAGTACCCTCTTCTAGATGGTGTGGAGGCAGAATAGAGAATAACGCACTCAATATACACAGGATGCATAGCGCAAGTGTAAACACCTAGATAACGAACCGCTGGATTAGTCTAGAGCACCGATCCCTCGTATCATAGACGGGAGACCTACCCAGCTCACTATACACAGATAGTCATCTGCCCCCAGTCCGGAAAGATATTGGGTCCGCACGAATACACGCACCAGCACCCCAATGCTCGCAATCACGATGAGCACCGTGTTGCAGACGATGATCGACGGGACTGCTGAGGCATTGAGGTTGACCGATGAATCGGACGAAGACTGCTCCCTGAAGATCAAATCGTCCATGACAACCGGCCGTGCTGGGCAAGAAACGAGCAGAAGCAGACGCAAAAAGATCGAAACTAAGGGCCTACATGAAGCATGCAGTAGTAGTAGCAACAAGGCAGTAAAGACGTCCTTCTTGGCCTTTCTATCTTAATTATTATGCCCAGGGGTGGACGGAATTACAAGGAGGGTCTTTTGCCACTACCCTTATTCTCCGGGACTATACCGCAATCTCGGCGAAGGCAGCCCTTCCTTCGGCCCAGTCACGATGACAAAAGAATTCATTCAATGGTGTGGGAAAACCTCGAGTCGGTACTTGCCTACTAGTCAGTTCCTCGCCTCCGTCGGTTCTGCAAACGAGCAAGCCACACGTGGAATCTCTGTAAATTGCCGTTCCGAGCTGCAGAACAGTTGATAAATTTCACTTTTTCTGTCTTTTTCTTGCTGAATTTCTTATTTGCTCATTTCCCCTCCATGGCATGCAACAAATCCAAAACAGAGCACTCTAGATCGATCGTGGGGCGACTGGATTGGCTGATGTTGGGTTAAGTCATTCGCCGACTCCGGCTCCACCTGAACTACTGCGGGCCCTTCCCAATATCGCGCAAGGACCGTCGCCGACTTGTTGTCAAGATGAACGAACCCTAAGCGGCCGTCTGCTTCCCCTCTCTTGTCATGACTGTTGCCCCCTCTCTTATCCTGATTCCCCACCCACACACCACCCAGGTGCGTATCTTCTACTCACAGGCCAGACTAGGCATTGCATGTTTGACTCTTGGTATGCCGTACAAGGCTCGTTGGCCGTGCCTACCAGTTTCGCGTGCCAGTAGTCTCTCATAGTCCCAGTCGTAGTGGTAATCTAGACTACGGAGATGAGATGGTTTGACACTCCAGTCCGGTTTGATGACTTTCTAGCGCCTTTTCGCCTCGTGGCCGTCGCCTCTGCCCTGCATATGGCCATGCTGGGTCTACTTTAACTATCTGCATTTCCTGCAGCTCAGGAACCTCTCTTCCGTTTTACCCACTTCACACCTCTGTGCCTGCGACTTCTCCTCTGTTAAAGGATCCCAGCCTTTGACCTTGAGGTGCACCATGGCGGACGAGAAGACTCCCCAGCCCGTCGAGGGCTCCATCCAGTCCAAGGGTGTCGACCTGGACCAGCTGCCGACGGGATACTACCGCAGCCCCAACTTTATCGGCTCGGTGGTTGCCGTTTGTTTGATGGCCATCAGTCTGTACCTGGGATATGTCTTGCCAGTGCGTTTCTCTGCGTACTTGGTTCAATTCTGGCTTGCTGACTCGCAGATAGGTCAACAGCTTGACTGCGATCAACCGAGATCTCGGTAAGTCCCCATCGCCTCCTGAACGGGGCCGATCTGAGTGGCATCCGCTGATCGTCTCTCCTTGCGCGCACAGGGCCGGACCCCAACTATAGCATGATCTCAACGGTCTTTACGTTAATCTCCGGAGTACGTCGATCCTTTTTCTGCCTGTATGCCATCCTTCGTACTGATGGTCGTGTGTTTAGGTCGGATTGCTGCTGGTCGGCCGTCTGGGCGATATCTTCGGTCGTCGGTACATCCTCATCGGCGGCCAGCTGCTGGGACTTGTTGGGGCGATTGTATGCGCGACCGCAAAGAATGTCCCGACCGTGATCGGCGGGAGTGTGCTGTGTGGTCTGGCTGCTGCAGTACAGTTGACCTTCACCTTTGTGATTGCTGAGCTGGTGCCCAACCGGGCTCGTCCTGCGGTCAACGCCAGCATCTTCATCACCACCCTCCCCTTTTCCGCCTTCGGATCCATCATTGCCAGCGACTTCGTCGCTCACACCGCCGCCTCGTGGCGCTGGACGTATTACCTGAACATGATCACCTGTGGCCTGTCGATCATCCTGCTGGTGCTCTTCTACTTCCCCCCTGGTTGGGATCAGAAGCGCGGCGGGCAGAGCCGCCTCGACGGTCTGAAGAAGTTCGACTGGATCGGGTTCGTGCTCTACGCCGCCGGTGTTGTTCTGGTGCTGTTGGGACTCTGTATGTGCTGTCTGGTCCATTTCCTTTGACCCAGCTGACGAGTAGATAGCCTGGGGTGGTACCTCGTATGCGTGGTCCTCTGCCCACGTCGTTGCCGTGCTGGTCGTCGGCTTCGTGTCGATCATCGTCTTTGTTCTCTACGGTATGTCCTTTGCATGTGCAGCCACCCAAGCACGCACGCAGGTACTAATACGACCGCAGAAATCTACGCACCCCTGGAGCAGCCCCTGCTCCCCATGTCGCTGCTGCGCAACCCCGGCTACGCGGCGACGGTGTGTTCTGCCCTGGTCGGCAACATGGTCTACTTCTCCATGAGGTAAGCGCGCGAGCATCAGGTCCGTCAATGCCGTCGTGGCTTCAGCCCTAACCGAAGCGACAGTCTCCTGTGGCCCGAGGCCGTCCTCTACCTCTTCACCACCAACACCATCAAAGCCGGCTGGCTTTCCGTAAGTTCGGTGTTTTTGTGCCTTGGCTAGTGCGATCGCTAACGAGCGCTGCAGATCACCACCGGAGTCGGCGTCATCGTCGGTGAAATCGCCGCCGGGATTCTCATGAAGCCCCTCGGCTTCACCAAGTACCAGCTCATCGCGTCCACCGTGATCATCACTGCGTTCTCCGGTGCCCTGGCGGCAATCAACCAGCACCACCAGGCCTACGGTATTGCTGTACGTACCTCATTCGCCTCAATACCTTTCCCTTCATCTTAAGAACCCACCTCTACCACACAATGCAGTCCCGCTAACGCAACCACCAGTTCACCGCAATCGGCGGCTTCGCAGTCGGCTACCTCGAGCTGATCACCCTGATCATGTGTCCCCTATACTGCAAACCGGAGGACATTGGTCTAGCCAGCGGCTTCCTCGGCTCCGCCAAGCAGATCTTCGGCACTATCGCCAGTGAGTGTTCCCTTGCCCATGCCCTCATTCCCAGTACCCCACCACCACCACCACCACCCCCCAAGTCTAAACCCATAACTAACGCACCAAAGCGGCCATCTACGTCGCCATCCTCCAGAACCGGATCACCGCCAACCTACCAACGACCGTCACGCACGCCGCCACCAAGGCTGGCCTCCCCTCGTCCTCCCTCACCGACCTCCTCGAGGCCGTCGCCGCCGGCACCAGCGCCGCCCTGGAGGCCGTGCCCGGCATGACGACCAAGATCCTCGCCGCGGTCGCGGACGCGGAGAAGACGGCGTACGCGATGTCGTTCCGCACGGTCTTCTGCGTGAGCATTGCGTTCGGTGGTTTGTCGATCATCGCGTCGCTGTTCTCCCGGGAGGTGGACACGAGGTTGGATGGGGGGGTTGCGGCTAAGTTGCAGGGAAAGGGGGAGGGTCAGTCGCCGTCGCATCAGGTGTGGGAGACAAAGGGGGTGGCGGATGAGGAGGCGCGTTAAAATTATTTTTCTGTTTTGGTGTAATGATGGTTGATGTTGAGGTGGAGGTGGTGAAGAATGCGGATGCATTGGTGCGGTGTCAGTGACGCTTTTTTTTTGGGTTTGATGCGATTGATCTACGTTGAAGATTTAATGGGGTCATGAAGTTAATTTATGAATGGTTATGAGTGAGATTTGTTTTGTAGGTGCTGGGATTGTTGTCTGCTTGGAGAGATGTGCTCGCTAGACCGAGAGTGATGTCTTGGTTGACTCGCGCCAGTTTCGGATGTCAACTGGCACGAGTGACGTGCCGTAGGTTAAGCAGCAGCAGCTATATTAAATTGGCACCCGGCCACCAGCAATAGTGGCCGGGTCACGTGCCCCCAAGAAGCTTGACCCTTCAAGCCTTAGTGCCTCAGGCAGCAAACTGTCAACCCCACCAAAAGTCGGTGTGAAGTCAAGCAATCAAGGTCTACCTACTAACCTAGTAAGTGAAGACTCAGCAGACCTCTACCTGGGATTCACCAAGCTTGACAGGGTGCAAATAACCCCTGGTACCTGGCACGACCTACGCCCCTTGCGTGCTGTGGTACCTGCAGCGGCCGTCCCAATCTCAGCACGTTGGAATCAAAACCTTCTCCTCTGCCCCCACAGACTTTGATTAGGCTAAACTGATTATTAGAGTCACTGGCCAGCTGAGAAATGGCTTCATGGTGATGAAATGCGGGGGATCTCGCCAAGATGCTTATCTCTTGGCACCGGCAGATGCTGATCCGTTCGGCTTTCAAAATGCGGGGAAGTCGCCGACAACCTCGTGTTCGCCGGAGGGGCAGAGGAGGAATGCTGGTGTATCCATGGTTGAGGCGAGGAACAAGAAAAGAAACAGTAGAAGCAGCAGAAGAAGCATTTGTGGGTTGCATTCCAATCACTGCCGTGGCGAGGCTGAAAACTGAGCTGCAGAAGTTTATTGGGCGGCAGTGAATGAAAGCAGCAGTGATTCTCTCAGACCCATGATATGAGTAAAGCAGAAGACGCAAGGGACCAGTAGATCATTGACAAGGATTACTCAGCCCCCGCACGGCATTACCCCGAGATGATCGCTTCCCAACCGTACGGGGTAGCTTGACTCCGCGCAAGATTTCCTCCAGCTGGCTTTCTGGCTCTTTCCCTGCTCTTCCTCTTTCGCATCCTTGTCGCAAACCACCTCACTCCCTCTACAACCCCCCGTCTCAATCCAATGGACACCAAAGAAATGGGCGCCCAACCTCCAGCTCCCGACGAGCAAACCCCCGGGTTCCACGACCCGGAGATCACCAAACCCACCGCCGAACACCTGCACGAGATCGACGATCCGGACGCTGGTCTGAGCGAGGCAGAGAAAGCCAATATCGTATGTATCGTGCTTGCAGTTGGGAACGTGCAATTGACCTCCACACCTGCAGGACCGCCGTCTACTCCGCAAGCTCGACCTGCGCCTCATTCCCTGGCTCTCGTTACTCTACCTGGCCTCGTTCCTCGACCGCACCAACATCGGCAACGCCAAGCTCGACGGACTGCAGCAGGCGCTGGACATGAGCAATGCGCAGTATAACGCCTCGCTGACCGTGTTCTTCGTCTCGTACTCCGTCTTCGAGCCCCTGACCAATGTCCTCCTGAAACGGACGCGGCCGAGCCTGTTCATTCCGACAATAATTGTGCTTTGGGTACGTCTCCCGTGTCATTCCATGGCATCAACGACCCTTTCGAGGTAGGGACGCGAATACAACCAGCCAGTCAGCTGACGTATGCTCCGACCGACAGGGCATCTGCATGACAACCATGGGCCTGGTGCACAACTACGGCGGGCTGATCACGGCGCGATGGTTCCTGGGCCTCGCGGAGGCGGGCCTCTTCCCGGGCATCAGCTACTACCTGTCATGCTGGTACAAACGCTCCGAGTTTGGCATCCGCATGGCGATCTTCTTCTCCGCTGCGGCGCTGGCCGGCTCCTTCGGCGGACTGCTGGCGGCCGCGATCGCCAAGATGGACGGCGTGGGCGGCAAGCAGGGGTGGGCGTGGATCTTTATCCTGGAGGGGCTGGCGACCGTCGTCATCGGGGTGCTCTCGTACTGGCTCGTCTACGACTTCCCGGACCGCGCGGCGTTCCTGAGCGCGGACGAGCGCAAGCGGGTGTTGCGGCGGTTGGCCGCGGATAAGCAGGCGAGTGGGTTGGGCGAGCACGAGTTCAAGACGGCGTACATCTGGGCCAGTCTGAAGGATTCGAAGACGTGGTTGGGGTGTGTGATCTACATGGGGGCCGATGGGGCGTTGTATGCGTTTTCGCTGTTCACACCGACTATCATTAATCAACTGGTGAGTTTACCCTCCTACAGCGGGTTATGGTGGTGCTAACGCTGGGATGTAGGGTATTTCATCCTTCTTCACCTACTCACTGGCTTCAGCTTCAGCTGTTGGGAACTGACCAAAGAAAGGCTACTCCTCCACCCGCGCCCAGCTCCTCAGCGTCCCTCCGTACGCCTGCGCCGCCATCCTGACCGTGAGCATCGGCTACCTCGCCGACCGCACCCGCCAACGCGGCCTGTGCAACATCTGCGTGTCACTGATCGGCATCGCCGGATTCTGTATGCTGCTGGGCTCGAAATCCCCCGGGGTGCAGTACGCGGGTGTCTTCCTCGGCGCCATGGGCATTTACCCCTGCATCGCCAATACGATCTCCTGGGTCAGCAATAATGTGGAGGGTGAGTTCCATCGCTAATAATGCCACTCCATGGCAGCCAGCAGCCCCCCATCACCCTCTGCCATACCGTGTCGGCTGACTGGAACGATAAACACTAGGAGTCTACAAACGCGGTATCACGCTCGGGCTGATGATCGGCTGGGGCAATCTAAATGGCATCGTCTCGTCGAATATCTACCGCAGCGAGGACGCCCCTCGGTTCTATCCGGGACATGGCGTCGTGCTGGGGTATCTGGTGACGTTCCTGTTTGGCGGGTCGGTGACGCAGTATCTTCTGCTGAGGAAAGAGAATCGACGGCGGCTGCGCGGGGAGCGCGATCATCGGTTGGAGGGGTTGGGGACCGAGGAGGTGGAGGTGTTGGGGGATAAGAGGCCGGATTTTATTTACACTTTGTAGAATTTAGGGTATGCTGAACGGTTATCGGGAGGGAATGAGCGTGGTTGAAGTCAGGGTCAGATGCTCCAGGTAGGATGGGAATACATTTGGAATTCACAATGATGCTGTTTGAAGCTGTTGCAGTAAAGTCTCAAAGTTCAATCCATGAAGGGAAAAGTATGTGTAGTGTAGTGCAGTCCTTGCCATGGCTTTGTGGCAATACAGCTATCTCGTCGTGCCGGTTACCACAGCCCCAGAACTTCCCCACGGCCGTCGCTTAAGATAGCCCGGATCATCGAACCGTGCTCTTGGCAATGAGCTTATCTACTGTCCAGCAAAAGCTACGGCTGACGAGCGTGGGGCACCATCTGCTAGGGGATCTGAAATCAGGATTTCTGCAGCAAGTGGGGATCGGAGGGGGGGGCTAATAAGCTTCTTTTAGGTTGTCTCCGGTGGAATGTTGAATAAATGTTATCGGAAAGACTATCTTTTCCGGCTGACTCTCTGCTGTCCTGTACTCTACTGTACTTGTTCAGGTCTGATTGGGGTGTTCCTTATCGGAAGGGTATCTCTATCTGGAATACAAAGGTGAAACAAAAAAAAGGAAAGAAAATCGCCGCTGAGTCGGTCTAGAATCTGTCATGCCAGGATCTTCCTCCCTGGCTGCGCCACGAAAACCTGCCGTGCGACGAAAGAGCAATTGCGTGAGGGTCGTGCGCTGGCAATCGGAGCGAGTCAAATGCCGTCGTCCTTTTCGTGGACAGGCTGAGCTCCTTCAGGGTGTTGGCATGGATTTTCGCCCCATGTTCTCTCCAGAGCTGTCGGGAAATTCGCCGATCCAGTCGTCGAGTAATTGGTTGTCGAGGGATGCAAAGGTCAAGTCAACTTGACGCCCCGTCACCCTTACTTTTCGTACTTCAACCATAGTCCCAATATTAGTCCACGCCAACAAGTCAGGGGAAAATAAAACAAGTAACCAGTAGCTACCTTGAACAGCAGGGCCGAGATATCCTCCGCATCTTCTTTATTGACCCGGGACAGCAGCAGCTCCAGCATCAATCGATACTCATTCGCCTCCGTGACCAGTTGGTCCATCTCCCTGTCAAATGCCAACCCCGAATATTAACCGCGACATCCATGTGATAACTATATCCGAATCTTCATCAGAGAGGGAAGGGGATCATCCCTACCTCTGAATCCGCTCGCGCTTATGGGCCGGGTACCAGCATTGCTTGCCCAACATGGCACACCGCTGGCATTGGTTCTTCTCGCCGGTGCATTTAAATTTCCCCTGTCGACACGAGTTGCACGCCAGCGCGGCTCGGCTCTTCGGGGCGTATCCGCGTCCCGCCTGTCGCGGGATGGGTTTCTTGTTGCGGATTATGGTATGTGAGGGAGGGTTCGGGGTGGTGGTGGGGGTTGTGGTTGTGGTGGAGGTTGAGGTTGAGGTTGAGGTTGGGGTTGAGGTGGTGATGGTCGATTGGGGGAAAGGAAGGGCAAGGGGGAGCGGGGAGGGTTCTTCGGACGATTGGCTTTGTCGTTCAGGCGATGGCTGGGGTTCTGGTTGTTGTCTTGGTAGTTGTCTGATCTCGTCCGTGCTACCCCCCATGCCCACCCATTTGGGCGCTTCGTCAATGTAATTCAGGACTCGAGAGATTTCCATCACGGCCGATCGGGAGGGGAAGATCGATCGTGTGGTAGATGTAGATGTGTAGGCGAAGGGTGGGAAATTATGGGGTAAACCGGTTGGAGGTCAGAGTCAGGTAGATAAGAAAAGCCCACCAACAGCAAAGGTTGGCACTATGGTCTACTTTTGTAGAATAGGCTGAGTGCAAACGGGAACTCATCAAGTGATTATTTCCGTACTTTGCTCAGCGGCAGCAGTAGCAGCAGTATCAGCAGCAGTAGTAAGCTAGTAGCAGCAGCAGCCAAGCCCTTCATTCCTTTACCTTCTAGTTCTGGGCTGAGAGGGACTGTGAAAGATGGTGACGTAGTGGGTTAGGGCTCCCTTGCAGCCAACCACCAAACAGGTTTAAATAGACAGGCGACTGGAGGCCACTCGAGTCCACTGCATTCCACTGTCTCCACCTCACTTTCCCTCCCCTAGACTAGTTGTTGGCTGCTCAAGGCAAGGCAAGTAACTTTGCCGGCCGCTTGGGGCCCCCAGGGCCTCGACCCTCGGTCGGTGCATTTTCCACCCAGTCGACTTGGTTTTTCCTTTGTTTGTGGTTTTGGACCTGTACGTCTGACCAAGCTCAGCTCACCCAGCTAAACCGGATTACCAGGAATTAAGATGGTTCTCAATTCCAGGTTTTTGTTTACTGTTTCTGCAGTACTATGAAGGGAGAAAGACGGTGGTTGTGAACTTGTGAGTGAGACCCTCCTTCACTCTTTGACTACCTAGTAGAACCTCCTTCCCCTCGGGTTGAGCCGAGTAAAGCCGACAGAAACCAACCCAGAATGCTCGCTACCGGAAAAACACCTCAGAGCTCCCTCCCAGCACCTCCGGTGACGTAGGGTAGCAGTGGAAAAGTAAATTAACCCTCTGGCTTTCGGGACTATCTTCCTGGACCTCGAGTCGATGGGTTCCACTTCTTTCCATAGTTCTCGAAAGTCGAACGCATTCAGGGGCATGTGAGCAATTTTTTTTTCTTTTTTCTTTTTCCCTTTCGTGTTGCCTTTGCGCCTTTGCGCCTACGCTCTCCGTCCTCTTACCCCGCCGGTCTGTCGCCTACTTCTTTCTCACTTCTACTAGAGCAAGACATGCACGATTCGTATTTTAGGCGAGACTAGCTAGTGGAGGCGTCTTTGCGGTGTCATCTCCCACACCACCCCCCCCCCCTTCAATAAGAGACCTGTAAATCACGGATTCGATATCCGGGTGGGGGAAAGATGCAGTTTTCCAGCCTGGCCGTGTGGTGCAGTGGGCCTTGGCAGTTTCCGCGATCGGACTTGTGGCTTGAAGGGTGATGAATCATCCTTTCCGTGCCTGTGATACGCGGATCTCCGTCACACCCTCCCAAATACCCTGGATGCCTCGTCTTACTCACATCAGATCGAGATTAGCTTTGCAAAGGGGAGGGGGGGGAATCCCCGGGGGTTTTATGTATCACAGAGTTTCCATGGCAGAAGCACGGCTTTGAATCTGACTTTTGGACTGATTCATCGCACGGGGTTTATGATCCGTACTTATGCTCGAGGGGGGTACCTAGTTTTTGATTCCCCCCCCCCCCCCAAAGAGTAACCTGTAGTGCAGACCGGCTACCAAGATTCTACTCGCATCAAAATCCAGATTCCGGGGCTGGACGGGGGATTGTTGCTGGCCACAAAACAAGGTCTTTCGCAGTGGCCGCTGCAGGGTGGCCGCACATGCATCACAATTAGATCAATCGATGGGGGGGATTCTACCGAGTACCGACCGTACTTTATCCCCGGTTGACGGGTTGCTGTTGGCGGGGATCATTCACAATTGACTTGGGGGTGGAATCCAAGTGACCCCGACCTCGGAGGTGGGGTGTTTCCTTTCGATGTTTTGGTGGAGGGACAGGCTTAACACATTTGTCTGGGTCGGTCGCCGTTCTCTGCTGCACACAGCTCTGATTGAGTCATCTGGGGATCTTGGATTGTCGAGGTGCTACAGAGATTCCCATCAAGTGCACAGCTCACCACTTCAGCAATTATATCTGAGAGCTGATCCGTGGCCGAACATGGGGGAACTCCGGATGCTGGTAGGCTTGCTGCAGAACCTGGGAACTAATTTGATAGCCAACAACGGAGACTGTAAAGTCTCCCGACTATCCCCAAACTTGGACTTGCCTCCAAGCTAGACATATTCCCCCCACCCCGCGTCGAAATTGTGACCAGATGAGGTCAACCTGCTGCGATCGTCCGCCTGTCCTTCGGGTTACCTCAGCCGATATTACGAGATTACCCTTAACCTACGGAGTACTCATAGCAAATTGACACTACATAGTATGTATGTATCAGTCTGGAAACATCATTCCCACCAAATGTCACCAAGACTGATTCTAACAAACCTGCAAAGGTGACATGTCTCACCTCATTGATGGTCGGAGGAGATCGCAACTCCCCTCCTCCCCGCCCCACACCAACCTGAGACCTTCCAGCGGGCCTTCCCCAACAGTCCAAACTCCAATCTCATCCACCCTGCAAGAAGTGGAGTTTCCGGCGAATATTTCCGAGCTGCGGGCTCGCTTAGAAGGGGGTAATTGGCGAAGGATCAACAGTAGAATCTCCCGCGCTTAACGACATAACTACACAAAGGGGCATAAGTTTTTGGTTATCTCCAATGACGGAATGGCGTCCATGCGTGCCGACTGCCGACTAGTTCTGACCATTGAGCACTGACCACTGCGGTAAGCGTGGTTGTCAGCACGGCCAGGTGCAATTGATGTTGTTGCGGATGATGTCAGTTCATTGCTTTGGGTCTTTGGGTGTCTTTGACCTTTACTCAAATTCCTCCAGAATTTTATGGAGTACGTACGGCAATTCAGTTGCCGTTGCTCTCGCAGGCGATGATAGCTTCAGCGCCACCCGTAGGCTAATATATTTCCCGCTCCTGGTTATTGGCCCTGACTTTCACCCTGGAATCCTTTTCCGGGCGTGATGGTTGATTCTGTGTATAGAGGAGCCGCCAGTCTTAGCCTTCTGCTTCACAGGAGGGGAGTCGCCATCGTCACCACTCTCAATTCCCTGACCTGCTTATCATTTGCTGATGCGGTGGGCTTCTAGCTCTATTTTGAAGTTCTTCGTACAACCAAAGAAGCTGATTCAACGTGTTCTTACATGACCTGGATTTGCTAGATAGTGAACCGGGGCAGGCCCTTGTGGACGGTGAATGCCAGGCATTCCCTAGCAGTGATTCAGGTTGAAGGTCTCAGTCATATATGCTTTTTTGGAAAAAGGCTGATACATTTGTTTAACAAAAAGCAATTCAACAGATTCGGAGATTGAATGAGAGCCTTGCTGCATTGCTTTCCTCAACCTGCCAAAGCGGCCCAAACTCATACGTCTCAGTCCCGATATATGTATCCGCGTTGAGTAGTCCGGATCGCAGCACACCTGTACCACTGGATTTTTGTCTTATATGCTCACCCATAGATATGAGCCTCAATTATTACTACAGAGTATACATTGTACGAAAAGCATTCAATAAAAGACGATCTATTCATGGGCTTGCAAAACCGAGTATGTTAGTGCCTGAGGCTGCATCTATACTGCCGTGGTCAGGCACAGGCGGTGAAGGCGACCGGTGGCCGGCACCTGCCATTTTTGGAAATGGTGGCAGGCGCGGGACTCGGTTTCTCTCTCAGTCAACATCACCGTCATCCCATTGAGATTCTCCTCCTCTTCTCGATGAGTTGATTGATACCTAGATTCTCAGCCCCTTGTTGAGTCTCTCCGCGCCGAGTCTTGCTCAATCGGAATTCCCTCCCGTCGCTACCCATTTCCTTCTTGGCCAATGCTTACTTCTTTGTCCGTTCTGTGGCGTCAAATGAACATCGTCAACTCGATTGCACATGCAGTAGTACGCTCATCCCCTCAAATGAAGCGCTTTCTTAGGATGACGCTCCGGGCATGAACGCGCGTCGTTTTCAGCTGAGGGGAAGATTAGAGGGGAATGGCGCGCAACAGACAAACAACCCCGGAGGATGAGAGAATCCACCATCAGACTTTCTCCCTCGACATTATCGTTCTCATTGCGCCTTCCTCCACCCGCGCGATCAGCTTCGAGCCCAACACCGACCGTCGAGTCTTCCCGGCCCCAGAACCTCGCGAGCAACAATGACCGCAATCTCCGAACCCAACGACGAGTACAACCTCCAAGAGGCGTGGGAGCGCGTGTGCCACTCGTTCGCGCAGACCACCAAGGTCGATCTGACGACCGTGCCCAACTACACCATCGAGCAAGTCCTCGAGTGGATCCGTGTCCGGGGAGCGGAGGATCTCGAAAGGAACGCTAAATACAAAGAGGGGAAGGCTGTGATCGACAAGACGCTGGCATTTGTGAAGGTTCTTGGGGGCATTGTTGCGCAGGGCGCGAGCATGGTACGTCCCAGTCGCCCCCGTGCCGAGCTGTTCCGGAAGATCTGTGACGTGTTGGACCGCATGCAGATATACATGCGCCTACCGAGCGACGCGGTGGATGTCGCCCTGCGAAAGATCCTCAACGAGCAGCTGCTCTGTTTTGTGGACATTTGCGCTCTGTCAATTAAGATACTGCAGGTCCATAAAGTCCTCATCCCCCTCAAGGTGTTTGCGTTCAGTGGCGATGAAGGGGTTAGCGCGCAGTTGGCTCGGCTGGCTATCCTTGGGGAACGCGAATCCCAAATGCGCGCGACCCTGGGCTTCGAATCGCAGAAGGCAAGTGAGCTGCGCATTTTGAAAATGCAGAGAAGACCAAGATCATTAGCACTGCTGTGGAACAACTTCTAGATTCCGAGCGAATGAAAGATGTCTTTACTGTGGAGAGCAGGACATTGCATGATCTCGACATCGCTCTCGGCAAGCCAAGTGAAGCGTGGCGTGCTCACCAGGCGACGTTGAGAAGTATATCAAATGAGAGACTTGTAGGGACCGGTGCCTGGCTTTTGGACGATCCGTTTTACACGTTTTGGGCAAGGGTTGACCAAGAATCGTGTTCCATACTCGGCATCGATGGGAGTGAAGGATGCGGGAAGTCCTTCTTAGTAGCGCACATCATCAACCACCTTCGGGCAATTCACTTGAATGACGACGATGGATTGAGACCGATCTCGATTGCCTATCATTTCTTCGGTCATTACACAGAGACGCAGTCGCTGATGCGGGCTCTGAAGATCATTTCGTGGCAAATCGCAAACGCAGACCCCGCATACCGCAAAGACTTGAGCTCTGTCGACATGACAAGCACCAGTGACCTGGAGATCCTCTGGAACCGTTTGTTTGTGAAGTCATACGCGACCGACTCGTGCTTCTTCATGTTGTTAGATGGGCTTGAACAATTAGATAAGGGGGAGGTGGGGCAATTGCTTGCCCTTCTGGTCAAGTTGCACACTACTTCCACAAACTGGGGCAAGTTCCAGCTCCATATCCTCCTGATGGGTCAGGATGAGACTATGAGTTGGATCAGAAGCCATCTTGGGGTAATATATCAGTCATTGGTTTGAAAACCAAGAGCGCCCAAGACATGAAGAAATTCATCGAAAGTCGGGTGGACCGGCTGGATATTTTCGGTGGTTCGTCGGAACAAGTCGTCTCAATACGCCGCGAGACCTTGGAAACCTTGATGCGAGAGGATCAAGGAGACTTCGTCAGCACTGGCTTGTTATTGGACGAAATCAGCACTAAATAACGTCCCGGCGAGATTCGAGACATTTTGGCTCGCTCGAGACAGAATCGCCAGGACACTATAGGAAGGAAGATTGACCGGCTGAATGCAACCCTTGGCAAGGAGGATATCGCCGAACTTAATGAACTTCTCACCTGAGTCATGTTCGCTGCGAGGCCACTTACTCTCGGGGAGCTTGAAAGCGTTTTATCTCTCAAGGGCCGTGAACAATCGCTGAGGCCACTATCGAATGTGATTATTGACCAGTATTCGTCTCTTCTTCGGATTTAAGGCAAACTGAATGGCGCGAGCAAGGAGTTCGACCTCAAGTCCCGTGTACTGTTGGTGTCGGACTCAGTGAGACACTTCCTGGATACACCAGTAAAAGATGGCACGGGCATGGAATCCAAGGTTTGGGATGAGGTTGAGGCAGTCAACGAAAGCGGGGTGTGAATTGTGCGCTGAATCTTGGAGTCCGTCTGCGATGCTAGCCTCTTCCAGAGATTCGGGTTTGAAGACTTTTTTGTGGCAAAGCTAAGCAGAAGCTCTCTCAAGGTCCGTGTTGATGTTGAGAGTGCGCACTGCAAAATCCTCAAGGCTTGCTTGGAGGCTATCTGTTCGCCCGACAAGCCCGAAATGGACTTCCTGCTGGATTATGCAGTTGAACCTTTTCCCTATCACCTGGAGCAGATCGACCTTTCATCAGTGCACCCATAAGACAAGATGTCTATAGGGCCTTATCTGGTGGCACTTTTCGATGATGTGGAGATTATCGAGCGACGGTGGTCGACTGGCTATACGTCTGTGAGCAAATTACGGCAGGTCTGGTTCTACAAGGATACACTAGTCCATACCTCGAGGCCGATCTCGTTCTTCTCTCTGACAACGATCCAGTCAATGATTGGGAAGGCTATATACGTCTTGCCGCCACCTTCGAGCAGTTGGCATGTGGGATGCCACTGTCGCAGCTTGGTCCCTGGTCAGCCCGAATCCCGACTACTCGGACAACCCCCGGAAACCCCGGGGGCCTATGGATATCTTTTGCGAGGGGGGCTGTGGGGCCCACTGGACTCATGCGGATGACCTCTATGTGTGCAAAACTTGCCCAGGTTTGCATTACGACAAAGCCTGCGCGGACGAACTGCGGGCGGGGACGCTCGCAGTGGAGATCCGCAGCCATGATCAAGAGTTACTGCATGTTCCGCCCTATGATCCCATCGCCCAAGCGAGGATCGGCGAAGGCAATGTCCGCGTGGGCGGGGAAGTCCTCAGTGTCAAGGCATGGCTTGAGCGGATTAGACAGGAATGGGGGCTAGAATTGGGAGGCTAGACCCGGCTGCCTTTAGTGATGGCTCTGTCTAGTCCCACTATCTGCTCATGGCAACGGGATCTTTGTCCCTAGCAAGGTTGCAACGGAATGTGAGCAGCTATTGAGGGTAGTTTACCACAGGTCTTGTTCGCCCTACACGACTGGCCCAGTGAATCCGGATAGCTATTACTCGGATGCTCTTTGACTACTAATATTCTGACCAGAGATGCTGTGTCGCGAAGATGACTACTACCTCGTACTCTGATGTTGCTGAGGCTAATTCCAGCCACAGTACAGCCGCTTTTAAGTTATGCACCCAAACGGAGCGGTGGCTTTGGTACCCGCTCAGTCGAAGCAAGTGGCTTAGTCCATAGTCTATTTCCGTGTAGCATCAGCTTAAAATACCTGCTCGTGATTGACCCAAGAGTACTCGAGCAAGCATGGGTTCGTGTTGTTTGGTACGCCGGCGAGCCACTTTTGATCTTTGGTGGTGTCGTATCTCTTCCATGGTTCGGGCCGTGGAGGCACTGCACCCTGTCACTATTTTCGTCCACACAAGCCTTGTGGAATAAGCCTTTCCCGGATATATTGGAGCTTTCGGCGCGAATGGTTTAGGTCGGGAGGGCTCAGCCTGATGCACTGGTGAGTTCATCCATGGTTGGGTGCCGGTCGTCTTTTTGTTTGACGGGCTTCGGGATTGAGCCTCACTGTCTACCATACTGTCAGGAGCATAGCCTCTCTATCTGCGGTAGATATAGCTTGTAGTATGAAGACGAAGTCTATATAAACCTCAAGGGCATCAGACAACATCGACTTGACATCCTCACAACAACAGCAAGTACAACAGCAACATTCAAGTCTGCTCTCGATCGTTCAATCTCCAAACCAAGCCTCTTTGCTACAAAGATCAACCATCACAATGTATGCTTCAGCATCTACTCTCGTCACCGTTGCCTCGTTCGGACTTCTTGCGCGGGCTCTGCCCACCGCTCGCTCGCGCAACGAAGTTCCAATAACGTTCTACGCGGCCGGTGGCGTGCAGCTCACACAGAGCTTTCCCACCGATGGAGCTCCTATCGCCATAAGTACGACTTCCCGTCGCATTACTACTTCGTGTTTGGCCTTCCATGATTGCTAACACTTTTCTTTTCAACAGACAACGGACTGAGCATCTCCCGCATCTCATCCAGCACCCCGGATGTTACATGTGTCTTCAGCGGTATCGACCACAGCAGCACCACTGTCCCAGGCGCCGCGATAGTAGACGTCGGGCCTCCGCAGGCTCAAACCCAGGGCTACTGCTTTGTGAGCTACGCTCCATCATCAACCCCAGCGAGCTCATGGGTACCTTCGCCGTCCGCCACTCCGCCAACCCTGATCCAGCCTGATGACGCGTGGACAATCTGGGTTCAGCCGACAGAGACCCCGTCAGTCTGGCGTCGGTCTAGGCAGGACTTGCCGGCACCAGGCCAGGGCTCCGGCAATGCGCCAGAACTGGAGGTTGAGGATCCACCTACTTTTGCCCAGGAGCCGGAGGAGCCCTCCACTACTACTCCCTCTTCTGAGGAGAGTACCTCGCCGCCTCCTAGTCCTCAGGAACCGGTTATTACGGACTCGATGCCGGGTGATTCGACTGCGCCGTTGACATCCTCGTGCTCGACGACACCTTCCCCTATAGTCACCTGCACTACGACTCCGTCGCCTGTAACATCGTCGACTATGACTCCGTGCCATGAGTGCGAATCTACCACGACACCGTCGGTTGTGACCTCCTGCACTACGACTCCCTTTCCTGTGACCTCGTGCACCACGACTCCCTCACCTGTGGTGCCGCCCACTACGACGCCATGCAACGAGTGCGAGTCTACTCCTACCCCTTGTGTTGACTGCGAACCGACCCCCACTCCATGTGATGACTGCGAGCCGACCCCTACTCCCTGCAAAACCTGCAAAACGACCCCTCCTCCGTGTTCCGAGAATCCTTGCGTCAACACGACCTGCTCCGATGACACCTGCCCTGACGACAACTGCCCTGACGACAACTGCCCTGACGACAACTGCCCTAAGGGACCCTGCACTGATCCATCACCCAACCCAGTTGAGTGCCCCGACGCCGGCTGCCACGAGGACCCCTGCCCCGACGAGAAGTGCCACGACAACAACAAGCGTCCATCATACACCCCATCTGAGCCCTCGGGGGACCACGTCGAGATCACCTTCAACGGAGAGGTCAACGCCGACTTCGCCGAGTTTACTCAGTAATTCCTTGCCTCGACGGGACTGGCCCTTCGATAGTGATTTTGAGAGTCAACCACCGTGAATGATAATGAGGCCAGATCACGGACCTCGGGCGAATCCAGGTAGAGGTTAGGGGGGTTACACTGCTACTTCCATGTTTGGGGATATACGGGTTGAGAGCGCGCTTCTGTGGAGACGAAAGTGTGGACGGAGTCGATTGTCCCTTGCTTTGTGCTTTATTGCTTGGCTACTGCTCATCCTGTGATTATTGACTTTTCTGTGTACATTGTCCTTTCCTTCCTCTTTTCTTGAGTTAGTTTGGCAGTGAGACTTCTACAGCCTTACATCATGGTTTTTACATACAGCACAGTTGCGCAGACAGTCATAGTTTTTCTTGTCCATGCATACATTATTACTACTGCTCACCAATACAATGATGACCGAAATTGTCACTTGTTATCTGGCACCGACTTGATCGCCTCCTTTGTCATGGAAGCTCTGGCCCTGGCATCGGCATGGCATTGGATCTAATCACACTGCTTAGGCCTACTAATCTTATCGGTTCGGCGCCGAGTCCCGATGCGAAACCAGTGGCTCCACTTTTGGCTTCGGCGCCGAATGACGTCAATCTCACCGGGGGCGGAATAGAGCCAGGCGCAATAACTAGAAACCTTGAAGTAGACATAGTCTGATGTGCAGGGATAGGAATCGCACTTTTGTTGTGATTGTTACATCATTGTTCGAGCCGAGCCCAAGGTGGACAAACAAAGAGTAAACACCTGACTATGACCACCACACCTGGCCAAAGAAAACAAACTGCAATAGACACTGATTACCAATTGAGTGGAGATAAAACACCGAAGATAGGTTTACATTACATTAACAACACAACCATATCAAACACATCCACTCCACCATCTACCAACGAATCTACACTCAAAACCCCATAATACACCCGCCTCACCAGCCCTAACCCCGCTTCACCCACCGCCACAACCGCGAAACATCCACCCCACCCCGCACCCGCACCCCCCAATACAACCCCAACGCCGCAACCACATTGAACCCGATGTACACCCACATGAGCCCGAAATTCCGCCAGCGATCCGCATACTCCGCCGACAGTGCCGTCAGGTACACGTTCGAGTCCGTCATCTGGCAGTAGGCGCAGTCCCGCGTGGCCTGCGGGTTGGCGACGCTGCCGCCGGCCCGCTGCATGTACGCGGCCAGATAGCTGCCGCAGGTCTGGTTGGACGGGGGCTGGATCGTGATCTGCTCGAGGGTGGAGCAGTGGACTTCAGTGTTGGCCAGGCCGGTGGAGAGCATGCCGCTGACCAGGTAGGTTAGGGGGGAGACGCGGTACATGAAGATCCAGAAGCCCGGGAGGGCTGTGGGGGAGGCGAGGACCCTTTATTTCCGGGGTTGGGGTTGGGGTTAGCTGGGATCGATGGTGAAGATGAACTGAACTGGAGATAGGGGACAAACTCTTACCCGCAGAAAATCAAGCACATGCAGAACAGCAGCAGCGCCAGCGTCGCGCCCACCTCGGCCGTCGCCACGCCCGCCACCATCATGATCGTAAAGGTGCCGCAGTGCATCAGGAAGGACCAGATGAGCAGGAACATCAGCCCGCTGCGCTCGCGCGTGGCGTGCGTCTCCTGCGCGTTGCGGTCCATGCCGATCAGGTAGTAGAACGGGAGGAAGATCAGCACCGCCGCCAGCGAGTTCCAGGGCAGGTCCGCGAAGACGTTGGCCAGCATGAAGGCCGACCAGGCGTACGTCTTGGCGGGCCGTTCGCGGACCTCGTACAGGTCGCGCTGCTTGATGAAGTTGGGCATCGTCTGGTAGGCCAGGAAGGCGAAGATGACGAGAAGCATGAAGATCGCGTAGGTCTGGTGCTGCAGGCCGAGGATCGTGATTTTGGTGTTCAGGAAGGAGAGGCCGATGAACAGGGCCTGCGTCGGTGATGAGAACTGCATGTAAAGAGGAGCAGGGGGGGCAGACTTACCGCGCCAAAGCAGAGGATGAGCTTCGCGTAGATGTAGGAGGGCGTTCGCCAGTACTGCTCCATCACTCGCTGGGTACATAGTTGGAGCTGGGTCAGAAACGGCGCCGCGTACTGTTGGTCAGAGTCGACTGCAGAGCTTTGTGTCGAAGCCTGGCGCTCTTCAAGATGCTGCAGCTCTCGTCGCACCTCCTGGTATTCACGACTCCCCTTCCATGTCGTTGCCCAGTCGTGCGTGGATTGCGTGCCAGGCGCTGCCCCGATGACTTCTAGCATCCATTCAGCCGGGTTTTCTTCACGGGTACACAGCCTAGCACCGTGTCGTTCGAAATAGCTGGTCAGCTTCTGGGAATTCTGTCCTATCGGTCCAAAGTAGACCGTGCGACCGCCCTTGGCCAGGAGAAGGAGACGGTCGAACTGCTCGAAGAGAATCGCCGAGGGTTGGTGGATGGTGCACAGAATCGCCTGCCCGTGGTCGGACAGCTTGCGCAGCAGTAGGGTGATCGACCAAGCAGTCTGGCTGTCCAAGCCTGAGGTTGGCTCGTCAAGAAAGACCAGTAGATCGGGTTTTGCAGCGAGTTCCACCCCGATAGTCAGTCGCTTCCTCTGCTCAACGTTCAAACCCTCGCCCGGAACACCGACGACTGCATCCGCGTACGCCCGCATTTCCAGCAGGTCGATCACCTCCTCGACATACCGATACTTGTCCGCTTTGCTCACCGATGCCGGCTGTCGGAGAAGGGCACTGAATCGTAGCGCTTCGCGAATGGTACTGGTCTCGAGATGGACGTCCTGCTGCTGAACATAGCCTACCCTCCTCTGGAACGAGGCGTCTCGAGGGACGCCATTGACAAAGACTTCCCCGGATACTACCCCGGTCTTGACCCTGCTGGCAAGGAGATCGAGAAGTGTGGTTTTACCCGCGCCTGAGGCTCCCTAGTTTAGTCACAATATCAGTGCTGGCTCGATTGGCTCGGAGCTAAAAAATATCCTACCATCAATGCAGTCAGAGTTCCGGGAGTCACCCATCCATCGATGTGGTCTGATATGCGGCGCATCTCGCCTTTGATCGGCACGTCGTAGCAGACATCCTTCCAATGCAGGGTGTTGGATTGGAGCTGGAGATGGAGCTCACGATCAGACACCGCAGCATGCTCTGCTGTCGTGGCTGCCTCGCTCTTGCCGGATTCCTCATCATGTGCAGCATGTCCGATGGCACTGACAGCTTGTGACTTGCGCTGAAAGACGAGAACCTCGCCTTTGGAATGGTCAAACATCACGAACTCCGCAATCAGCAGGTACGTCGTCATGAAAAACAGGATGAAGGCAATCATAATGCCGAAGTTCCTGAGCATACTCCAGTCAGTACAGTACATGTATCGTCTGGAAGGGCATAGTGAATAATTACCTCCATGTATGCGAGAAGTAATAGCTATAGTTGGCCGCCACATATGCATCCCCACTGACCAGGCTCGAGGTGGTCGACGCACCGGCCACGGCACACGTCCTGTACCCACTCGCAACGTCCTGATATCCTGGCCCCGAGGGCACGAAACTGGCACACTCGAAGTAGCGGCCGTGGAACTCGTTGGCCACCAGCGTCTCGTACGAGTATGCGATCGGATTGATGTAATTGATCCACCGCAGCCAGCCCTGCATGTTGCGAGTCGGGAGGACAAACCCCGTGTACACCACCAGCGCGAGCACGCCCAGGGCGATGGGCGTAAGCGCCTGTGGGATCGTGCGCGTGGATTGGGCAATCGTGCGGAAGATCATGGACATGGTCAGGGTGGTCATGAAGACGAACAGCAGGTAGATGACCACGTGGTCGGAATCGCGCCGCAGGTTCGACATGTAGTACAAGGGGATGTTAAAGCCGATGGTGGAGAGCACCTTGCTGGGCAGGTCGCAGATCATGGATGCCACGGCCTCGGACATCGGGTGGTAGAAGGCGTAGGCGGCATGCTTCTCGACGATGGGTCGTTGGGCGTACAACGCTAGGATCTGGGGACTACATTAGCGGTTGCTGAGCTGGTTGCCCGGATGTACTCACTTCTAGAGCGCTACTCAAAGCATTGAATAGCACGGCGAAAAACAGAAGGACGCAGCGATCGACAAAGCTGGCGGTCGAGTCGTCTAGGCTGTAGAACACACTGCCCAGGACGAGGGAGAGGAAGAAGTTTCCGAGCACAGTAGCGAAAAAGAAGGTGGAGTCGCCCAAGACTCTGCGATAGCCTCGTCGTATGCACAGTAAGACTTGCTGGGGAATCGATATGGTATAAGGTGAACTCGGGGTCCTGCACAGTCTAAGCTTCGAGCGATTTTGTGTCTAGTTGGTGACGCTTCTTACATCAACCGGGATCTTTCCGCCTTCTTGGAGGCTGCGAACTTCTCAAAAACAACCTCTGCGTCATGCTGTTGGTTGAAGTGGTCAATCTCCTTGCACAGCTCTGTTCTCAGCTGGCTCTGTTTCCAGGCTTGGGCGAATTCATCGGGTGTTCTGGGCACTCGAGCTTCAAAGCCTGGCCGAATGATTCGTTCGACCGGGTTGGTCAATGAGGTAAGGAAGTCTCCTGTCGTTTGTCGATCGGGGCAAAGGTAGCCCATGTCGACGAAGTACTGTTTTGCTCGATCTACTGGGCCGAAGTAGATTTGCCGACCTTCATAGAGCACTGTCACCTTGTCAAAGCACTATTCACAGCACATACATTGCGGTGGTCAGCTTGACGATTCCCACGCAGGACCTTGAGGAGGTAAAGACACACATCGTAGGCCTGTTGCGAGGCCTGGTATAGAGCAACCACAGCGGCAGTACCGGTCATCTTGACGCCCAGCCTGACGGTTTGAATGAATTGCAGCGCTGTGGCGCTGTCCAGCCCGCGGGAGCTGTTGTCCCAGCATTGGATACAGCTCTGTGTCAGACAGGTTTCCGCAATGCTGACACGCTTCCTTTCTCCACCACTCACTCCGCGGATGAAGTCGTCGCCGACTTTAGTGTTGACGGTGTGCGAGATGCCAAACACAGCCATGACCACATCGCGGAGATGAGTTGCATAAGTCTCTCGGGATACACCTGGCAGCCGGTTCCGAGGGGTTTTGGCCAGAGCGGCGTACAACAGCGTCTGTCCGACCGTGAGATGAGGGAAGTGGACGTCCGTCTCGGCCTGGTAGATCACATCCCCACAGAATTTGCGATGCATTGTCTTCCATGGAATGCCTGGTCGCAAGGGGACTTTCGGTCAGCTCCCACTCGACATGTGATGTGGTCTGGCCTACCTTCATAACTGAGCTCTGTGGAATCCGCCACCGATAGTCCATTGGTATGGCCTGCGATTGTCTTCAAGAGGGTGGATACGCCACTGCAGATACGAAATATAGTCAGTCAAAGCCAATCAAGCTGTTACTCGTGAGATCTGATAGTACGAACCTTCCTGGCTTCCCCAGGACAAGGAGCATCTCGCCGCTGCGGACAATGCCATCGTGGTCTCTTAAAATCTGCACCTCGCGTCTTCTTCCGGGAACCAAACGAACCATCAAATCTCTCAGCCCCTGCAGCACGACGTTCGCAACAGTGGGCTGGTAAGCAGCGCCGCCCCCGTATCCACCCACGCTGAGATGACGGTATGATACGCCTGCTCTACGCTTGGGGTACCGCTCGGGATCCTGCGAGGTCAATTCAATCAAGGCCTGGACCCATCGCTTGGCGCTGAACTTGGGAGAGTTGGGATCCAGGCACGTATCCTCTGCATCCGTAAATGGATTGATAGAGGAGCCGTGAGGCCACTCATGTACCGAGTCCTGCGTGAAGCGTCTTGCCAATTTGAGGATTTGATGCTGATTCTCTGGAGGTATCTGCATCGGTTCGGCTTCATCTGCCACATCGGCTGTCCGATCACTGGACGAGGTCGACGTAGACCTGCTGGTGTGGGTAGCCTGCTCAGGCAGTTCAGGCAATTCGAGGATTGAAGCTGGGTCGAGCATGGTGAAGGGCGACAGAAGGAATTAGGGCACAGAATCTCGCTCGGTTGGTAGGATGACCGAGGAACAAGATTCGCGAAGGTAGCTGTGTGTTGCGAATAACAGGCTCCATGACGATTTATATCGCATTCACCACAGCACTACCTCATCAGCATGTGATGAAAGGGGTTTTTCACTCATTCTGCTGGGCAAAACATGCAGCCCAGCCTAGTAGCAGACATGATGATAGACGGCGCCGACGCGCGACTAGCGTCGGAGGCGATCGGAGCGGAAGTTAGGGCCAGCGTGGGCCAGCGTGGGCCAGCCGGCGCGGGGCGTCGGAGCTCGTCGGCGGCGAACACAGCAACGCAATAAGGGGCCGATACTGCCAATGCTGAGAGCAGCAGCCTTTTTCTCTTCGTCTCCTTCCACCTCGACTCCCCATCTTTGTGCCATGGAGATGATGTCAGCGGCTGCATCAAGCTCTGCCGCGCTGCACAAGGCGTGTGACGCCTGTCGGACCCGAAAAACGCGATGCAGTGAGTGTGGACTCTGTGGAGTGTCTTCTTCCGCTTTGGCTGACTTTTGCCAGGTCTGTCAGGCACCAATGCCACCTGCGATCTCTGCCTGGTAAGTCAGGCCCCCATCCCTGTAGCCCTCATGGGACGGTATTAATATGCTGCTGCAGTCGCAAGGGCGCCCCTGTTCCTTTACGCCGGTGAAAAGGCCCCGCAAGCGAAAGTATGAATTGGAAGGTACGGAGTAGTCCGTGTTGAATTAATCATAATCATGAGATTCAAAAGGCTGATGATGTGCACTAGCATTGACACCTCTTGCGGATACTGATACCACCTCGTTGTCCTCGAGCACCGGCGCCCTGTATATGGACTCTCTTCTGGTGAATCGACAAGCGTCTCGTCACTTGCGAGACTCGGGCCATCCAGACCAGGTAGGTAGCATGAGCATAACCGCGAGATGACCGAACACCCGAAACTAATCGTGCTCTTGGAGCTCACCACGATCTCGGGGTTCAATCCCAATATCTCGTTCTTCCCCGCCAAACGAGTCAAGGCGATCAATGAAAGACTGGGGCATAACCGACTAGACCAACTACTCGAGCAGATCCGCGCGCTCGTTTCAACGAAGATCAAAACCGCCTGTGCCATTCCGCAGTCTTATATCCAGCGGCGGCACTCGCTAAGCCAGAGCCACGAGTTCCCTGACTGGGCAAGCATTCAAGCTCATATCTCCGGTATCTTGGCACCTTTTTCCATTAGTCATCCTGCAAAGTATTGATGAAGAGTAGCCTATTTTGAAGCCGTCCACCCAGTCTACCCGTTTCTGTCTCCCGACACATTCCGTCAGAAAGCCACGGCCGAGAACCTGCCCCATCTGCTTGCTGCTGACCGCGCTTGGGCGGCATTATTCTACGCGATTGTTGCCATTGGATGCCAGAATAACGAGGGGGGCAGCTTTGAGGTTGGAGTAGGTGAGGCCTGGCAATACTTCGAGCGGTCACTGTCGTATTTTCCTGACTTGGTGTTCGGTCGCGGTTCATTGACTGCCGTTCAGGTTTGCATCTCTGCTTTTTATCTCGAGGGAAGGATGACACTTACATGAATCCTAGGCGCTCATGGCTATGGTATGACACTTCGTATGATCGAGTACCCCCCTCTTTCTAAAGTTGACGGCAGGCAATCTTTTCATCCACCGTGTCTGCCTTCCAATTCGAACCCCTGATGTTGTCAGAAGCTAGCATGATGGCGCAGGCACTCGGCTACCATCGCTCGAACGGGGTGCAAGAAACGGCTCACCGACGTACATTCTGGGTTCTTTACTATCTTGAAAAGACTTCATGCTTTGGCACGGCAAGAAACTCCGTCAGTCATTCCATGCCAATCGATCTACCTAGCTCCTCTTTACTCACACCCGCCAAACAGGTCATCGATGACTCCAACATCAGCTGTGCCATTCCAGACGTGCTAGAGTCTACCTTTGGGGACTACGACTGGTTCTTCTGCTTCATCAAGTACGGCCGTCTAGTCTCAAAGGTCCATCAGTCCCTTTTCAACGTCAGCGCCGTGAGCCAGCCCCTGCAGACATACAATGCCACCGTGAACAGTCTACGCTCGGAGCTAGAGATCTGGCGTCTTGCGATCCCCTCTCGATTCCGGCCGGGCGAGGTCCCGAAACCTCGTCTTCTGCGCGAGCCATTGGCTCTTAAGATTGCCTTACTCACGCATTATATGTACTTCCACGCTCTTCTCACTCTATCGTGGACCATCCTCCATGTAGGGACTGCTCGCGTCGCGGCGTCGCAGCAGGACGTCTTGAAGCGCGAACTGTTGCGCACGGCGAGAAGTGTTCTTGAACTAGCGGCCTTTATCGAGGTCGCGCCTTCGACGCCTGTCTGGTGAGTTCTCTTTTGTGACCGTTTTTCTAGATGTGTGGCAGTGACACAAATACAATAACTGTAGGATCCTGGCCGTCCTCCCGCTCTCCGCCCTCATGATCCTCTTCGACCTCGTCGTGCACAACCCCACTCACGCCGAAACCGGGCTGAGTCTCGCCCTCCTCGACATGGCCGGCGGGCACTTCAGCCGCATTGAGTACGCCAGCAAGGGGGCGCTTCCGGGCTCCCTGGTGGCCGAGTTCGCCCACCTCGCCCGGCAGTACGTGTCGGACGTCAGGAGTGGCAAGACGCAGAGGGGCAGCGAGACTATCCGCGCCCCAAGGTGCGTTGAGGATACAGCAACCGCACCCGTCGTCACAGATGGTACGGCTCTGGTGTCGACAGCCGCCATGCGTGTCCCGGTTGGCAATCCGGCAATGAGTGTCGATCGGCCCCGGGAGACCGAGCTCGATCCGACGGCGCCCGTCCAGCCCTGGAGTCCGGCCTCGTTCGACCCCATCTCCTTTCCACTGCTCGATGATCCGAGCTATGCGCTGGATGATGTGCAGTGGTTGGGGATCGATGTTATGGGGCTTTTTGATCAGCTGTATTGAGTAGAATATACTTCATTAGAGTTTGAAGTGGAGAAACAATCTACTTGTTAGTGACACGAACTTGACGACCACCTAAGAAACAGATTCCGTAGCACATGGAGTTTATATTACCTCCATCCTAATATACTAACTCAACGTTCAGCGTTATGACTTTGCTTGGAAAGAAAGATGTACAATCCGCCAATGAGAAGAATGGATATTGATCTGAACAAAGCTGTAACTATAGCTTTAGGATGCAGGATGGCAGGTTGGTAGAGGATAGTAGACCAGTAAATCAAGCACGTAACTGAACTTATAATAATGTTCTTCACCATTTGACTAACTAGCGGGATAGGCCATTGCGCGTACAGCATCTTGGATCGTCGCCTGCGTTTGGGGTTTCGCAAGGTAAGCCCTGGTCAGGTTCTCGATGATTGGCAACTGGCTCGCTTGATCAAGAGGGATATCTGCAAGTCCCCCGCCGCAGTTGAACCGGAAATAGGACCAATTCGATGACAACCCGGCAATTTCTTCAAAAGCATCATGGTCATTCTTGATGTCGGTTGCAAGGGCAAGGGCATTTTGAAACACGTTTATGATGGTAAGCCTGTCCCAGAACCGCCACCAACTATTTCGCGCCGTCAAATTTTGGACGGGTGTTGGCTCCCCAGTTCCAATGCTTATAATGCATGCCGACGTGCGGTCTCCAATACCCATGTACGATTTCTGTTTCGAAAACGTCAGAATCGGGTTGTTGAAGCCCAACCCACCATCGATGTAATACTCCAGGGGTCCCAGTTGTGCGGGAGGAAAGTAGGTGGATGCAGCGCTGGTGGCCAAAGCGGCTTCCCACACAAGACGATTGGCTTGTCCATTTGCAAAACAGGCAAAGCACACCGCTCGATTGTCAATGATTCTCCCAGCGCTGTTCGAACGACGGCAAACCACGTAGCTAAATATGGACGACCTCAGTATGTGTTGTGTGAGGATACACCTGCCCACCGACCGAGGTACCTACCAGTTGCAATTGGAAGAAGGGCTCTGCATCTGTGTGCGGGTGCCTGTGATCAGCTGGATTTGTTGCCGAAGCAGTCCCTGACTGAAACGTGACCCGGCGAAAAGTCCACCGGTGAGAGCACTAAGATCGAGATTTGGCCAAGCTGCACGTCGTCGGAACACGGTGTTAGAGACGCCACGGAGGCTATTGATGCATGCCTGCATAGGCATGGCATATTTCTTGATCATCAACGCGCTTAGGCTATACTTTGTGAGATGCGGACAGCCCGATTGATCTCCATTTCCCTTCCTCAACTTACCCTCCGCCGCTGGTCCCAAAAGCGACATGAAACACATTGCCTGGAGGCTCTGGAGGCTGGTCATCTGCCGCAAGGCCGTTTGCAATGTTATATTGACGCACTATTTCCTCAATGATAAGGAGAGAGGAGAGGCTGCGCACACCACCCCCATCTAAGCTTCAGGGTTGTTAGTTTCACTTGGGCAAGTCAATTAAAGAGTCGTACCAAGTGAAAGGCAGTTCTTTTCTGCCCGTAGATTGTGGTGTGACATTGTGCAGATTGTGGCATCGAGTGGCCCGGTATCACCTACCCTAGTGTGGGTTATGAAGATGCTAGATTATTGTACTTTGTCTTTCCTCGGGTTTACAACCCTCTCACTGAAACAGACCCGTCATGTGCATGGTGTTAGGGTCTCACAGAATCGCATACATGGAGCGTTGATTTACCGATTTACGAGAACTTACCATGAACTTCACAAAGCCATCAGAATGGAGATATAGTTCATTCGAGTATCAACTTTCTCGATGTCGTTTTTGTCTACCCAGAAAGCAAATTGGCAAATAATTGCATTCTCATAGTCTCCATACGAGGAGCTAGTATAAGCTGGTAGCATAGTGGGGTAGAGTAAGAGGTAGGTGGAGCTACAGCATCACGACAAAGTAGGAAAAGAATGCGGTCGACGCCAAGGGAAACGATACGGGGAGACAAAGGAAGATTGCGCCGAAACCGAGATCTCGACCCGAACATGTATGATTGGCATTAGTAGATCATGTCTAGAACCAGCATGTTCCGAGTGGAAGCCACAAATGGTCCCAATGTTAGACGATATTATAGGATTGCAAGTGGAAGGGACATGTGATACATCCCTTTGGTGACTAGGGCTTAGGTAATTGGTGACGTGTGGGTTTGACTGTTGTTTTATAGTTGCCATTTCCACTACTTTAATTTCCATCGATAAGAGATAGGGAAGTCCATTGCATTGCCAATCCTGTGATTCTCAATATGGCCTGGCGCGTGCTCTCGTTGGGTGAGTCCGGAAGCCCTTACTCTATAATTCTTGTGGGTGAGTTTCAGCACAATAACAATATACCTCTTCAGACGGAGGGGGGATTCTCGGCTACGGTGAACTTCTGATCTTGGCCAATATCTTGAAGGAAATTCCACTGCCTCATGGGGAAGAATCGAATTCCGGCGAGATATGCCCGTGTGACTATTTCGATGTCATCACCGGCTGTGGTATTGGCGGGTAAGGAATCCTATCGCTTGCATCTGCTGCCAGTATACGACTGACAGAAAACCAGCGTCATTGCCTTACTTCTTGGTCGCCTTCGTCTAACACTCGCACAATGTCTACTTGAATCTCGCACTCTTTCAACTTGTATCTTGCGTGAAAGCTGGGGCGGTCCTCTTTTCGATCAGAAGAAGCCACAGGAAGTGGCCGACGGTATCGTCGAGAGATACTGTCATACTCCGTCTGCTCCACTGCTTGAAGACGATATCACAAGCAGAGGGAAGACGTAAGGCCTCCATCTCTTGCAAAGCATCTGAAAACCTCGCTGACGGTGCAGATTCGTATTCGCTGTCCAATCGGACCGTAAACCATATTGTTTCCGGACATATCCCTGCAGTAACGATCACAATTCCGTCCCTATCCGTATCTCTGATGCGATGGTTGCTCTTCTGTCAGCCCGAGGTCAGCTTGACGAAGTTTCGCTTGAAACATCCGATGGTCTCACTTCGTTTTCTGATGATCTCTATTCTTGTGGCCTCCGTAATCCTATTCTCGATGTTCTCAAGGAGTTAAGAGAACATTGGAGCGACCAGACAATCGGACTAATCTTGAGTATTGGAACTGGAGGGGTACCGCCCAGCGATATACCTGATCTCCTCAGGCTTGGCAAGCTGCACGACCTCATGATTCCCTCTTTGAGTGACTTAGCCCTCCCTTGGAAACTGCTCGGTCAGTTGAGACATCTGGCATCCATTGGTATTGTCTTATCCTGATACACATATTCTGCTACATCACTAACATTTGCATCAAGGTACAACGGATAGGTGACCCGACGAGGTAACACTTCTTTGTTCTATACTTGAACCCAAGCTGAGCGGCTGGCCATTTTCCAGATTATTGGTATGCTCGAAGACAACGAACGATATATCAAGAACAAACTTCACTATATGGGATATGAGGATAAGTACAATCGGTTTGAGATAGGGCCGGTGCAAGACACGGGGCCGAACGACTTTCGAAGTGTGAAGGAAATCGCTGATGAAACAGGTTGCTATTTGATTCAGCACTCGGAGAGATTGGTCTCATTGGCGACTCAGCTACAGGGTGCTGGTGTCAGCCACTAGTATTATCTCTTGGGGGACTTGCAATCTGTTATATGACAGCATGGCTTGGGAAAGACCTGAAGTAACTTTTCATGTGGCCTTTGTGCGCAATTTGTCCCTGGATTTTCCAGAGTACTAACTATATCACCGGTGCTCTAAGCACGTATCTATGTATTGGTATTATGTAGGGCTAAATGATTGACTTGCAGACACCCTGAGCATAACGATTGCCATTCCTTCCGAGAGTAATAACAAGCACCAGTGTTAATCATGGTGAAGCGGAGATGCGAAAGTCCGCACGACCTTGCACCGCAAAAAAAGGAGATAAGAGATAACAGCAACCCACTGTAGTCTCTTGGCTGGATCGTGTGCCGTAAGAAAATGAAAAGCGAAAAAAGATTGCGTCAGCGGGGAGTCGAACCCCGATCTATTGCTTGGAAGGCAACAATGCTAACCGCTACACCACTAACGCTGTTGTTGTGATTATAGACTTTGTACACAAAATACAATCCTATTGAATGTCTTGCGAAGCTCTGGAACTATCGGAATATCTGGATGACTTTGTTCGTTATGGCAGATGATGGAACAATTCTGGTAAAGCATGTTTTGCTCGGTTTGTTTCCGTGTTCCTGTCGGGCCAACTAGACAAGGCGCATTTTGCTCTCTGGATTACCTGGTAACAGTTGTCATATCGGCTGCTGACACATATTTTACATGATGGTTCGGTAAGTCGAATCTAGCAGTGATCCATATAACTTATTGTTGCATAATCATGACATGCATCATACAGAGCATGTGGGTGAAGCTATATCCCACTGTATCCTGTCTCTTTTAGTTTGTTCAGTAGTGTCTTCAGCACTCATAGATACGCCACGTACAACCGGCTGATGGCATGCCGGCAGGACTGCAAATGAAATCCTTTTTGAGAAGAACTACGGACAAGAAGGAGGTAAGAACCCGCTAATACTCCGCCATGATGATTGCAACAAATCCCATCTTTCAGCCGCAGAAACCAACAGTTGTATTTTCACTCATGGAAGGCCACACGAGGGGGCCCGTGCCGAATGGATATAGTAGAAGAGGTTCTGAACTGGCGGTGCGGCGCGGTCCACAATCTACTAGGCACCGATCGTGCCCTAGAATCGGCATCGGCAAGCGCCGTAATAGACCCCAGCGAGTGACCCGCTCGCATCCACCGCGCCTCTCACGAGTCATGTTTGCGAGCGTCACAGCTGAGCCAGCCTCCGCTGTAGCCTCTCTTATCGCAGCAATGACTGAATACAGCACCGACCTCGGAGATTACCTCGGCCGGGGAGTCTCCTGGATCCGTAGGCTCAAGCAGATCTGCACAATTGACACACGGGGGCAAATCCGCGGATCAGGGATTTTAGTCAAGCAACGCTCCGAGTATTGCAGAAAAAGGAACCCCAACAACTCCGGTCCTAAGCTCACGGGCTAGTGCTTAGCCCTCAACAGGCACGGCGATCTGGTCTTCCTGCACACCAGAGGCTATCACCTCGGGTATATCCGATGGAGCGGCGCCCCGAGAGGCGTGTACTTCGATTCGCGCGGGCTCGCGGTCAAGTAGCGCGAGTCGAACGCGCAGTCCATGGTGCTCGGGCGGGGGGAGTATTTCACGGCTGAGTGTTCGAGGGACGATATGGTCAAGTGGGCCAGACGCTGGAACGTGTATGAGGTGACCGGCGATGAGAAGAAATACTATATGGCGCGGATTCAGGCGGCCAAGGAGGGCGAGGGCGAGGAGGCGTAGGCGTATGCACTGAACCTGTATCATAGCTTGGAGATTAGAAATGATGACTTGGAACGTTTTGACACAACACAAAATATGTGGCTCGTTGGGACAGGCCTTGTCATCCTACATTCAAGGTTTTATTATACCTGTACTTGCGCCTTATTTGGTAATGGTGGTATATTCTTGGGGCGTGGAGTGCCATACTGAGCCATGAAAAGGACCACTCGCTGCACTTCATTTGCTAGATGAAGGAGATGTAGAAATGCGGTACAATGCTTGGCGACAGCTCATTGTGGCGATGTCATTTCTGCAAACTTAGGATATTCTAGGCTCTGTGCGCTTGAATGCGGGCAAGACGAGCGCGTTGACCGGCTGATTTGAAGTATTCTTCACCATGTACTTTTGCATGTCAGGAACTAGACCACTGATTCGTCAGTGCTGTTTAGCTCAACACCAGATCAGTCTACATATTATTGGTACGACCGGATCCTTCATGAAAGTCGTACTAATGACCTGTGATATACTTGAGTCAAAGGGACTACAGTTGGGGAGCTAAAGAAAGTTAATATGGCCCAAGCCTTCCAGCCGATAAGGTTGGCGATCTGGATCCAGTTATTGTTTCAACACGAATACGAGGTGAAACCCTCTTGATCCCCAGGCCAAGTCAGGGTAGCCTCACATAGACATTAAGGTTAATTTATGACCCAAGGTTCAACTGTCCAGCCGGCCATCGCTATCAAATGTCAGTTGACCTATCTATTGTTTGAAGGCATCAAAAAAAGGTAGAACGATAAACCTATGTTCCATGCACGAATCCGCTGCCAATACTTCTTCTTCGCTGACGTCAACGACTAGTCAACCTGATACGAGCGTTGATGGGGAATCTTATATGTATGCTCTTCTCAAGTGATGCGATAAGATGGCAAATTTACGCAGGTGCGCAGATATTTAATGGCAGATGCTTCTGCTCATTTTGACTACCGACGACAGTTTCCCACCCAGCACAAAAGGACTGAACCAAACACCAAACAGTATCACATTCGTGGTATATTTCCATTACAATGCACTGCAAGACTGCTCTCTTCCCTCTCTTCGTCGCCTGTACTCTTGCTATCCCCGCCGTGGTCCCTCTCGAAGTACGAGTTCCACCGAACAAGTATCAGGGCTCCTGGCCATTCACCATGCCAATCCCCCCATGCTCCCCGGATTCAGAACTAGTGGAATTTGCGGCCACTTACAATGACCATTGGGCAGTCTGAACCGACCAAGAGACGGGTATTGTGACCGTCAAGGGACACAACAACCTCAAAGGCACGGGGGTGGGGTTGACCAGCGGGCAGAAGTACCAGCTGTCGAGCGTCTACAATGAGGATCAACATTGGACTTTCATCCCGCCCTTCGAGCAGGAGTACCACGCGGTACAAAAATACCAGGTCGTCAAGCAAGGCGGTGGCCGGGTGTACGAGTCCAAGTACAATGTCTATTGGACTTGGGACCCGATCCAGGGCATGGTGTATCGCTTCGAGCGCGGCGAACTTCCGTGCTTCTAAGTGAGAACTTCCGATGCGGCGGTTGTCCTGTGCCTAGTCTGTGGCCTGGGATCGGAGTGCGACAACGATGAAATCACTTGAGCTTTTTTCATCCCCATGGATATCTTAGCTTCAAGGCACATTCATTAAGAAAAGGCATTCACCCTGCATTGTTATTCTCGCTGAACTCTGATGGTCGTTCCACCCGCGACAAGTGAAAGAGCCTGGGGGTAAGGCACGGAACTCGACCAGTCATTTCCTGCAGGCTTGTGCTTCATAAAAGCTCGGTGGTTGCGCAAAACATGGATTGTTATGCTCCGTATTGAGAATTCAAACTTACCTTCCTTCTATGACCCCCTAAATCCCAAGTTTAGACCAATCTGGGTCGAGGTAGTCTGCACGAGGCTATATCATCGATATTAGGAGTTTGGTAGATAAGACGGATCTCGGCTTCTATGCCCTGGCCAGAGTTTAGATTTCCGCATGATTTTCTCGAGTCTCAGACACCGGAAGGCCATGTATGTGTGCTCACTCGGAATTCTGTAGCAGCCCTTTCTCAGCCTTGCCGCCTGAACAAGTAGGAGCGAGGCTGAGCCCGCACAGGGAGGGTGACGTGTTAGACGCCACGCATGCATGAAACAACCTGCCAGGTGCTGCTATTAACCCGGCCTCCGGGCGCCAATGCGATTGTTGCATTAAGCGCCGGCCGCTATGCTCCCTTCTGCGTGCGGCACCTCATTTGAAGCTGCTATGGCTTCTGGCAGATCCTACAACTTACACTCGCGCCCGGAGCACTGCGCTCGGAAGTTGGGACGACTCAAACCGTTTCTGCAGGGACGTATAGTCAGACGATACGCAATAAATCATGTGAGTGTGTGAAAAGTGCACTTAACTCCTAGATCCAACTGACGAAGAAAATAGCTTACCATAAGAGTATTCGATCTGACTGCTGACAAGGAATAGGAATTAGAGGACGCTCTACAGGAGAAAGAGAATATGTTGAAGCGAAAGACATCTCCACCCCCCATCTCCCCGGAGAGGCGCGTTCGAACCAAACTCGCGAACCAAGCCTCACTGAACTACTACACAGTAGGCTGGATATGCGCCTTGGAGGAAGAATACGAATGCGCCTGCCGCATGCTAGATGAGGTGTACGCCGGCCCCGAGACCCTCCCAGACGGCGACAACACCTACGCCTTCGGTAGAATCCGAAACCATGGGGTCGCGTTGTGAGCTGTCTACCGGCCGGCCGGTACGGTACCGAGTCTACCTCGCGCGTGGCGAGAGACATGGTGAGGACGTTTCCACGTCTACGGTTTGCATTGCTTGTAGGAATCGGAGGCGGAGCGCCGACAGCGGAGACGGATATCCGGCTGGGCAATGTGGTGGTCAGTACGCCGCAGGGGACACTCGGGGGTGTCATTCAGTATGATCTGGGTAAACGTCTACCCGACGGTCGGTTCAAGCTGACGGGGGAGTTGAATGCTCCGCCGGACAAGCTGCTCTCGGTCGTTGGGGATCTGCGGCGGCGGTATAAAAATCTCAGGAAGCCGGATTTTGTCGCAGAGCATATTCGGCTCGTGGAGGATATTTCGGGGTATCAGCGACCGCAGCGGGATGATTTGTACCGTGCTGAGTATCAGCATGAGGAGGGAAAGGCCTGTGAGGGGTGCGATGTCATGCAGACTGTGCCGAGGCCACAGCGAAGTAGTCGGCGGGTGATAGCCGTGCATCACGGAACGATTGCATCGGGGAATTCCGTGATCAAGGATGCTGCCACGCGGGACTTTTACGCTCGCAATCCAGAGCTGAAGGTTCTGTGCTTCGACAGGGAAGCTGCCGGGGTGATGAATAACCTGCCTTGCCTGGTCATTCGTGGCATTGGGGATTATGCGGACTCGCATGATAATGAGCACTGGCGGAAATATGCTGCCTTGACCGCTGCGGCGTATGCACGCGAGCTCCTTCTTTCTTTGAGATCACGGGCTGTGGATGTTGTACCGTCGTGGGTTGCCCGGATCGAGGATGAAGTGATGCAAGGTGAGTCGGAGATTACATCAATTGCCGATGGGCTATACTAAGACACACGCGAGCAGTGGCGCGTACAGTTGAGATGATAGATGAAAAGACGTAGGTGCAAATCCAATTGTGCTATTGAAGACAAGTCTAACAGTTCCAGTGAGGTTCTTTTGCAGAAAATGAAGCTTCTCGAAGACAGACTTGACCTAGTAGAGCTTCCCAGAGTCAACAGAGCCGTATTCAATGAGCATATGCACCAATACAAGGATGAGTGTCTCGAGGACACCCACAGTGATGTTTATCGTCAGATCGCGGAGTGAGCAGGAGGTCCCACCGGGAAGTCCATCTTCGGCAGGTGAGGTTGGAGAGGTTGAAGGGGAAGAGCAGGCTCTGACAAACAGAGACCAGTTTGAGGGGCTGGTGGAAGGAATTCGCTCTGTTGAAAGAGGCAGTGCTGATTCTGTGATACCCTTACCCCATGTACCCCTTTGATATCTCGGTAAATGGGCTTACTGGAAAGCTGAGATTCTGAAATGAATTGCATGTCCTATTGACGGAAGGCTCTATGTTACATTAACTGAATATGTGCGAGATATATCGACTAAATCGGTATCAACAGCAGCGCAAGGCAAGTGGCGCTTCAATAAGACATTAAATGACGGAAAGAATTTATAAGGAATAAATCAACCGGGGGATATAAGAAGAGATAGGTGGCAGGGGGGCTGAAGAGCTTTTGTGCGGATCAGGAAGGTGAGGTATTTATAAGGGGGGCGCAGAGTCAATGCACCTCCCGGAGAAACTGTGTGGGAAATCAAAGGGAAAATTGCAAGGAAAGGGGAATAGCCAACAAAAAACAACGCTTTCTATACAGGGTATGTCGAGGGGGGATCACCTCGACTTTTCAAGGGGCTGTGCGGTTGTTGGGGCTCCATGCTTGTGGAGTCGACTGGGAGGACTGGGCCCGAGAGCACCGATTGCTCTCGGCTGGCGCTATCCCAGGATGTGTTGCGTTGGAGGCCGAAGGCGACACTGCTGTTGGCGCTCGTGAATTGGCTGTTGTCGAGGCGGGTCGGCGCGCCATGGCTATCCACTAAGGGCGCCACCGGCGTCGAATTCGCCGTGCGGTCCACATTGTTTTCACCCGGATAGTGGCGCGGCACAGTGGTCTGGTGGGTGTTCTCCGGGTCCGAAGTAGTGGCGGATGCTCCACTCTCCGACGAGCCCGCCAGCTTACCGGCATCCGGTGGCACGTAGGCGTCGTATTGCTTCAGATAGTCATAGTGGCCGAGAATGACTTTCTCTCGGATAATGTCTACGTCCATGGGAAAGTACACCTTCTGGATGCATTTGCAGACGAAGCGCGGGGTCAGGCAGATTACCACGGTCAGCAAAAACACGACCCAGAAGGATAACGCCCCGTAGACCTGCTTTGCGGCACCATAAAAGGTGGCGGATGATTCAAAGGACGAATAGATGCCGGTCCAGAAGAAGATTAACAGCGAACTGATCGCGTTGATCAACGTCGAGAACCAATCCCAGCGATACATGTTCATCATCACGTAGGTATTGCTCGTAACCACGGCACAGGTGGCTACAAGAACACCCACGCGATAAATGTCATCAATGCCCATTCCGTTCTCCGTTTGGAAATTGGCAACTTGATACAACATATAGGGCATGAAGAAACAAATAATTGACTGGTAGAATCCATCGAGCATGTATATCCTGGACGAATGGTTAGCACATTATACACCAGAAGCGGACTTGGAGTAATACTCACCAGAACTTCAACTGCGTCCACTCCTTCCGCTCGATACCACGCATGTAGAGTTGTGGGACGGCCATGGAGACCCGATCGTCAACGTCTTGATCAAAAATACCCATGAAGATGACTGGCAGTGACGTGAACGCCACGTTGACCAAGGTAATATACGTATATTCGAATAGATAGGTTCCGTCGAAGTTATCGTAGATAGAATACCAAAATAGGGCAAATGTCCAGACCAAGTTCTGCCAAATGGTCAGCAACTCTTCGTCCACTGATATCCCCAGAGCACAACGAGACAGATTCTTCGACTAACCTTGTAGAAAAAGTTGGCGGTGGTCTCACCTAGACGGCGATAGGCCCATCGTCCATGAACCAGAATCAACCGCTGCAAGAACCGGAACTGTCCGATCGCGTAATCGGCCGACATGACGGCCTGACGACCCTCCTCGCCAGCAATACCAACCCCGACATCGGCTTTCTGGATCATAGAAACATCGTTGGCACCGTCTCCGATAGCCAGAGCCATGACGTTCAAACCGTTCTTAACCATCTCCACCACGGCAGCCTTTTGCGCTGGGCTGACACGGCAACAAAGCACCGACTTACACTTCCGACAAAGAAGCAAGAACTTCTGCCGCAAGGCGTCATCCAACATGAAGCGAAGAGTGTCACCGTCCAGCACGAGAGCGTGAGTCTGCGGAGGCGGTGAGTGATCCTTGCGAGCGGCCTCCAGCTCCTCATCTGAGCCCGTGATACCGAAGATCTCCAATTTGCTATCCAGCAACTTGGCGGCCATATCGATATCGGAGGGCGCGTCGAACACAATCATTTGCATGTCGTTATTAAGCAGGTTGCAGGAGAAACCGATGTTGATGGCAGTTTCGATCTTGTCACCGGTCAAGACCCAGAGCTTGATACCTGCTTCGGCAAGGAGGGAGATGGTATCAGGAACGCCGTCCTGCAGGCGATCTTCGATGGCCGTACCTCCAAGGAGATACAAATTCTGCTCGATAGCATTGGATACCTCTTCCAACTTCTCCTCGCGGTCCACAATGGCGGCGGCGGCGGCGTCGTGCATGACACTCCATTCGCGGTACTCTTCTGGTTCAATGGTACGCTCAGCAATGCAAAGTACTCGCAGACCTTCTTGAGCGAAAGTCTCGAGATCGCGTGTGGTTGCATCACGCAGCTCGCGTTGTTGGCCGGGGGCTAGGCGGGAGTAGATCATGGTATCAGCCCCCTTACACAGCAAACGAATAGTACCATCAGGCATCTGCACGATCACACTCATTCGTTTACGGGTGGAGTTGAATTCCAGGATGTTCAAGATAGTATACCTACGCTCGTCACCCATGATATTCAAGATCAAGCTTTCGCCCGATCGGCCGAGGGTGGTAAATCCGCAGTCCCGGGCCGTGGCAACCAGGGCAGCCTCGTCCGGCGACTGTGCCTTGAATTCAATTTGGGGAGGGTCGCCAGGAATACGCTCCGTGACTACTGTATGACATAATGCCAATGCAGTCATGAAGTCTATCGTGGCTTGCTGCTGAGCCTCTCCCGAGGCACCACCCAGATCAGCGGCGAACTGTGGAGCAACAAAGGTCAAGTTCTCCTCCTTCAAGTACGGATTATCATGAAGCTGGCGCAGTTGCTGGATCATTTCCACACGTGCTTCACTAATTCTCTGACGAGCCTTAGCAGCTTCCTCCTCCACATTCACCAGTCCCTGCCGCCGCTGCATGCCCAATTGCGCTTCGGTGTATGCCTCACCATAGGGCACGCCGTTGACGGTACATTTCTTGAACTCCATGACGTTCTGCGTCAAGGTACCCGTCTTGTCAGAGAAGATGTACTCGATTTGACCGATATCATCAGAGATATTCCAAGACCTGGGCACACAGGACATCTTCAACCGCTCGTAATACATGTGAATATCATAGTAGATGTAGAGAGCCTGGATGACACGGCAAATTTCCAGGGAGATGTACAAGGCGATAGGAACCAAGTTCTGGAAGAGGACCACGCCCACGAAGAAGGCGATTACACCTTGAACGGCAGGTGTGCCACCGTAGGAGCCGTACTCAAAGAACGTCAGTGAAGCATCGTCCAGGCCCCAGGCAAACCCGTTGATGAATCCAGAGATCACACACATGATGAAGAGGATGGCAAAGTTGTAGACCACGTTCCAGTTCATGTTGCGCGCCATCTGTGGGCGTTTGCTTGGCGTGAGACCCTGGTTCAGCATAATTTTCGTTTCCGGTCCGGTGAAAAGCACGACACCCAACACCCACTCGGTGTTTTGTAAGCTACAGCCTCGAAGCAGAATGTTGTTGATCGTAATGGGCTCCACGCGGTTCTGCGGAGCCTCCCCGGATTCGTCATACTGATCCCAATAGATAGCACCGCTGAAGGAGTAGAGGTTGGCATGCGCGGGTGGCGATTCGACGGTGAACTCGGCTTTCTCGCAATCTCGAGCATTCCGCAACACACGACCGCAATTTAAGGCGTTGCGCACCTTGAGATTCGTCTCTCCATCCAAGTTCTTCGTTTCGACGTAACATGCTCCGTCCGGGTCGGAGGTAGAGAGAATGGCGATGTCGGCGGGGATTTGGTCACCATTGTATAGTCGCACAAAGTCACCCACGTTGACATCCTTCCAGTGTTGGCGTTTGAATCGCGCCTTCCCTGGGGTTACCCGGTTCGGATTCAAGACACTACCCTTGGTCCGTGCCCACGGCGAGTTTGCCTGCTGGTCGTGATCGTTCATGGGGTCGGGCCAGTCGCCAGAAGCACGGGCCTCCATGGTAGGGGAAACTGCCGTCATCTCGATCGCGATCGGCGAGGTAGGCTCAATCGAGGGCCTGGCATCCGCCATTTCCACGTCACCCGCCACATCTTTGTCGGCCCCATTCTTGCGGAAGAGGCGCTTCATGCCTCGATAGCTGGTAACCACAGCCCGGGTGCAAGCCTTTTTGAACTTACGCCAGAGGGAAACATTGTCGGCGGTCACGTTCACGTTGTCCCAATCCGTCAAGCGATACACTGGAGAGTTGTTGAGTTCGTTGTCGGACACGGTTCGTCGCCAATCCTCGATGGCATCTTTGACGGCGGTGACGACGACGATGACGATCAGCGGCACGGCACTCAGGCCGGGATCGGCGTCCCCGAAAATCTCGAAGCACTGCAAAATGATGACGAACAAGAAGTACAGGTTGGCGATGTTGTGGAACTGCAGCCAGAGGTTCTTGGGGATGAAGGTGAGCGGGGTGTAGATGGCGGTGCGGATTTTGTTCCTCGGATAGACGGCCTTGAGATTGCCTTCCTCGTCCCGCTCCTCGTCCGGAATAGGAAGGTTGAAATGAACTTTGCGCGATCCCGATTCTCCCTCGGTGATTTCCGGCACGCCTGCGGTCGCGCTCGCCATGGTGTCCGTCTGGTTCTGTCGGCGCCCGCGTTCGAGGATGGAGACTCTCTTGCGCAGGCCCGAGGCGGCGGTCATTCTCTTGGTGGCCCATCGCGCGCGCTTGGTGGATTTCTTGTTCGCGTCCTCCTCGGAGCTACTGGGGAGGGGCGGGACTTCGCTCGAGGCTCGTTCCAGCCCATTCTCCCCTTTGCCGTCGTAGCTGTCCATCTGGGTCGTGGGTTTATTCCCGGATTATCACGAGCGACAGACGGTAAGCATCGGACCGGTCGGGGATGGACGAGCACCGGTTCGACCCGGCCAGCGCAGGCCTCGGAGAGAGGGTGAAAGAGCTCGATGGTACTGTCGTCGAATAAGAATGGAGTCAGCCTAGAACAATCCTTGCACGTTAGACAGGTTTCCAGAATGTAGAGGCGAGTGACGTGGTGGATTGGGTTGGGGAGCGGAGAGCTTCTGGGTGGGACAAGCAGAGCAATTGGAGAGTGGATGCGACCGACCGGAAGTAGATGGATTCTCGAGCTGCTAGTGGTAAGAAGGAAAGAATAGGTAGAGCACGAAGCTGGAGGGGAGGGGAACACGAAATTCGTAAGGAACGCGATAAGCGACGGAGAATTGGAGGAGTAATTGAGGGAGAAAGAATGACAGAGGCGGAGGAATGCAGGAGGGGAAGAAAGAGATGGGCGATGGGCGAGGCTCTGGGCGGGCCAGCTGGAAGAATAAGCCAGACGGGCGGAACAGTGGCAGTGGCAGTGGCAGTACAGAGACGGTCATCAATTGGCGATGCAACGGGGCATTGCCACCTCTCATAGGCGGGATTGATCAGCACGGCTGTCCCGGCATCGTAAAGCTTCACCGCCTTTCAACCAATTGGCTGTGCCATTGCCCGTCCGCCTCATTTTTTCTGCCGCTATTTTCTGCTCGGGCATCCATCGGACCGGAGCGGAGTCCGGCTGCAGAATTTCCGATGCTCGCTAAGCTTGTTGCAGTTAGTGGGCAGGAAGTGGATCGGAAGGGTCGCAATTAAAGTGTGGCAACAATGAAGGGTCTGAGACAATCCTCATCAAAGATGAATCAAAGATGATCAAGTATCCTGCCTGTCAAGCATCATGTGTTGAGGTGAAGATACTCAGTAAGTATCAGCTCGTGATGTTGCAGCAAATCTAGCCCCACTACACACTCAAACGCCCCCCCCCCCCCCCCACCCAAGGCTGTCCCATCCTCCTCGAACATACGTACACGTACTTGAGTATGTCCCGTCCTATACTTTCCAGCAAAGGATCCACCCGACGTCATCCCTGCCACCTTATTTTCACACGATGAAGCTAGCTTCTAGAACCGTTTTGAGGGTGCTTTTTCCTTTTTCCAGGGGTATAGGCTTTACTGTACAACATTTTGTTGACAATGTGCAAACAATGCATCGGCTCTTCACCGCCAGCCTTGTGATTGAGCCTACGTTTGTAGATAGAAGGAGGTAGCTCTAGCTTGTGAACGGAACCTTAGTAGGTAACCATTGAACTTACCAATCCAGCAAGCTATCATCTGTGCCCACCAGGATTACCATCCTATCAGCATTATCGAAGCAGGTCTATAGCATATAAAGTGGTAGATGGCGACGACGGGAGATGAAGGAGGAGGATAGGTGTACGGCTATCTACCATCCAAAGTCCTTTAGATATGTGTATAGGAGAAACTTCCATTGCTGCCATACCTCAAGTCATAAAGTATCCATCCTATATTCAGAGTTATGGAGTCTTTCTCCTCAAGCGACGAGCATCCGAACCGATAGCCACTCCATCTCCAAGCGATCCGGATCGACCGCCATCTCTTCTCATGTTCGTCAGGCAGGGTGGGTGATGGGGAACGATCGAGCGACCAGCTGGCGGTGTCCTGTTTGCTCAAGTTGTTGGCATCCATCCTAAGCTATAGGATGCAACAAAGTGACAAACGCCCCGCCAGTCATCTTTGGCAAAGTAGGCCCATTTCTCCCCGTCGGCTCTCTATATACGGTGTCCTCGTTAGGTGTCTATACTCATCCATCCCATCCTCATGACCATCCCCACACATCATATCACATCCAACAGAAGCGGCCTCAACCAACCTCCTTAACTACCATCTCAAGTACATCAGCCTATATCTGAGTAGATATGCCTGCATCAGAGCCCGGAGCGAGCAGTGCATCGGGCCCCTCGTCCATGTCCTCCCCTGAAGCATCGGAATCAGGCGCGTCCACTAACAGAAACAACTCAACCGGGCCCTCGACCGGCCGAATCAACCCAGGTCAGCGTATGTTGCCAGTTAAGCACCAAACATATACGCAGGACGAACCGTTGCATTCGCGGTTGGGCCCCATTCTAGAGGCCCAGTTGGGTCCTATGATCGCTCCTGCAGTCATTACACTCATCGAGAACCTGCAGCGTATGACAGCTGCTGAAAACGATGGAGATCAAGCCTTCCGATCCGGGATCCCCTATACGAATGGATCCGGGCGTGTTCAAGATGGGGACTCGCAGCTTGATACGGCGATGTCGATTTGCCGTACTGAACTGAATCATTCCTTTGACAAGTGCATGACGGCTATCAACAATCAATTGCATAACAGTAAGCAACAGAACCGTGAGTTAACCAGGAGGCTTGAAGAAGAGACGAATGAACGATCTTTTTTGGAAATAAGGCTACAACAGCTGCATTGTGAAGTCAACAAGAACCCTCAGCTGCAGGTCAAGCTCAACGAGGCCGTCAAGAAGAAAGATGATTTGCAAGAGGCACCATGTACCTGCAAACGAAAGGGTAAAGACCTCCTATTCCAGCTGTCAAAGGCTAAAACAACTATTGTGAAGCATCTTAAAACCATCAATCAACTTCGGGCCGAACATCGCAACGACAAGGAGCGGGTGACGACGCTAAGGGCCCAGCTACAGGAGCTGAAAATTATGAATCACAATCTTATACTTCAGCACTGCGACGCTAAAAATGAGAAAAATGAGCAGGATCAGAAATGGCGTGGACAGACGGCATTGCATTAATGTCATCTATGAGTGGAAGGATCTGGTCTCATTACAGATCAGTAGTTACAGAAGAACCCACAAACCAAGAAAAAAATAAACGGCCATCAGGTCATGTTCATAATTCCCACGAAAAGACATTCATGCCACGCATCCCTCATAAATCGTAGAATCTCCCTACCAGCCCCGAGACTTCCACTGCCCAGCATCCTCAACACCCTGCGCGACCTTGCGGGCCCCATCCTCGACGCCACTTCCGATATTGCCCAGCGCATCACCCACGGGTTTGCCCGCACTGCCTGTTGCGCCGGTGATGGTGTCTCCGATTCCTCGGCCTGCAGCTCCGGTGACGCCGCCTACGGTCCGAGAAACTCCGCCAACCGTATTTCCGAGAGTGGAGGTGACAAACTTGGCCGCGCCAGTAACTCCGGAATCTTGGGAGGAAGGCATCTTGTGGTTTGGTTGTGGCGGTTCGTGGAAGAGTTTATGGTTTGGTGGAGCTTTGGTTCGGATATGCGGCAAGAAAGCCCAGTGTATAGAAGTGGAGTATGGAGTATAGAGTAAGTATAGAGTAAAAGAATTTTGATTTACTCGTATGTGCTTCAGAGTTGCTTCGTGATATTGCAAGGAGATTGAATCTACCACGCGCATGTCAATTCTCCGGAGATTTATATACGTGAATGTGCCTATGCGCCTTAAGAGATGATCGTGGCCAAGCTCATGACGTCATGACTGGAGTGGCTGCTGATCTAACCCAATCCGGAACGGAAACGCGTCAACACCGGATTCGCAACCACTCGCCGCATCGCTTCCTCTACCACACCCGCATAGCAACTCTCTCTCTCATTTGGCCATGTTAAGGATCTGAAGGATCCCCTCCTTATCTGGTAGCGTCTTGTTGTGCGCCAATGCGTCAGTCAGCGTCAGCTCAGCGATCTTGTGCAACTGCTCCTCCTGCGTGACGCCGACTTCCGAGAGCCGCGATGGCAGTCCCAGCAGCTTGACAAACCGATGAACCGCATCAGCAGCCTCGGTCTCATGCCACTCAAGCACTTCATTGAATATCTGGAGGATCGCCTCCTGTGCCGCCTTGGTCTCATTGAGCGTGAATCGGAGCGTCGGGGGGAGTAGAATGCAGCTCTTGACAAGAGTCAGTATGCGTCGGTCCTACAGCAAGGGATGGATGGGGCGGAACTTGACGCCGGCTTACCGTCACACCTATCGGCGACAGTCAGCTCATGAGACTTGAAGGATTGCGGAAACAAGACCAGAATTGAACTCACCATGCTGGACGCCTGCCACACTGCCCTATGTTGGCATCCTTCGATCAGCAAGCTACTCTATCCAGCGCAGGTGCCAACCAAACTCACCAGCTGATGGCCAATAGCGTGGCTTGCCCCCATGGGTATTTTCCACTTAATGAAGGGGATTAAAGCATCTCTAGACCCGCGCTGACTCTCTGCAATGCCTTTTAGCAGCTCGTCCTCGTTGCCACCCTCTTGTCCCTCGTGGTACTCCTTTAGGCCCCGCACCAACAGCGGCAACCCCTTCTTGATATGAGTTGCAGCCTCCCCGTGGCATTCGGCGCGGCACAGACTCTCCACAAAGTGGTCGACGGCGCGCATGCCCGACGCCAGCCACAGGTGCGACGGAGTGGTTCGTGCGACCGTGGGATCCATCAGGATCAAGGACGGGGCCCCCTCTGGATGCATAAAATGTTGTTTCTTCCCTGTGGCATTGGTCCCGCTCGCGTAGGAGTTCCACTCGCCCGCACTAAGGCTTGTGGGCACACAGATCAGCTTGGTTGCAGGAGCCTTGACGGTGTCCGGTCCGGCTAGGCCTCGCTTCTGGTCCACCAAGGCTTCCATCTCGTCCTCCTTGAATTTCGAGGGGAGTGTAGCACTCAGCATCACTGCGATTTTGCACGCATCCGAGTAGGAGCCCGAACCGATAGAGACAACGGCTTGGATGTCATGATCCTGGACTCTGTGTGCGATGTCGATGATGTCACTGTAGGGCGAGTGATTGCCCACTCCGACTTTTTTGTAGACCTGGTAGTTTGATAGGTCCTTCTCGAGATCACGAATGACCGAGGACTTTGTGTCGAGACTGGTGCTGACGACGAGAAGGATGCGTGACGCCTTCCACTCGGTCAGGGCGGCCGGGATGTCATCCAGATAGGAGGCCTCGAAGATGGCATCGTGACCATGGCGACCTTCGATACCGAGCTGTTGGATTCTCTCACGCATTTTGATTGAAGCTTCGTGTACAGCAGTGAACAAAGGTTAACCGGCGTAATCGTTCCCAAGCCTGGGTTTTGTTCTGACAGGCGAGATGGCGGGGTTATCGCTGAGCCCCGCCGGTGGAGCTGCAGGAATGCCGACTTTCCCGCTCTATCTCTCCTTGAGGGGTAGCCTCAGCGGTGTTCTCGCCTCAATGCCATTCCTTGTGTGATTGATCGTCTTGAGCTTGAACGCCGTTTCTCATTGCCTGCCATGCTGCAATTGTTGCTCAGTCTGCAGAATCGCCCGTCGGCGATAACACGGTCGCAGCTCCCACGGATGCAGCAGCAATGTTCCAGACCCGGGCTTACAAATGCCGGGCCTGGGGCTCACCTGTTCAACAACTGATGGAAGGTGGGCCTCGATGATCTGCGTAGTTACCAGCAGAGGAACCTGGCTAGTGCCCTGCTGCCCGACTCATGGTTTACCAAGAATATCGGGGTGATACTGATTACCACTGAAGGATTGCGCGTCTATGCTTATCTAACCTTACTATAGCTGCGAGACCCACGCAAACTTGGTTCACCATGTGCTTGGATGATCGCCAACCACAGGGAGCCCAGCCCGCCAATGAGTCTGTCTCTATTTCAGCCCGGGGGTAAATCGGCGGAGAACCTGGAATGAACGACACAACCCTGTTTCGGTGATTGAGAAGACGCGGCATAGAGGGAGACGAGGACCGGGTGGATGGGTTACGAGTTCTTAGGGCTCGGCTGTCAGAGTGACGTCTCCCGCTCTCCCCTCACAGCTCACGTCATGGTTACAGCACCACAACCTCTCTTTCTCCCTCTCTTTTCCCCCGCACAACCTTCCAAGTCTTGAATGTCACCAACCAGATGCTCCCAATTACCCACCACTATCCATGGCGGACCGTGCCAAAGGCAGTCTGGTGGGTTGCCGGGTGCTTTAATTACAGCCATGTCCCCGCGACCTGAAGATTCGCCCTTCTCCTACATACTTCCCCAACTGTAACCAACCCTCGCTTGCCTTTTCACATCTATCATGGCCAGTATCGTCGCAGGGGGCCTTGAGCGCGCCCAAGAGGCCGTCAAGAGCGCTTCCAACAAGAACAAGAAGGCCGTAGACCTCGAGCGTGACATGGTTGATGTCACCACCGAACAGCGCCAGACCACCGATCACGGCGTCCCTATCAGCAACACTGACAATTGGCTGAAGGCCATTGATGGCGATCACACTGGTCCCTCTTTACTTGAGGACCAGATCGCCCGTGAGAAGGTAGATTGATCCTACCCTCACACTTCGAAGCGAGCTTGATTACTGACGAATCCCGCCACCAGATCCACCGATTCGACCATGAACGCATTCCCGAGCGAGTGGTCCATGCGCGTGGCACTGGTGCCTTCGGAAACTTCAAGCTCCTCGAGAGCTGCGAAGATGTCTCCTACGCTAACATCCTTAACGACACGTCCCGCAACACGCCAGTTTTTGTTCGCTTTTCGACCGTCCAGGGAAGCAAGGGCAGTGCTGATACTGTCCGTGATGTCCGTGGCTTCGCCGTGAAATTCTACACGGATGAGGGCAACTGGGATATCGTTGGCAACAACATTCCCGTCTTCTTCATTCAGGACTCCATTAAATTCCCCGACTTCGGTATGTTCGGTGCGCCTTCTTGTATAAAGCCCCGCTAACAAGACCCAAGTCCACGCGGTCAAACCCGAACCGCACAACGAAGTGCCCCAGGCGCAGACCGCGCACAATAACTTTTGGGACTTCTGCTACCTCCACCCCGAAGCCACGCACATGTTCATGTGGGCTATGTCGGACCGCGCCATCCCCCGTTCCTACCGCATGATGCAAGGGTTCGGCGTGAACACCTACTCTCTCATCAACAAGGAGGGCAAGCGCCACTTCGTCAAGTTCATCTGGACCCCGCACCTGGGAGTCCACTCCTTTGTCTGGGACGAGGCCCTCAAGCTGGCCGGCCAGGACCCCGACTTCCACCGTAAGGACCTGATGGAAGCCATCGACAACGGCGCCTATCCCAAGTGGGACCTGCAGATCCAGACCATCCCCGAGGAGAAGCAGGACGACTTTGAATTCGACATCCTGGACGCCACCAAGATCTGGCCCGAGGACCTGGTCCCGCCGCGCACGATCGGTGTCCTCGAGCTCAACCGCAACGTGGACGAGTTCTTCCCGCAGACCGAGCAGGTCGCCTTCTGCACCTCGCACATCGTCCCCGGCATCGACTTCTCCGATGACCCGCTTCTGCAGGGCCGCAACTTCTCCTACTTCGACACGCAGATCAGCCGGCTCGGCATCAACTGGGAGGAGCTACCCATCAACCGGCCGGTGTGCCCGGTGCTCAACCACAACCGCGACGGGGCCATGAAGCACCGCATCACCAAGGGCACGGTCAACTACTGGCCGAACCGGTTCGAGGCCGGCAAGCCCGACGGGGCGGCGCCGCACCACGGCCAAGGGTTCGAGTCGTACCCGGCGCCCGTGACGGGCCGCAAGCGCCGGGGCCTCAGCCCCAAGTTCCGCGAGCACCACAACCAGGCGCAGCTGTTCTACAACTCGATGAGCGAGCACGAGAAGCTGCACATGATGAAGGCGTTCAGCTTCGAGCTCGACCACTGCGACGACCCGGTCGTCTACGACCGCCTAGCCGGCACCCGGCTGGCCGAGATCGACCTGGGGCTGGCCCAGCAGGTCGCCGAGCTGGTCGGCGCCCCGATCCCGGACAAGGCGCTGCGGCCCAATCACGGCAAGCGCACCATCCGCCTCTCGCAGACCGAGTTCCCTCCCAAGGAGCCCACCATCGCCAGCCGCCGCATCGCCATCCTCATCGGCGACGGCTACGACCCCGTCGCCTTCAAGGCCGTCCAGCTGGCCGTCAAGGCCGCCAGCGCCCTCCCCTTCGTCATCGGCACCAAGCGCTCGCCCATCTTTGCGGAGGGTGAATCCAAGGAGACGGGCCAGGGCATCGTGCCCGACCACTACTACGACGGCATGCGCTCCACCATGTTCGACGCGACCTTCATCCCCGGCGGGCCCCACGTCGACACCCTCCGCAAGAACGGCCAGATCAAGTACTGGATCGCCGAGACCTTCGGCCACCTCAAGCCCCTGGCGGGCACGGGCGAGGCCGCCCAGCTGATCAAGGAGGTCGTGGGCAGCGTGCTGGACGTGCAGGTCGCGACCGCCGAGAACCCGGACCCCGTGGAGTGGTACGGCGTGGTGACTGCGGGCGGCGTGCAGAAGCCCGAGAGCATCGGCGAGACGATCAAGATCCTCAAGGACGGGAAAGACTTTGTGAGCAAGTTCTTCTACCAGGTCAGCCAGCACCGGAACTTCCAGCGCGAGTTGGATGGGTTGGCTTCTACGGTTGCATTCTAAGTCTGGTTGTCGAGTTCGTGGTCAGTTTTGTTTGGAGTTGTGGATTGTATCTTGGACATGTGTAGGCTAGTATGTTAATAATCTGTATGACTTGACGATTTAATCCGATGTGTGTAGATTGCTGCTGTTCGACGTAGGAGATACTTGGTCGTGCTATCGTAAAGGCAACGCGACGGTTACTTTAGATGGAGACAAGCAGGCTACTGGATGCCCTACGCCGGCAAAATATGGTATGCCAACTGCGCCCGTCGAGGAGCAACACGATGATATAGCTGGACATGCAACGAATATGACCGACAACAAAAGACCATCCATTAAGAAGAGTAGTAAAAAAGAAATGTTATATATACCCCTATGAAGACCCACAGGGGACAGCCACCGCCATGCCAAGCCAAGCGAGCAACGGTCACCATGCAAAAAGATATGACAAGAGTGGGATTCGAACCCACGCCATCAAACGATGATCAGGAAGCTTGTGAAAGCTGAATGCTAAGGTAACCTTAACCTGACGCCTTAGACCAACTCGGCCATCTTGCCTTGATGTGTTAGTGTTGAGGGTTTTGTTTATATGATGCTTAAAGCAAGCCAAGCCAAGTGGAAGATGTGCGAACTTCTGGTAGAACTGGTCGGTCCTCGAAGGGTGTATTTAGTGCTGGGTGTGGTACTTAGTGTCTTCTGTGGGCCTTGAGTATTAGCTAAACCTCTATGTGGTCTTTCTGGGGTTGTTGATGGGAGTGGGCTAGAATCGTGGGAGCTTGCTCGAGGTATATATCCTTCACGCGGCCGATGCCGACGATGTCGCTGAAGAGACACGCACAACTCCACTATTGCATCGGACAGAGCTTGAAGAGTGAATGGTCAGTATCAAATCCCACTCGAATGTATGATTGAGTCCATACAACAGATGCCAGAAGCACCCGTGGAAGTCACCACTATAACTTGTCGAGCTTGGACAAGAAAGGAGGGGGCACCCATCACCTCAAGTTTTAGGTCGATTTCGTTGACAATAACTCGAATCCACACCTGAATCGAGATGCTCTCTCATTAAATCAAGCTAGAGTCATCTTGGAAATAATGCAGTCACTGGGCGCTGTAATAGAGCCCAATGAGCGAATCATATGCCCCCAACCTAGCCTAATCCGCCCTACCCATGAAGTCATCCTCATGTCAACATCCCCTAACGCACTATATATCCAGCTACCCAGCTCCATCCCACCCAGCTCTCCCACTCACACCCCCCAAGCATTACAGACTCAACGACACCACACCACATACACCACACAACACCCACACATATACCAGCGCAGCAAAATGTCCTTCCCAACCTACAACCTCCGCCGCCTCGCGCTCACCCACACCCCCCTCGCCCAGCGTAAGCCCTACCCACCAGCCCAAACCCCTATACCACCACCCAACGCTAAAGCAAACAGGACCACGCACAACCCCAGCCGCCGCCGCCGCCGGCGGCGCCTCAGCAGTCAGGAGACTAGCAAGCAGAGCCTCCCCGGGCCAAACCTCCAACGTCGCCAACCCGCAATCCAGCAGCCCGGAATCGCAATCCATCAACGTCGCCCGCGGCAAGCAGGCGCGCCACGCCGACACCCCCGACAGGGCGTCGGTGCAGTCGCCCATCTCGTCGCAGTTCGGGCCGACGAGCGAGGCCCACGAGGGCGAGGAGCAGACCTCCGCGGACGCGCAGATCAAGAATCACCCTGGGGAGTCGGAGGCGACCAAGCGGCGGAATGTGGAGAGGGCGGGGGAACGGCCTTTAGGGGCGGAGGATCGGCAGTAATTTTTTCTTGGGGGTTGTTCTGTACATATGGGAGGGGAGGGGGGTTGGACGATGGGTTTTGATTGTGATTGTGGGTGGTAGATGTGGAAAGATGGGGGTTTTCGAGGGGTCTACGGTTGATGTACTGTACGATAGATACAATACAGATATTATCTTGTCTAGTTGGATCTTTATCTAGGATGTATCTTGAAATTGGCGACGATTAGAATTGTTGTATGACCGAGAAGCCAGGAATCTGCACGGTTACTTCATCCAGCATGGCCATTGCGTGGGTCACAGACCTGGACCGAGACCACGCTCGGCCCCGATTAGGGTTGTGGGGGTGTCTCATGCAGTGGACTCTGCAGTCCCCGTAGGCGCTGACGGCGCGATGACGGCACCAGATCCCCCCTTCTTGACCCTAAGTTTCCCTCCCTAACCACGCCATCGCAGATCTCCCCATCCAAGATCCGGTCTCCATTCTATGTGTATGTCATCCACCTTGCGTCTTGATGATCCGTTCCTTTATCTGTGCCCCCCAAGATTAAATACAAAAATGAAAAAGAAATAACAATCACACCGATTATACTTATAGAATTAGAAATAATTAGACTCCCGCCTCGACCACAACCTCATCACACCAGCCACACCAACAACGGCGCACTCTTCCACCATCGCAAACCCAACCCAACGCGAACGACAAAATGGCAGATAGCATGGACTTCCCCAAATCCCTGACCCTTAAAGACGCAGGCGGCAGCAGTGTACGCCCCGGATCTTCCCGCCCACAAACATCAAAAATCCCAATCACCCTCTCCTACCTCATACTAGGTACCAAGCTAACCCCCCCCGAAAAGTCCCAAGGCTCCCGCCCCACCCAACAAGACCAATACACAATCCTCCGCCCCGACGCCTTCGAAAGTAGGAATGACCAGCTGGCGCTCTTCGCGGTCTACGATGGCCAGTACGCTTCCTCTTTCCTCACATCCTCATCCATTCCCATCAACTAACAGGTAAACAACCAGCGGCTCAAGCAAAGTCGCCAAACACGCCCGCGACAACCTCCCCGTCTTCCTGCGACACAGTCCCGACCTCCCGACCGGCGAGTACGAGAAGGCGATCGTCGAGGCCATCCGGCGCGAGGAGGAGCAGCTGCTGCATGAGTTCTGGGAGGGGGAGGATAAGCATGCGCTGGCGGGGACGACGATGGCGCTCGCGGTCGTGAACCTCACGCGGGGCGTGTTGGTCGTCGGGAATGTGGGGGATTCGGATGTGTTGCTGGGGGAGGAGGGGGGTGCTGCTGGGTGTGGGACGGGGATGGAGGTGGTAGGTTCTTACCCAGTGCCTGGGATATGGGGTGGTGCTGATGATGATGGTGGGAGCAGACGAGATTATCGACGACGCATAAGCCCGAGAGCGACGGGGAGAAGCATCGGGTTGAGTTGGCGGGCGGGACGGTCAATACGGAGAGTGGGACGGCGCGAGTAGGTGAGTCTTCCCTTTCCTTTCACACTTTGGGGCATCCGAACCCGGGCTGAGGTCCCTCACCAGGAGCGCTGAACATGTCCCGTGCCCTGGGCGACCTGCGCTACAAAACCCCCCTCAACAACATGACCCAGCGGGCCAAGAGCGGCAGCGGCAGCGGCAGTTCCGAAGGAGGGACCCCCTCCGCCGCCCACGACACCTCCCCGCAGCGCGGCGACTTCATCTCTAGCGAGCCCGCCCTCAACCGCGTCGACCTCCGCGACGATCGTCGCTATGTGCTGGCCCTGCTGTCCGATGGCGTGACCAATGTGCTGGATGACGCGACCATCCTCAACCGCATCGTCGAGCTGCGGCAGTCCGGGTTCGACGCGACGCGGGCGGCGCAGAACATCACCGAGGGGACGACGGCACTGCCGGGCAGTGATAATGCGACCTGCGTGACGGTTTTTCTGGAAGGGTCGAAGGTTGGGCAATCATGACCTGAGCCTTATTCTAAAGGTCAAATGAGGTGATGTGTGAGGTGGTGAGGTGGGCGGGGTGTGCATGATAGATAGCATTGCATTGCGTGCATGCATAGCAGAGGTGCATTTCACAGGACCTCCGGATGCGATTAGATCGGTGGGATGAGATACAATACAAACCTAGGGTAGCAGCCAAGGTGCAACGTACCGTACTGCAACATGAATGAATCATCATGGATGGATCTAGATCCCCCCCCGCGACCAATGATCATCGCCGGAAGCGATAGCCGAGGCGATCGGCGCGGCCCGGTCACAATGAGATCAGCCTATACTAGTACCATAGAACCTTGGCTAGTAGCACCACCACATGTTCACGTCATGCCTAGCATCCAGCAGACAAGAAATATATAGATTATCCCGCAATGTAGCCCGGATGGAAACTCACCGTCAAGAATTACTCAATTGCACCTACCATGTTCGAGAATATCGTCACCCCCCAGCTGAAGAGCCGGCCGCAGCGCCCTGCCCCCACCTTCGGCCCCTTGGCCACAAGCAACATTATCGACATCCGGACGGACAAGAGCGAGACCCAGCTCCGAAAGTCGCTGCAGGACTCCGTGCATGCCGCGTGCCATGGACAGGCCGCCATGCCCGACTTGCTCCTCTGGGACGAACAGGGGCTGCGCCTGTTCGAGGAGGTGACCTTCTCCCCGGCCTATTATCTGACCAACGAGGAGATCGGGCTGTTGGAGAAGCACCAATACCAGATCGCGGAGCATATCCCCTCCGGAAGCATGCTGGTTGAACTGGGCAGCGGGTGAGTTGCGAGTGGCCCCTCTCTGGGTCGTCGGGGGGAGAAGAACGACACTGACCGAGCAAGCAACCTCCGCAAGGTGAAGATCCTCCTCGACGCGCTCGACGCGCTAGGCCGCGAGGTCGACTACTTCGCCCTGGACGTCTCCTTCGCCGAGCTGCAGCGCACGCTGAGCATGGTCCCGCCGGGCATCTTCCGGCACGTGCGCTGTTTCGGGCTGCTGGGGACCTACGACGACGGCCGCGAGTGGCTGCAGCGGTCGGACCTCCGCTCCCGGCCGAAGACCATCCTGTCTCTGGGCTCGACGCTGGGCAGCTTCCCCCGGGCGGACGCCGCCGGGTTCCTGGCCAGCTTCGTGCACGCGGATGCCGGCACGGGAAGCAGCCCGTCCTTTTTAGTTGGGTTGGATGGATGTAAAGAGCCGGCACGGGTGCTGGCGGCATACAATGATCCCGAGGGGGTGAATCGCCGGTTCATCAAGCATGGGCTGGAGCGGGCGAATGAGATCCTCGACCACGAGGCATTTGCGCTCGATCGCTGGGATGTGGAGGGGCAGTGGAACGTGGAGAACGGCAGCCACGATCAGTTCTATGTTTCCACTGGGGAGGTGGATCTGGCCGGCAAGAGAATCTCAGCGGGGATGCGCATCCGAGCGGTGCAGAGCCACAAGTACGATGGCGATGATCGGATGGCGCTCCTTGGGAGGACCGGGTTGGAGGAGGTCGATGCGTGGGCATCGCGGAGTCGGTATCGTGAGTGCAGCCGCATCCTGTGAGAACCAGCGCTAACTGATGTGCAGATTTGCTCTTTTTGAGCAGCTGATAGAGATAGACAAGGTTGTTCTGAGCTGATAGACATATCCGTACCTAATGTGATGAGTCTCCTGCGCATCTCATGATAATACCTGCAGAACATGGCTGTCTGGTCGTCCGTAGAGCTGCAACAATGCAAACATACAAACATGCAAACAGCCCAAATCAATGACGACAGCAAATGCCAAATAAGCCAAACAGCACCAACAGTGCAAACACCCCGCATCGGCCAATCAGGGCATCCCCGCATTCTCGAAGGATGCTTTGCAAACATCCCCATCTCACGATGGTGTTTGATTCAGTTGTGGGATCCGGCGTATATAACAGCATCAGTTGCCTTGATAAAATAATGCAAAGTACGCAGTATCTGTTGAGCCCTCATCTATCATCCCCATCCTTAAACTGATCTTAAATCCATCTGAACTCACCTCCTTAACCTTGGATTTACATTGTATAAGTTATCAACCCTACACTCAACAATACTGTAATCACCTCCCACCATGGCCATCACCGCAGCCCTAACTCAACCCACCATTCTCCCCCCCGCCCTCCGCCCCGGCGACACCATCGCGCTGGTCTCCCCGTCCGCCCGCCTGAACAGCATCCTTCCCACGCCCCTCCACCGCGGCCGCCTCTTCCTAGAATCCCTCGGCTTCCGCGTGCGCATCATCTACACCCCCTACCCCGAACCCAGCACCATCGCCGACTCGATCCGCATCCGCACGGGGGAGCTGCACGAGGCCTTCGGGGACCCGACCGTCCAGGCGATCATCTGCACGATCGGCGGGCAGCACGCCAACGAGCTGCTCCCGCACCTGGACTACGAGCTCATCCGCGCGAACCCCAAGATCTTCGTCGGCTACAGCGACACCACCTTCCTGCACTACGCGCTGGAGTCGCGCGCGGGGCTGCGCACCTTCTACGGGCCCAGCGTGCTGACCGACTTCGCCGACGTGCATCCGCTGCCCCTGACGGTGGAGCATCTGCTGCATGTGCTGACGGGCAGCCAGGGGGCCGGTGGGGCGGTGGGGCCGGTGCCGCGATCGCCGCGCTGCGCCGTCGAGCACAACGATTTCCAGTTCGGGCGCGATGCCTCGGTCGAGCCCCGGGTGACGGGGCCCGCGCCGCCGTGGCGCTGGGTGAGACGCGGTCGTGCTGAGGGCAAGCTGTACGGCGGCACGGTGCATATCGTCGAACGACTGCAGGGGACGGTGTTTGCGCCGGCCTCGTGGCAGGGCCATGTTCTGCTGCTCGAGTCGGCCATGGGGCTCGATACGATCGAGCGCCCGTATTCGGTGGCACGGTTCAGGGGCAACTTGGTGGATTTGGCGTTGTCCGGGGTGCTGGGCGAGATCAGTGGGTTGGTGGTCGGACGGGGGTATAAGTATGATGAGCGCATGCAGGAGGAGTTGGCGGCGGTGATTGTGGAGGTGTTGGACGTGGTGGTCGGCAGGAAGGATGAGCTGCCGGTGTTGATGAACGTGGATGTGGGCCATACCAGCCCGTTTGTCACGCTGCCGTTTGGGGCGAGGGTGAGGCTGGATTCGGAGAGGGACGAGTTTGTGGTTTTGGAGGCGGGCGTGTCGACTAGTACTTAGTCTGTTTTGGTGTATTGAGGGTTATTTCTAAGTTCTCTGAGTACTAATAGCAGTGAATAGCATATTTGGCACCTAATACTTTGAATTGCATGTGGTAGTGTTTACCTAGTAGAGTAAGTAACACCTCCCCTCCCATCATCCTTACATCATCCCCGCACGCGGAGATCTCCATTCCACCATCTCTTCATCTCTGCATCCACAACACAACTGGAACTCTTCTCCACGACAACCACAACGGACTCCTACCACAACAGCAACATGGGCTTTCTCGACGTCCTCCACAAGATCGCAGACGACCTGCTGGCCCGGGTCAAAATGGTACGTAGTCCTCCCACCCCTCCCGGATCCAAGCCCACTAACCTCTCAGATCCAAAACCGCCAAGTAGGATGGCTCACCATCAACCGCAAGGTCAACTTCCTTCTCTGTTGCCTCAAACAAAGCTAACAGACCCAGACCGGCCAGCTCGTCCGCGAACAGCAACCCCTCTGGAAGAAACTCAAACTCCTCCTGCTGTTCAACCCTCTCACCGAATGGCTGGACACCACCCACCTGATGCGCCTATACATGCACCGCGAAGCGATCAAAGAGGGTATTTCCTTTCCTTTTCTTCCCTTAGACCCCCATGCTAATGGCGGACAGGCCAAGAAGAAGCCACCCCGACCTCGCGCAACCGCATCGCCGCCTTCATCGCCTTCTACCACATCGACATGACCCAATTCGACCCCTCCGATATTTCGGCCTACCGCAACTTCGAGGACTTCTTCGTCCGCGCGCACCGGCCCGGCTCGCGACCGGTCTTCGAGCCCGATAACCCCCGCACGGCAGTGGTTGTGGCTGACAGCCGCGTCGTGGCGTACGACTCCGTCGCAGAGAGCCAGAAGGTCTGGATCAAGGGGTGCGACTTCTCGATCACCAACCTGGTGATGGACCGGCGGCTGGGGGCGCAGTTCGACGGCAGCGCGATCGCGAGCTTCCGTCTCTCGCCGCAGGATTATCACCGCTTCCATTGTCCGGTGCGTGGAACGGTGACAATGTATAGGAGTATGCCTGGGGATTACTACGAGGTGGATCCGATTGCGTTGCGGAGTGGGGTGGAGATTCTGACGCGCAATGCGAGGGATTATGTTGTGGTGGATAGTGAGGAGTTCGGGGAGGTGCTGTTTGTGGCGATTGGGGCTGCGCAGGTCGGGACTGTGAGGTTTGTTTCCCCTGGGTATAGCCAGTGGGGTGGAGATGCTGATGTGTGTCGGTAGGATCCACGAGCGGTTCCAGCAGCCGGGGGCTCGGATCGAGAAAGGCGAGGAGTTGGGCCATTTCCAGTTCGGGGGGTCGTCGATCATCGTCGCCTTCCAGCGGGGGCGGATCGTCTTCGACGAGGATCTGCTGCGGGCGAGCAAGAATGCCATCGCCACCGATGTGGAGGTGGGCATGAGTCTGGGACGGGCGGGGGAGAAGGCGTAATCTTCTACAAGGATTTGATACTATCTGCGCGAATTTGATACCAAGACCAGCCCAGCAGGTCTATGTCTATGCAATTATATCCATCTATCCTGAGCTCTGCCCATTTCCATCCCCACTGCTCCGCCCCTCCGCCAACGCCCGCACATCGCGCGCCACCTCCCTCAACGCCCGCATGGCCGCCTCGCTCCACGGCGCCATCTGCAAGAACCCATGACACAGCTCCGCATAATGCCGCCACACGACCGCATTACCCGCGGCCTGGAGCTTGCTCGCGAACTCCACCCCGACATCCCGCAGCGGATCGAAGCCACACGTATACACCCTGGCCGGCGGCAGCCCCCGCAGCTGGTCGGGCGGTTGCATCCCCGGGGAGATATACCGACTGGACGGCGCCACCCCGTCGGGGATGTAGTTGGCCGCGAAGTTGAAGATCACGTTACCTGCGTGCCCATGTTAGCATCGCATCCCATCTTCAGCCCAGCTTTCATGAACCATAAACAGAAGAGAGAAGGACACACAGCCCCGTAAGTATATCAATAAAAGAGAAGGACATACAATCCAAATACAACCCCGCCCCGTCATTATTCTCCACCGCGGCGGGCGTATCGAACGGCAACCTTGCCTCGGGGTACAGCAGCACCAACCCATCCAACCCCTTCAGTTTCCTGTCCGCACGGCGCAGCGAAACCGCCGCCGTCATGTTCCCGCCGGCACTGTCCCCGCCCCCGAAGATCCGGTCCGGGTCGACGTGGCGCGCCTGCCCGCCCTCCCCGCGCAGCCAGTCGATCACCGCGTCGTACTCGTCCAGCTGCGTCGGGTACGTCCACTCCGGTGCCAGCCGGTACTCGACCAGGTAGATCTGGATGCCGGCGGCTTCGGCGAGGAGGCGGCAGCCTGGCTCGAAGTCGTCGCCGCTGCCGACGGTGTACCCGCCCCCGTGGAAGTAGATGAGGGCTGGGGCCAGGTTTTGCGGGCTCGGGCTGGCGGTGTCGGTGTCGGAGTGGCGGTGCGGGGTCGCGGCCGGGCGGGACGGGTACAGGATGCGCAGGGGGATGGTGCCGTGCGGCCCGGCGGGATGGCGGCGTGCTCGACGTGCAGGATTGAGGGCTGTTTTGATGTGGGGATGTTGCGCAGGCTGAAGGTCTGGACGTGGTGGCGTCGTTCTTGGAAGATGTCGCGGCCCGAGAGCCGGAGGGTCGGGTTTTGGGTGAGGAAGGCTTGCACTTCCGGGTCGAGGGTGCTGCGGGGCGCGGTTTGGGGGATCATTTTGGCGTGGTTTTGGGTTCAAGGGTTCGAGGGTTCAAGGTGGTGAGAAAATGTAGGGTTGCTTATGGGCCCGGGAGTGGTGGTGGTGGTGGTGCTTGTTTATATGCTTTCAGTTAGGGTATAGATCTGGTGGGGCCTGTGAAATCAACCCAACGTCATTGTTCTCGGAAGCAGCGGACATACACTACATTACTCGATACTTACACAGCATTAACTAGGTACCTAGTACTCATTAATCATAAATTCAAGATGAATCATATCCCACCACTGCTCACTACTCCTTCTCATCCGCCTGCTCCCCCCGCACCGGCAGCCCCGCCGCGCGATACAATCGATCAATGCACTCCATCTGCCAGATACTCTCCTCGCCGGGGATCCAGTACGCGGGCGTCCTCCCGCGCACCGCATCGACAAACGCCTCCAGCTGCCACCGATACGTACTCCACGCCGACTGGCCGCCGCGCGCCCCGTCGCTGGTCGTCACGTTGCCCCACAGCGGACCCCCGCGATACTGCCGGTGGGACTTGGTCTTCCCCGTCGTCTTGTCCGTGATGGCGATGTAGTGGTACAGGTGCGGCATCATCGCGTTGTAGAAGAAGATGATCGCCTTGTCTGTCTCCACCTCGATCGACGGCAGCTCCCAGAACCGCGGCACCAGGCCCCCCGCCGCCCACGCCCGCGCCATGTCCGTGTAGATCCGGCTGTGCACTTCGCGGCCCTGCGCGTCCTCGAAGGTCACGTACGCGTACATCGCCTCGTCGACGCGCGGGTCCGCCGCCGAGCGTCGCGCCGTCACCGAGTGGATCGTCTTGGGCAGTTGGCTGCGCAGCGCGTAGCGCGTGAACGAGAGCGCGTATGTCATGTCCATTGCGGATCCGCCTGCGCTTGTGTCAGGATGCAGTTGCTCGAACATAAAAGATGAAGGGAAAAGAAAGGAGGCCAGGGAGTGCATACCCGCAAGATCATACTGCCACCGGATATCCCCCTTGGGCACCCCGGGACTGGCGGTCATGATGGCCTCGGTGCGGATGATGCGGCCATACTCGCCGGATTCGAGGATGTGGCGGAAGGCGTGCGCCGCGGGGTGGAATTGCCAGTGGAACTGCGTGGGGATTAGTATATACTGTATTCAGAATAAATGCTGCATGCGAAGTCTCGAGAGAACGAACGCACCGCTTCCTCAATCGTCACCCCCTTCTCCTTGGCCTGGTCGATCAGCGCGCGCGCCTCCTCCGCGTTCGAGGTGAAGGGCTTCTCGCAGAGGACGTGCTTCCCCGCCTGGATCGCCTTGGCCGCCCATTCGTAGTGCAGCCCGTTCGGAGTCGAGATGTAGACGATGTCGACGGCCGGGTCGTCCAGCAGCGCCTGGTACGAGTCGTGCGACCGGGTAAAGTGGTACTGCTTGGCGGCGTGGGCGGCTGTCGCGGCGTCGCGCGAGGCGATGCTGTAGAGGATCACGTCGGGGTGGGTTTCGACGGGATGGATGACTGCGTAGGTAAGTATGGGAGACATATGGAGGTGTTGGGATCTGGTGGTGAGGCGTACCAGCTGCGGCGTTGATCTGGGCGGAGGATAGCACGCCGAGCCTGAGGGCATTCGGCGACTTCTGCGGCGCGGAGTGCAGAAATGCGCCCAGGTACTGGTGGAGGAATGTTGCGCCTTGAAGAACGAGAGCCATCTTGCTTCAGTTCGTTGCCGATATCAAGGTAGCAGTGACCTTTGTCGAGTTGAGAAGAGTGTTCCTGAGTTGATGTTTATGTGAGGTGGGCGGAGAGCGATAAGAGCGGAGTATGTATGAGTTGTGAGTGATGACGTTGACAGCCCGTCACTCTTGCACTGGTCGACAGGTCCAGTGTGGACGACAACGCTTGAATGGCGTAACTTTCGTCTCTTCCAATCGTATAGATCAGTGTAATCACCTAGCATATGGTGCGTTGTGTTGTGGTCTGATTGCAGGGCCTAGTCTGGATGTCCACGGTTGACGGTCGGTTGACGTCTTGTATACATTGGTTCAGTATGATGCATTCTTCAGGTTGATTTGGAAGGTTGGACTCTAGGAGGGAATCACATCGCGCCACTAGTCAGTCAGTCAGTGAGGCTCGGGATATACAAGTTGGAACTTCACCATCCTCCCCTTGGGACATCTCATCACATTATAGACATAGCGTTGAACTGTGAATGAGTCCAACTTCATTTCAGGTTACAACAAGTAGTAGGAACGTTTGGCATAAATAAAAGGCATATTATATCAATTGGCCGGATGGTGTAGTTGGTTATCACGTATCGTTAACACCGATAAGGTCCTGGGATCGAGCCCCAGTCTGGTCATTGCTTTTTGCTTTTGCATTTTGCCACCCTTGCTATCTTATCGCTGGCCGTCCGTCCCTGTCACATCAACCCCTCTTGGTTGATGCCAGCTATTTATGCATCTCTCCTGGGTGGACTTGGTGCACATGGTGCACCAAGTCAACGGCCGTCCTTGAGACTTGGACCCTCTTTTGGCCCCCACGAGTCTCCCTCAAATCTCAGGGTAATCTCTTCCGAGAATGGGATCTAGTCTGCCCCTCTGATCTTATCGCACCCAATGAGCATAGCTTTAACCCCCCCGATCTGGGAACATGCTCGGATCCTCCCCTGATCATCTCGTCCTTCTCAATCTACGTGCAACGCCCGTTATATGAATGCAGTTACGGCTCATCTTTCCTGTCTGCTAGCATTCCTGCTTTGCATTGATCACAATGGCACTCACACCAATTCCAAGCGCCGCACTAAGCCGAATGCACAAGCCACCACGACTAACCGCCGCAGACTAAGCGCCGACCCTGAAACGGACTTGCAGCTAAGACCAATGCACCCTGTGCCGCCCTAGACTGTCCCCGATGGCTTTGCCCCCCAGCTCAGCCTTGCACCTTGCTTTCTCTATTGTTGTAACCTTCCCCTCTTTTACCACCTACATCACTCTTGCTGTGAAACCACAGCAGCAGCAGCAGCAGCAGGACCGGGCATCTCTCCTCACCCGCGCAACATACCCAAACATGACAGCATCACACCTTCTCTCACTCCTCGCGCTCCTCGCGACAGTCACCTCAACGCAGACAGCAAACACCACCTTCAGCAAGCGCGGCTCCGTACTGACAGACCTATCCGGTGGATTCTGTCGGAGCTATCAATTCGGCGGTACGCTCATCCCTCCTTCTCATCCATGCTCATCAACTAAAACAGGTGATCTGCAGTAAACATCGCCAATGATGTCCTCTACATGGTCGACCTGGATGGCGGCCTCGTCCCCGACGACGGGAACAGTTCCCGTGCGCCCACCCTCCCGAACCCCCCGAGGAGATCATTCGGATGTTGACGAAAGACAACAGATAACTATATGCTGCAGCTGGATTTGAGCCAGTCATTCTCGATGAACGATGGCGCAAACTACAAGATGAGTCTGGTGGACGCGCAGATCCCCGTGCTGAAGGATCAGGCGCTGTGGTCCAGTCGCGATAACAGTTCCCTGTTCTTGTATGGTGGACGGCGGGCGAGCAATATCAGTTTGGATGAGAAGGTGTGGAAGTATGAGGTGCAGGAGGGGAAGTGGGAGGTGCAGGAGACGAGTGCGGTGCCTGTGCGGCATGATGGTGGAGGTGAGTGGCCTTTTTCTCTTGTCGGGGAGGAGCGTTGGGGTTAATGATGGAATGGGCTGGTGCTGATGGTGCGATATAGTGAATGTCAACGTGCCTGAGCTGCAGAGCGCGTACTGGCTCGGTGGGTATCAGGATTCCTCGACAACAACCGCCATCACCGATAGTCGGCGGGTGTATGCGACCAGCATGGTGGAGTTCAACACGACAACCGGCGAGATCGCCGAGATCGAGGCCCCCGTCACGCCTGTGCAGGACGGAGCGTTGGTGTATATCCCCGTCGGAGAGAAAGGGCTGCTGGTGTTTCTGGGCGGGGAGACGCCCTCGATGGTCAACGGCACCAATGCGACTATGGCTGTGGTGAGAGCAAGCGTCGTTGAACATGGGCACGAGCCCAGCTGACGGACTCCCTGCAGAACAGCTGGAACTATGTTCAGGTATATGACATCGCCTCCGGCAGCTGGTACAACCAGTCGACGAGCGGCAGCGTGGCCTCGCGCACGCAGTTCTGCGCCACCGTCCAGCACGATCTCTCCTCCGCCTCGTATCAGATCTATGTGCTCGGCGGCGCCGACTATCACTCCCAGGACGTCATCACCGACGTGGATTACCTCTCCATCCCCTCCTTCAAGTGGTACAACGCCGCCGGACTCAGTGAAGGCCGGATGACGCTCAGCTGCCAGGCTTATGGAAGGCAGATCTTCGGGGTCGGCGGCCGTCTCGCCTGGGCTGACGACTCAGACGCCGGTTGCTACACCATGCCCGCGTTTGTCTACGATGCGCAGTCCGAGGTGGTTCGGTCGGGGTTTGACGTAGGTTGCCTAAGTTAGCCAACTGACGCAGTCTGTGCTGATTGGAAGATAGCCCGGGTTAATGACCTACTCTCTCTCCTCCGCTACCGCGGCGGACATCAAGGCCTCGCCATATCCCTCCAGTTGGGCCAGTCCGGCATTGAGGGAGCTGTTCGTCTCGCAAACCAACACCACATCAGCAACGGCTTCGCCCTCTCCCACGAGCAGTAGTGGAGTAGGCTCACATTCACACGCAGGAGCAATAGCCGGCGGAGTGGTGGGCGGAGTGGTCGGTCTCGCTCTGCTCCTCGCCTTGGGGTATCTCTTCCTCCGACGGCGGCGTCGGGCTGTGCCTCAAACGGAGGAAAGCCTGCCGGTGGCTGCTGGTAGTTGGGAGAAGGCCGAACTCCCCACCTTCGGGCATACGGTCAGTGAGGTGTCGGGCGAAGCGGCGGCGAGCGAATTGGAGAGCGAGCAGCTTATGACACGCCACGAGCTGCCCGGGAGCAACGAACGTGTTTACGAGCTGGATGCGCAGGGAACGGGTCAGAGGCAATGTTAATTGATTTTTTTCTGTTAGAAAAATACCACAGTTTAAACGGGAAATCGAAAGTTCTTTCGCGATGAAAATATCACACCGGACTCCACAATCACTCTTATTCTTTTGATATGATTCTCCAATTGGGAAAAGCACATCGGTCTAGAGATAATGATACAAGTCCTCACACAGATTCGCCAGCCTGTAAACAGGGCTCGGTTCACGAATCAGGCGCTCGGCAAGGGCTGGCCGATGCTGTCTGATGTACGGAATGGAATATTTGGCACTCTTCTCCACCACAGTAATCAGCTGGGGCTCGAGGTCCAGCAGTTCAAAAACTTGATCGTCGGTGTACCGGTTCCTGGCCTCGTCCCAGAGCAGCGTGCCGACCAGATCGTACCACTCCCAGCCCAGCTCCATCAGATTGGTACCATTGGCGACCGCCATCCGTACCAGGGCCGAGCCACCATCCAGCTGATACAGACTGAAAATCGTCCATTCGTCGGTGGCTCTTCCGCCATGGGACAGAACCAGTTTGATTCGTTCCTCGTCGCCAGGCTGAGGGTACTCGTCATCCTCGTTGAGAACTCGAAACTCGCACCCGGCGCAGTCCAGCGCAGTGCCGGCGCCCCCGCTCCCCCTATCCCCCCACCTGGAAATTGTCGAGGTTCGGTTCCGCGCCGTACTCGAGCAGGAGCCGGACGATCGTCGCCTCAGCGCCGCCGGCCCCGGAGTACAACGCCAAATGCAGGAGGGGGGACGCTATTTCTGGTCTGAGGCGGAGATTGGGATCGCCCCGGGCTTTCAGGTACTTCTCTAGCAGGCCGACTCGGCCCTGTTCTATGACGTTCCTTATGCGGCTGGACCGCGACCATCGCTCTGGATGGGAAGCCACCGCGATTGACGCCCCCAGGTAATATCGCCGCACCCGGGCTTCAACATCGGCGGCCGTTTGTGACTCCCACTCACCCCCCCCGTAGTTGACGGTCGCGAGCGCCCACTTGTGGGCTTCGTGGGCTCGCTCCAGCTCCTCGCTGAACTTGTTCTTCAATTCCTGGCACGTCCGGCTCAGTCGGCTGAGGGTCCTAGCGTCCAGGTAGGAGGCATACTGCAGATGCAGTTCGTTGGGCAGTTCGATTAGAAGGTTAGTTGGTTGTTCATCCATGGTGGCGAAACCGTAGGCCCGAGGGTTTGTGGGTTGTGACTCGACTACGAGATGCGATGCAATATATAACTGGAGTTGCGGAGTCCGGTTCCCAAAGTTGTATCAGCATCCTTTCTAGTCAGTTCTTTATACAAAAAACAGCCAAAGGGATGCCATTCTTCGCATCAAAGGCAGTCAGGGGATTCCCGCTAGACTATTATCATTCGGTCTTTGAAGCATTTGTTAGTAGTTAGTGAGATTCTCTTTTGGGGGCAGAGAACAAAGGTGTTCATGACATCTTCAATCAACCGGAAGAACTAGACATAGTGAAAGGTTGCTCAGGACATGCAAAACCTCACAAAAGGTTGTTACTTGACTACTCTCATTGAGTATGAATGCAAGATGTGTATTTTCTCGAACAGATGTACCAAGAAGCTTCTATCTTTTGCTTGGTTGGTACTGTACAAATGGCCAGACATGGCATGACCACATGAAGGAGTTAGGGTTGGAGTCAGTTATTTTAACCGGCTTAGGGACCAGCTGAGACCTTCTGGGAATATTCTCAGCAATATGAGGTCTCTGAGGTAAGGTGCTGGAACGTGTTCTTGATTTTCTTGGTGGTTGGAACTAGCTGAATTATCAATACATGAAGCAGCCCGATAACTAAGTGCCTTATATTACATATTACATAACCGGATTACCCAAATCAAGCAACACAAGCCGGATCATGGCCGTCGAGCGCCTCCTGATAGATCTCACGCCCTCGCTCCATGATCCATGTGTTGGCCAGGTCGTCAATCCGAGGATGATCGATCACCTCCATGTAAAGCGCGACTGCTGGGTGGTACTTCATGATGTCATCAAACGACAATTGAACCGCTTCCTCCTGCAGACTCTGAAGATCCGGCTCTATGGCTTCCAGGCTCTCCAAGTACTCCCACAGCTCCGGCGCGTTGAGAATTCGACAATAGCGCTTGCCTCCTTGCCTAGTGATCCATGTGTCTCGCACTTTCTCAATGCCGGGGTGTTTGGTCTGTTCTAGAGACCGCGCCACCGCGGGCCGGTCCTTCATTATATCGTCCATCGCGGTCTGACCCCGCCCATCGACCAGATCCAGAAGTTCGGGCACGAGGCCTACCAGATCGCACACCTGTTCGGTGCTGAACTCCTATGCTTTTGCCAATCCCGTAACCAAGGTTCGTCTCGTAGAAGATTCCCGAAGGCAGGACCCACCGCGCGGACCACGTTCGTACCGTTGGCGATCGCCTTGCGGACTAGCCTCGAGCCATGTTCAAGACCATTGCCATTGCCATCGTGATTTCCATGGACACTCCCCGCCCTGTATAACATCGCAAGCACGTGAAGCTCCCTTGCCTTCCCTCCATACACAAGAATCAGCTCCAGCCATGCCGCATACGCGGGACTCGGGTCGAAGGTCCGCCCAGCATCCAGCGCGGTGCGACCGTTATAGTCGAGGGCGTTGGGCCGGGCGCCGACCTCGAGCAAGAGGCGCAGAGTGGTGATGTCTTCCCTGAAGGCTTTCTGGCATTTAATGACCCCGTGCAGCAACGGCCCGCGAAGGCCGCGCGACCGCACGGTCGGCATAAGTCCGGCTTCCAGAAACCGTTGGATCTCCTCGCCATTCCCCTCTCTCACCGCGTCTTCCCAGTCGCTGCCAGTACCGATGCCGTACTCATACGTAAGGGTGCACGCATTCTGATGATCTCGGACATGCACAAAGATGTCGGGATGGTCCTCCGGGACCCTGACCCCGTCCCAGTAGTGGTCGTACGTTAGGGCATCCGCTTCGACGTGCTTGATGATCCTCTGGGCCTCATCCCGGAATACAGCCCTCAGGGCTTTGCAAGTCTTGCTGAGTCGGAATATGGATTGCCCATTGAGGTAACTGGCATAATGCAGATGGAGCTCGTTGGGAAGCTGGGGTAGCATGGCAGTCGTTGGTTGGGACATTTTGCATGAATAGATTTTGAGAAGGCTGCGGAATTACTTTCCTCTACCAATTACGAGGGCTATAAGTAGTGGGTGATGGTTCTTTTCACGGTAAGAGCCTTGGTAAAGATGTCATAACTTTACCTTCTCCAATGTTGGGACAGGTGAATGAGACCTATATCTCCAATAAAGGTGGTGGCGAGCGCTCTTTGTGTTTTTACTTGTACTGTACCTTGTACTGTACCTCATACCTTATACCCCGAGACAATGGCTTTGTTTAGGGCCCTTCACGCACACAGTGGTATTATTGCTAGATCGATTGGTTTCTCATTGTGGTGGCTCAAAGAATGATAGGAACTACAAAAAATAACAATAGGTAACCGCACCACTGTTCCTTTGACCTTTTCCTCTGAGTCATCTATGCTATGGTGCTTGTAGAATCAAGCCTGGCAGACTAGGAGTGAACATAGTGGATGGCCCATAAAAGGTCATGGAGTAAGTGGTGAAGCATGGCTGGTCTACAACCTACGTAGTATTTTCACTTTTGCTGTACCTATGTGGTAAACACAGTCTTAGAATATAGATACAAAGTGCTCTTAATTGTGCTTGAGTCTTTATTTCGCGGCACTACAATCACAATTCCATGTCAGATGCCACGATAGATGGGCGTCCTGGCTTAGTGTCGGTAAGCGGCAGAGTAACACATACCCTTTCCACTCAGTCGGGAGCTGTGAGCCTTTATGATCCTTGGACCTTCCAATGTACATAGTGACATGACCAAGGTAGACCGTCTTTGCGCTTGAGATGCGAAAACAATGACGAAAGCCTGCATTAAAGCACCTTGATGCTCTCCTGTCTATCTCAATTGTCTATTATGGAGTGGATTTACCTCAGCGCAATATTGACACCGGTTAAGAAGCAGGAGGTAATCGGAAAGAAAAGAAATGTCGGATGTGTCGGTGACCGTTGATATCCGGGTGATTGCAAATTGGTCGAGCTCTTTCCCCGCATGATTGCTGGGCTTGCTTGACAGCCTATGGAGTTCGACATCATAAGATATCTCGCTCCTCCAATCCGAATCGCACCGACAGCGTAACAGTACCTCTCAGATGACCCCTACGCTCTGGTGACTCTGCGCGAGCACGATCAGCATGTAGAATTGGGCATTTGGGACACAGTGATATCAATCTTAGAGTTGGACGGACAAGTCCCACAGGATGAGCCCTGAAACATGTCCCAGTAAATAACCCCATATACCCACACGTACGACTTCGATTAATGTACCTGATGATGTACAGTGATACCGAGTTAGTCAAAATAGCCCTATTCCGAAGACAACGGTCTTTGCCGAGGACGAGACTCTTAAATCCCGCCGGCATATTTTGAATACGTCTATTCTTTATTGGACGTGACCTCGGACACCACGATACTACCGACATTCGTAACGGTCAGCCAGGATGATGAGTAAATATAGCACGAGAATCGCTGCTATCATACTCACGACAGAGTTCGATGGCTATATAACCCTCCCACTGTATCCGCAAAATCTCTTTCAATCACCACCTGGAATCAGAAATTCCCATTCTTAGTCCCCAGAATTCATTCCAAATTCAATCACCACTCTCAGAATGCGCTTCTCTCTTATCGCGCTTGCGGTGTTCGCTGCTGCCTCCGCCGCCATGAAGCTGAGCGACGTGCCCGGCACCGAGGCCAATCCCCTAGATCTAGACAGCAACTACGTAGTCCAATGGACTTATGACGAGTATGTTTCTTCTTTAGATGGGCCACAGAGACCGTGATCACGGATACTAAGATATGTTGGCACAGAAACGAGAGAGACAAGCCCGTCTGGGTGGCTATCTCCCACTACGATCAAGGCGGGTACTCGGAATGCTACCTGCTCTCCGGCCAGCTGCGCGCCGGGGACGGAAGCTTTCGCATCCCAACGCACCCTGTCTCCCAGCCGGTTACCCAAGTGTACGTTTACATGTCCTACTGTTGTAACCCTTCTCATTGGGAAGCTACATGACGCAAGTTCTGATATTTATCCCACCCCTGGCATATAGTACCGGATACCGGTTCCGCCTGCACCAGACCAACCAATGCGTCGCCAACCCCGGTATTGAGGACCAGACGAACCAGTTCCGCCTCAAGCCTTACTACCCACCTACGAAATAGACTGCTTTCATGGGCCGGTGAGCTGGAGTGAAAGTGGTTCGAGGGCACTAGGTCTTGGGTCTCTGTTCATCCACAGGTTATGCTGGGAAGGTCGCTTACAATGGAGCCTGGTTAACATCTATTCCAGGTATACAGTCTACGCTGTCGATACCTGTTCATTGGAATAAAGGATTGTGGATGGTCTTGATGTGTTTTGTCTGCTTGGAATCTGGAAGAGTGATGTCGGGAACCGTGTGTTATCGAGAGGCTAATTCAATTGCGAAAGCTTGGAAGAACTGCTACTTCGTGACAAATCATACATAATGGTAACAAGGGTGCTCAGAATCATAGATTAAGTGCGGCATATGATCTTCCCTACCCCTCCATTGTGAGGATCAGCACACCCCAACGGGGACGATGTTGCTGTCCAAACGAACTGACCCCTTGGTCTCAGCCCCTTGGCCCAAGCCCCGCTTGGCAAAGCCCTTCCAGATGGCACACTGATTGACCCCCTTTGTGAGCGCCCTATCGGCATCTAGAATGGCGTCCCGGGCTTGAAGAAATGTTGGATTGCAAGGTTGTCTAGTAGACTTGCATTAATTGTTGACCAAGGCCAGGAAGAGCGAAGAAGACGATTACTCACAGCGCCATCGCATCCATCACCAGTTTCATAGCAAGATACCTCCCGTCCGTGGGCACCTTGTCGCGGAAGGTCGGCTTGAGGCCATCGTTCTTACCGTATCGATCGATTAGATTCCACAGAATCTCGTACAGTACGCTCGCCCACACCGACCCTGCGTCATGGAGCATGAGCATCCCGTTCACGCTGGCGTAGGTGAGCGGGTTGGTGGTCAGCGAGGTTGAGTAAGGGTAGAGACGCGACCCCTGCCCCGAGGCGTTGGACGCCCAGCCACCGAAGGCGTAGTCGGTGGTGCGTGTGTCGTGGGGCTTCAAACGCACCGCGGTGGCCATGAAGTCGCTCCACCCTTCGCCCATGCCGCCGGCTTCGAAGGCCGACAGGCACCCCGAGTTGGCCGGGCCGCCCGTCAGTCGCGTCGACAAGCCATGCGTGTACTCGTGGATGACCATCCCCGCATCGAAGTCGGCGTCGCGCGGCGGATCCGAGTGCGTGAAGATGTTGATGCGCATGTGGCCTGGCTCGCCGTCGGGAGGAGCCTTGAAGTACGCGTTGTTGTACGACAGCCCGTCCTGCGCGTTCAGGATCACGTAGTCGGTCTCGCGGCCGCCCCGGTCGCTGTTGTTCCATTGGAAGTTGCCGGCTTTCTCGGTGAATCCCAGCGTGTAGAGGAGGTCGTGGTAGGTGTTCGCTGTGTAGAGTAACTGGGTGATGGATGCGTTGACGTACGCATCCGGAGGGGACATGGTCGGTGAGTAGGCGTACTCGAACTTGGAGGCTGGGCTGCTGGGCCGATAGTTGTCCATGTATGGTGCCAGACCAGAAGGATTGGACTGGGCAATCCCGTTGTTTCCTCGCGTAGTGGTGTAGATGGTGTTGCCATCCCCTTGCCATGTGAAGGGAGAGGCGGTTTTGTCCCACGGGTCGGTGACAATCGTGCGTACCCCCTCCGTTGGATCATTCAACCCCCATTCACTGCGAGAACATTAGCTGATGTGTTTCTGTGGAATGAGAATCATAATTTTTGCTACCCACTAAACCTCGTAGGTAGCAGAAGAAGCATAGTCCACGACACCATGGAGTGTCGCATTGGCGCCTGCATCCACGTATGCCAAGTACCAATTCGAGTCCATGTGCGCCTCCACTCTCCAAGTCAGAGCGAGACTCTCATCGGACTTGACTAAAAAGACTAATCTTGCTTTGGGCTCAGTGATGGCCCCCGACGTGCCCTGGAATACATGATTATTTGTCCCCTGAACTCTCTCGCACTTCAAATTGTCCAGGGAAAGTGGCAGGCTCAGTGCTTTAGATGCACGGTCAAGGGCTGTCACTGGATCGATGACATCCTGTGTGAGAAGAGGGTCGCCTTGGGGAATCTTTCCAGTATAGAACGAGTTCCCGTACGAAAAGACTGTCCCATCTTTTCCGATCTATATAGATCGGTGTATTATGAATCATATACAGCACGAAAGGCAAATCGCAACACCCACATTGACATTGAAGTCGGCATTATCAATGTCCATGTCATGGACAGTTTGTCGAAAGTGGACATGCGCCACGTCGTTCTCACCGATGTAGTGGTCATCGATCATGCGAAAGGCTGCCCCGGGGACGATGGTCTCGACAAGCCGCGTTGCAGTCTCCAGATAGTTGGCTTGTCCAGCTCGAGCAGCTAGGCGGATGTTGTCAGCCACCGCGTCAATTGAGTTCACGTAACTGGCCCGTGAGGTCAAACGTAAGATATTCGGGTCTATAGCCTCAAGATTCAAGCTGTTGGATAGCTGTATTGGAAGAGCGAGCACGCACAAAGAAAGCGAAACTGCAACCATGATAGAGGCCCACATCTCAATTGTCACGACTTGAAGCAGAAGATCAAGATGGACGGAGCTGGGCCGAGTCAGGAATTATCCCTTCTCTTCCACATCCTCGATTCACTCAATAGGAACACATGAAAGTATTTTAAACGCTTAGAACATATGGTCATCCTCTGCAGTCGCTAGACCGGATCCTATCTTGTCCATGCCCTTTAGTTCTGCAAGATGTCCTGCCATCGTGCTCGATGAAGCCAGGCCATAATAACCATAATTCCATATCCAGCGAGTTGCAGGAAGCATCTGGCAGCGATCTCGCCTGTATCTGAAGCTAAAGATATGCCTATGAAATAGAAAATTGAGATCACGCGGGACTCCATGCGCATGTGCCTTCGCTGAAGCTTTTGTCCCTCAAGACATAGTTACACCAGCCAATCCTGTTTTGACATCCAATGTAACCCATGGCTGACCAGGGGCTCTGCCAGGACCCGAGATATGAAGAATGGTCTATTCTTCCAAAATTCGTTCTCTCTACCGCGGAAGTTTAGCACTCACTCCCTAGGGTGAGAGGTGGAAGATTGGGGACGAAGAAGTGGTTTTCCTCTTTTTCTTTTCTTCATTTCGCCTGCCATCATGCCAGAAGGAGACATCTGACTACAGGCCTCATCAAGTTCCTAGCTATACAGTACAAGCATTGCCGAGGCGCAAACTCCTCTGAGCAGGAAGTATTGACGTTGCTCGCCAGAGAATGTATACATCACGTACCAAGCCATTGGTAAATGTTAGATGGTATAATTACTACACGAGCGTTGCCCTGAGGATATGTCTAATTGCTCTCGATGCAGTGCCTGTGACGGACTACGCTTATTTGAATTGAGAAGCTTCAACGGCAGACGACTTGTGACTTGCGGGTGGCCAAGAACCAGCAAACTACAAATCGGAGAAAATATCATTCGCCACGTTTCCCGCTCCTTAGTTTCTGTGAGACGTGCTGAAAGTCAAATCAAATGCGACCCTTTTGGTCCCAGCTCGCGGCGGCCCGGGTGCTTCCGTGTTGCATTGGCTTGGAACTGTCTTGTCGTAGAGATCGATGATAAGGTGGCGGAGGATGAAGGGGGACCAGCACTGTCACCGCAATGCAAATTGCCCCCCTGGGTGATGAAGTTCTTACTGACGTGTCGGGATCACTGAGGTGTGTGTGCCCTCCATAGCAGATCTGACTGGAAGACAGAGCTTATTACTCTGACCCAATGATACAGTCGAGTCAGACTTTGAACTTGATGATTGATGATCTCTGAAAAACTTCATCTGAACATGGATCTATACAGACGTATTTATCCCCCGAGGACTGGTCAATGACAAAGGGAGACCAGAAAGCTGACGGAAAGACAGAAAAGATGAAGAAAGGAGACAGCAGACCCTGTCAGATGCGCGTATCCAAGGCAATAGATATGCTAGCGGACGTTTAGAGATCTTACCTGTGTGTAATGGGGTTCATCAAGTGTGTGAGGGAAATGTTAGTTTCATTCGCATCTCTTTGTTCGCAACACTGCTCACCCATGCTACAGCCAAAACTTCTAGAATTACTGGAGTCATGTAGAGATAGCCGGGTAGAGTTAGGGGGGCCAGCAAAAAAAGAAACAAAAAACGACAACAGTCGGATTTGAACCGACGCCTCCGAAGAGAATAGATTTCTAGTCTATCGCCTTAGACCGCTCGGCCATATTGTCTTTTGCTGAGATAGGTCACAGACTTAGAAGTTATGTTTCTGTATTTGCTGAGTCTCACCCATGCCACACAACAAGCATAAGTTATCTTCCTATCGTATGTCACCAGAGATAAGTTAGTTGACTTTGGTTGTAATGGTTCAGTCGTCGCATTTATCCAATGGTCTACACCAAAGTTCTCTACAAGAGACCGTGCAATTTCACAGCTGGAATTCATAATAGCATTCAGGAGTTCAAAGAGAGAGATGAATAATTGTATAGTCAAACAAAGAAATAAAAGAGCTTGGGGGGGGGGGGCAGCCCAGACACAGACACTCATTCGCAACATGCACTTGAACTTGTGTCTTTCTTTGATGAAGTCCTATAAGAGTTAGTGTTTGAATCAGAACAATAGACAACAGCTACATTCAAGGCAACCTTGCCTCACCGACCCCCAGCCAACGCGTGGTGAGTATAATTCGAGAGTGGATCCGTGTCGATAAGGGAGTTCTCTTTTCGGAATAGGAGGAAACCCTGCAGAATATTATTGTTGGGTGAAATTTAGCTTTCTTGAAGCCAAGGTCAATCGGCACAATATACTTTCCTTGATGTTGATCACAAAATCGGCCAGTTGTCACAATCAACTTACGATCACAGTAAAGATGGATTTTGGTCAATTCATCATACGAATTCAGTGAGCTTAGTGACTCATGGTCTTGGATGCGCCCATGCAGAGCAGCTAGCAGATACTGCTTGTCGGATTGATGAAGATGATCGAAGAGTTCAGCTAGATGAGGCTATCTGAGCGAGGAACTATCAAAAAGCGTGGCGGGCGGTGAGCAGCCTGGCTCTCGAGGTCTGGACAGTTTCTCCTGGACGTCAGTCTGGTGGCTGTTGCCTTCACCCTCACCTTCACCTTCTCTGTCACCGTCAAGATCCTCGCTTTTCTTTTAGTCTCACTTCATTTCGTCTCAGCTCAACGGCCCACACGAACTTGAGTTCGGCCTCAGGTCCGGTCTTCATTTTAATCACACTTGAAAGGGCGCTCAGGTTCATCAAGATCGACTAACTGAAGATGGCTGCTACGCTACCACTGGAGCTACTCATCCAGATAGCAACATTTCTCGAGAGTACGGGCGCCCCCTCACTCCGTGTGTGACTGTCAGTCGCCGCTGGCAAGCAGCATTCGAGCCGTTGCTCTACCGCAAAGTGCACCTCTACACCTCCGATGACCTTGAGGATTTTAGCCCAGGTCGCGCGCTTTCCCTAGCGAACTTTGATCGGATCACATCAGCACCAGGAGCTTCCTGAAGAGCTTGGATTCGACACACTGTATGTTATCTTGTTGTTCCACACCAGCTATATGACTGGAGGACAATCCAACTGGAAGATTATACCACCGATAACGAAGTACAAAGAGACAACGACCGTGCATTCCAGTCCGGTATCATCGCCCTCTTCAGGACGCTTAGTGACTGGGACCCAGGTCTTCGCCTCACACTGCAACTATTGATCTCAGGTCGGGAAGAGACGCTCGAGCCAAATACATACGATTGTACATTTACCGGACCGGTTCCCTGGAGCTTCCCAGACGAATGGATACTGGCTGTTCCTTTTTATCGGGCATCGTTCGGTCACAGTGACCCACCTACGCTCCCAGTTGTCCCATGTATGGACCAACTTCGATTCTCAGACAACTCTGAGTTCGATTTCCTTTCTGAGATTTGGGTAAGCGCGGCCATGCAAATCGCCCGAAACTGCTCCACCATGTCTGGACAGCGGCTGAACATGCAAGAGCATGTCAAGCCAGATCATTTGAACTATATCCAAGCTCGTCGTCGGGGTGAGTACCTTTGCTACAAGATTGGGGTATTGAGAGGTTCTGCCTTCTAATGATTTCCATACCAGCACTTGCCGAGGGAATAAACTCACTTCCACCGACTCTCAGAGACTTGGAACTTTAAGTTCATTCGAGTACCCTTGGAAGTGGTCGATGCCTGGGCTGAATCTTCTGGGATGCGATCACGACATGCTGTCTCTCAACCTTCGCAACCTCAGCATCAATCTCAGACGGTTAAACCTGGATGAGGTATCGCTTGCAGCTGACGTTCTGTTCCCCCTTGATGAACAAGGGAATCCCTTACCGGAAAGCCTGTCGCTTCACTGGCCACATCTTGAGGTTCTCAACCTCTGTGTGCCGCCAGTTCTCCCCACCGGTAAGCATTCCTCCAACATGGCAACAATCCACATCTCACCGTCATTCATAGGCAGATGGGTTACTCTTCACCTCCCCGAGCGACAAAAGGAGCTCGATGCAATAGAGGACTGGTCGGGCATCATTCGGGACGTGGAAAGGGGAAACGGAAACCGTGAACTCTTGGATACTGAACATTTCCAGCGAGTCCTCATCTCTCTCGGTCATGCCGCCCGCCGGATGCCTAAATTGACCTCACTGGACTATGCAATCGATTGCAGTCCCCAGTTTGAACTTAGCGTGGTGTTCATTCCGTATGAAAGTGCAGACCTGATCTTGTACTCTAAACATCGACCTGATAAACGCGCTGCTATGGCTTGGAATTGCCCATTCGAGAACCTCCCTGCGACTGTGGGAATACCCTGGGGTCTGACAGCAGTCATCTCACCATGGCCTCCGGTTTGGGTGATACTTTGCACCACATTTTATGTGGTTTTCTTCTCTTTACAGTGAGCAGAAATACATGCGCAGCTGGCTGCCAAGCATCATGATGTATGCACTATCATGTAATTAGTATTAGTGATTAGTGGGGTGTAACTGCAAGGGTTAGTCTATCCGCCGCGGGCCATCCCCGCTACCCCTCAGTGCTTTCCCGGAGTAGCCCTGGATCATTAAGATAAAAGTCTCTCGCCTACCCACTATCTTCCCCACTACTTCGTTACCCTGACTGACTCCCCACCCAGAATGACCGACAAGTCCCTCCAAGGCAAAAACGCCATCATCACCGGCGCCTCCCGCGGCATCGGCCGCGGCATTGCCCACGAACTCGCCCACCGCGGCGCCAACATCCTCCTCACCTACCAGAGCGCCCACGCGCAAGCCGAGGAAGTCGTCTGCGCCCTCATCCAGCGACACGGAGTAGACGCATTCGCCGTGCAGGCCGAGGGCAGTGACATCGACGCGCCCCGGCGCATCGTCCGCGCCGCCGTGGAGCGCTGGGGCGGCACCATCGACATCATCGTCAACAATGCGGGCGCCAGGGACGACTACGCCTTCGAAGAGATGTCCCACGCGGCGTGGGAGGCGCAGCTGGCCACGAATCTCCGCTTTCCGGTCTTCCTCATCAAAGAGGCTACCCCGTACTTTGGCAAAGCGCCCCGCGTCGTCAACTTCTCCAGCAGCTATGCGCGCGACGGCCATCCGGGGTGCGCGGCGTACGTGGCTGCCAAGGGGGCGATCGAGAGTCTGACGAGGTCGTTGGCCACGGAGCTGGGCCATAAGTATAATGCGACCGTCAATTGTGTGAGTCCTGGCCCGGTGGATACGGAATTGTGGCAGCGAAGCATTGAGGATGTGGAGGTGCGGCAGGATTGGGAAAGGGTGGTCAAGAGTACCCCTGCTGCCCCGAGGGTGGCGGACGTCGATGATATTGCCCAGGTGGTGGCGTTCCTCGTCGAAGAGGGCAGTCGGTGGGTTACGGGGAGTGTTGTCAACGCTAATGGGGGGTTGTTGTTCAATTAAATGTCTGGATGAAATGGCAAGGATTCTTAAGGCCTATATTTGTACATATGTTTGGATGGAATAGGTCACATCTAATGCTAGTTAAAGGTGTCTACCTTAGAAACCCATGATTTCATCGGCCCTTTTCAATACAGCGCGCTGTCCCTGCTTCAGATCCCTCTCTCCAGTGTTCCACTTCTCCAGTCCCAGAGATCTCAGTCCCTGCTTATTAGTATACCGAGCTAGGTCTGCCTGTGTTGTGCGTCCAATGTGTTCACTTTCGCCCTTGCCTCCCGGGAAGTCGGGCGGTGGCACACCGTTGAGGAAGTCTTCCCTCTGGCGACGAACATACTGCGCATTGGCCTCGGTCACAGGGCAAGCAGGAATGTACAGAACACTGCTGTCTCCGCGACCTTGGTGGATCTTATCGACGGAATGGATGGCTGATTCTAGTCAGCAAAATCACGCAGAGATATCGACATGAAGGGACGTACTATCACAGTGCCACGCGACATAATCGCCCGGGGCAATCTTCGGCATATGCACCATGGTTTTCTCCAAGTACAAGTGAGGGTGCAAGATATCGTTCAGTTCCTGCGCGTAGCCCGGCGTGGCGCCCTCCACTTTGCTGGACATCGACTCCTCAAAACGCCAGTTTGTCGGGTCGAGGTAGGTATCCAGGGCCAGCCGCGAGCAGTCTCCGGCCGGAGGAGACGAGATCGGCTCAAAGAACGGTCGCAACAGGTAGTATGTGGTGGCCATGGACAGCAGAGGGTTGACGAGAAGCGTGCCCTCCCGGGGACCTGTGTGTGACATGCTCAACCAGCCCTGGAACATCCGGAACATGGAACACGCCCCGGCCCCGTCATACAGGTCCGCCACTGCTGGCACTCGGCAGCTGGCTTCCCAGGGGTCATACTCTTCCCACTGACCCTCCCAGATACGTTGGTAGACCCGTCCCAATCCGTATCCGTGGTCTTCCCAGCGCTCAACGCTGCCGCCGTCCACATGAGGTCCCAGGGCGAAACCGGCATCACCTGGCTGGCGAATGCGCAGGCGGTCGGCATACGTCAAGGGGTGGGTGGGGGAGATGAGGGCATCTTCCGCGCGCGAGTGCCAGAAGCTCATGAGGAATTGCTGGGTCTGCAGCATGTGGGGATGCAGACGAGCACGCATCTGAGGCTGAGACCAGTATAGTTCAAATACCTGCGGATCCTGAGAAGGGAATGCTACGGGTGGATCATGTCAGCGAGAAGGCGACTCTTCAATTTTTATCTCAAGGGAGCTTGTCATACCTCGAGTCTGAGGATTGGCGCGCACGTACGCCTCAATCTCCTCCTTGTAGGCGCGGGCCTCGCTCTCAGGAATCACACCCCGCACCACCGCAACACCACGCTTACGGAGCTCGTCCTGGAACTCTGACGGTGCAGCGTGGATGTCTTTGAAGTTGATGGAGGGGATAATGTCCGAGCCCCTTCTGGCGATGAGTCCCACTTCATCACGCAACCGGCACAGGAGTCGATCCCAGCTTTGTTTCACCTGATCTTTGTGTCCAGCAATCAGACGCCGCTTCTGATCGGCGAATCTAGGTGGCAGTGCGTGCTCTTTGACTCCGGAGAGGGAGACAAACACTGAGGAGATGTCGCCTTCTTTGCGAGGGGTCTGGGTCGAAGTGGCCAGCTGGCGATGTGCTCTGGGTTTGGAGAGGATGCGCAGAGCCGGACGGAGGCTCGCGGTCTGGACTTGTGAAGTATGCATGTTGTTGGGAATTGGCTTCAAACCAAGTTGATTGTCGCCTTGTTTATGTTTCTGTCTAAGTATTGTGCAAGATTCACAGGGGCTCTTATACATCATAAGCCTGCGATTATCTGCCTGGGAAGCAGGCGGGTGGGTTTCCCAATGCGGTAACCTGCCGCCCGCCAGCCCTGAGCGGCGCCACTCGACCCATCACTTATAAATCAATTCCTGCTCTCCTGCATTTTCCAAGCATCCAAACGTGACTAAACTCGCAACTTGGCTGAAATTACATCATGGCCCAGTCTTTCCAGCCAGCCGGTCCAAGCGAGCGGCATGCATTTGCCGGGGTTCTTCTAGACTTTGATGGAACAATCATTGATTCGACCGAAGGTAGGCGTGACGAATCTCCCCACGGGTGAATATGTGGCTGATATTGATGCGAAGCAATCGTGGAAAACTGGAAAAGGTATGCCTGCCACACCGTGGCTCCTCGCTGGTACATGACCAGTAGCGAACAACACCCACCTCCTTCACTACCCCCATCATACTGAACGTGTCTAGAGTCGCCGCCGAATTGGGGCTGGACTATCGCGACATCCTCCGTGTCTCTCATGGTAGGCGAAGCATTGATGTGCTCAAAGAACTGGACCCCACTAAAGCAAACTGGGAATGTATGTCTGAGCGTCCCCCTCTTCCGCTTTGTCTTGTTCCCGTCCGTCGTGGTAGTCATAGCACTAACGTACCCCCAGATGTGAGCGCCATGGAGGCCAGAATCCCGCTTCTCTCCTCCACGCCTGCGGTGGAGATTGCGGGAGCCCGGCGGCTACTGGAGCAACTCAACCGCTATTCCATCCCGCATGCCATCGTGACTTCGGGCAGCAAGGCATTGCTGGATGCTTGGTTGACTATCCTTCAACTCCCGCGGGTAATGAAGGCCACGACCGCCGAGGATGTCAAGATGGGCAAGCCGGACCCTGAGGGGTATCGTACGGCCAAGAAGCAATTGCTTCAACATCGTTCTGGGGAAGGAGAAGTTCTGGTGATGGAAGACGCTCCTGCAGGAATTGTCGCCGGCAAAGCAGCGGGATGCAAGGTGTTGGCTGTGACGACTACGCACACGGTGCAGCAGTTGAAGGAGGCTGGGGCGGATTGGGTGGTTAGGGATCATCGCTTTGTTGGGTTCGAGGCTCCGGCCGGGTCTGGGGATGTGTGTCTGACCTTTCATGATCTTTTGTAGTCACTGGTATAAGAACCTACCCTTTCCGTCTGTATCTAGAGAGTTCGGAAAATATCTAGACAGCGCAAATTGCCTGCGTATATGAAAGCCCTCTTGAGTACATAATCATTTTCATTGAAATCCGCCACTGAGTTTTAACATAGGTCTCAACCGACCACCTGTTAGACCATCTACAATAAAGAAAAGCTTTGGCTTATGGCAAGTTCTACCTCGAATTTGAAATTTCAAATTTTCTGGTTCAGTCGGCCTTCATACGTATGGAGGTGGTAAAGGTCCTTGCAGTGATATTACTCTGTCGATAGCAGAGGTATAACTCGGTGTCCTGCTCAGCTCTTCAATGTCGACCCATCCAGAGTCTAGTGGCATGTGCCCACATGGCGAAGAACATCTCGATATTACAGGTGAGCATACCCGTGACTGGTCTTCCATGCTTTCTCTTTCAGCGATCAATGGGTCCTCTTGGTGCTTGCCATACACCGGAGGAATGATGTGTCTGGAATAGAGGGATGATGCCTTGAGCTGGATGGTATCCACATTATGCATGAAGATTACAACGGGTATCAAGGCACGGACCTGACCGCTGGAGTTAAGCGTAAAGTTCTGCACCATCAAGGTCCAATGCACTTACCGATGACACGTGTCTGTCCATGTTGATGATTCGGATGATGACGACCACGTTGTGGGTGATATCGAAGTGGGAGGATTGCACCGCCTGGGCGCAGTCGTAAATCGATGTCGGCAAAGCGACGAGCGGTGCAACTTCATATCCGCCCTCGATCTCCTGGGTTGAAATATCCCGGTCTTTCGTAGACGAGAACTCCTTTCCACATACTACGCGCGAGCGATCAATGCGTTTCAGAAATCCGCCGTCGAAAGATGGTTTTGGCGCAAAGTGGTGAGTCTCAACGACTTCGATTGTAATGCTTTCAACCTGAAGACCCTCGGTCAATGGGGAGATTTGTATCCGAGGGCATAGATCCGATCCAAAGGGCATCTGAGTGGCAGGAATGCTAATGGAATATCGAATTTTGCCCGGCCACTCGTTGTCCAAAGTCTGTGAAATAGCAGGGTCAGGGGCTGCTTGTCTCCGTCCGTCCAAAATGAAGAGAAACCCACATGTGCAGTAGCAAAAGAGTACCACTCACTCGGCGCATGGGTGCGATACACCTTGATGTTCTTGTGGCATGTCAGATCGCTCGCAAATTTCCTCGTCACGCGTCCAATCAGCAGATACGAGATTGAATAGCCTTCCACGCCGTCCACGGACTCTCGCATATGCTCTCCTGATCTGAGCGCAAGGCTCAAAGGTATCTCATGTCTGCCCGGGGCATAGATGCGGGATCGGAAGACGGTTGTCCGCATCAGCTGCCAACTGCGCTGGAAGATAACCGACTCGGTGCAGCTCTGGGTCAACGCCTGGGACCTCTCGAAGCTGCCCCATCTGGGGATGCTAATGCATCAGCCTGATCTTCGGTGACAAAATGTGAGCTAGGCTGCTTTAACACGTACCGTCGCTTCATGATTCCCCGCAGTTGAACGTCGATCGATCCTATCCGCATAGGCTGCGCTAGACTCAAGACCAACTTGCCCGTGATATGAGGACTCTTCGAGATGAGGCTGCCTTCTGCCGGCAGAAAGACCCTATGGGCATTTACGCTATGCCAATTGACAAGTTAAACACTGTTTCATACAAGGGCTCGTAGCAGGTTAGAGGACATACTCCAATTCGAAGTGTAGATTACAGCCGTGGTTCGACATCATTGTTCAAGGATGAAGGGCGTTAAATTGTACTGATTGTACGTCTATCCCGAGCAGTAAGCAATAACTTTCGTTCCTTTAACCCTTGTTTCTCGGATTTGCAACTGATAGATTCGCCCTGCGTGTACCCCACCTTGATTACCCATTTAGGAAACCTTCCCGCCGAATGGCGGCCCGCAGAGCGGCTATTCCCCTTGAGGAAGTCTTCCCGCTCGGCTGCCGCCTCCCGCGCCTGCGCCTTTTTCACTGCTCGCTCTCATCATCAAGCCGTGAGTAACTCAACTAGTCACAATGCATTGGCAAGCATTGGCAAGCATTGGCAAGCATTGACAAGCATTGACAAGCCTCTAGCATGCTTCATAGCCCCCCCCTCTTGCCGATCAAAGTCCCCTATTCCTCACTCCCTCCAGATCAAAATGGAGGTGACCTGGCTAGCCGACTCCCCACAGACCCGCTCTCGAAAGAGAGCGTTGAGGGCCTGCGACCTTTGCCAGCGGAAAAAGGTGTGTAGCCGCTCACTGAAGCCGCGGCATCTTGCGAAAGCATGGGAGCACTGACACATTCTCTCTGCCGATCGAAGAAACGCTGTCAGCATGCGGGTACGCAGCCAAATTCCAGTCGCATGCGTCGAAGACAGGCCGGACCCAGCCCCACCGCAACGCGACCCCAGCCTCAGTCTCGGGCTTCGACAACACCAGATGCCATTCTGCCAGCTCGTTTTGTTGGTGAGATGAATCCGGAGGCTGAGATTCGAGAAAGACTGGCAGGGGGTACGAATTCTACCCTTCTACGCGACCGAGTGGGACTCTGGATTCCTGCCTCTGGCGTTGAAAGTGGAGGAGATCCATCGAGGAATGCTACCGATGACATGAGCAACCCAGCGCCAACGTATCCCGCAGGGGAAGTGTATCCGCCTCATGTGTTGGACACTTTAATTCGTCGACGGTTCGAGTCTGCACGGAAGGCCTGTAGCCCACTGCCTTCATCCACCCGTCTTCCACTCTTCGGCATCTATTTCTCCCAGGTCAACCACATCCTGCCCATCGTCGATCCACGCATAGCTATCTCCTCCCCTTTCTTGGAGCGAGCAATTTGTCTAGTTGCAGCCAAGGCAAGAGCTGCTGCTCCGCATCTTTACTTGACCGAGAATGCCGCCGTGGTGTCGCCTCGAGTGTTCTGTACGGAAGTCTACCAAGGACTCGACGATGCGCTGACCGAAGGGCTCGAGCGGGATCGTGTGACCCGGATTCGAGTGCTTGCATTGATGGCCTTGCACTGTGAGAACTCCGAAGGATCGGAAATTGCGTCGATGCATCTCTCACAGGCCATTCATCAAGCACAAACCGTGGGTATGCACCTCAAGCGACCGGGCGATGCCGACTTTGTACATATCAAGCTCTTCTGGAGTCTATGGACCCTGGACAAGCTTCTTGCATCGATGTTTGGTCGCCCGGCCCTGATCAACGACCATGATATTAGTATAGAGAGGCCGTGCAGCGCAATGAATGCCCCCGAAACCCCTACAACCGCCTTTGACGTCTGGTTCAGGATCTCGGAACTCTTGTCCGAGGCTATCTTATTCTACCGACCCGGAACCAACCACGAGCATAGGGCAGAGAAACCATTTCCCAGCTTCGAGGAAATAGTGGGCCCTTCCGGCGAGGAACTTGGCTTTGCCTCCTTGGGTAAGCGATGTTTTCTTCTTATCCCGAATGGAGCGATGTAGGTACTGTCGCGGTAGGGAGAGACTGACGGGGTTTGTCTTTGTGCAGAACTTTTGGAGCTCTATTACCAAGCAGTCGCAATTGTCTTTCACCGAACGATGGACAACGCGAGCTCCGAATCGCACAACTTTGCACGCAATCAACGAGGTCTCGCAGCCATTCGCGTTCAATCCATCGTGGCGAGAGAGTGTTCCGAGGACTTGCCTCCTTTGCCGATCGTATCGTATGCAGTCGCATTGTCCATGAGCGTGTCCTATCGCCAATACCGGTCCAGCAATCTTATCACCCATCGAAAACGAGCTGCAACCGACATCGACGCGTGTTGTTCACTTCTTGAGGGCTTGAGTGTCTCGTGGTACTCTGCCGAAGCGATGGCCCGGTTGGGCCGCAAAGCTCTCCAGCAAATCCACGAGAGTGATCCAGGCTTGTACGGGGATGAACTCGATGTGCATGGGCCTGCCGTGCAGTCTCCACAAGCGACTCGGAATAAGCGTACGCGAGCGGCTCCTGCCGCGACTGGAGACGAAGAAAGTATGTCGATGAACGCGACTTATGCGCCCGTGGCACAAGATCCCGTTGTATACTATACCGGAGACCACGATTGGGCGATAGGTGACATGACCGACCTAGATCTTGCCTTCGATGACTTCTTAGATCTGTCTTTGCCGACCAATTTCTAATTTGCTTCATGTCTCTCCGGGCCTGATGTAGAGCCCCGAGGCAATACATCACGAACGTTAAGGACGACAGAATTCATTCCTACTCAATAAGTTTGAGGTGTGGTGGTAAGCCTAGTACTTTATCTCATTTTATCTTCTATGCTGCTAATCTGACCTTCATTGCCCTTTAGCCTTGTGTTTTGTGGCAGATAATTTGTTACACACCAATCAGGTAACAAAGCAGGCTTTACCTCAAGACAAAGTCCAAATTCGCGACGGCATCTTCAGTTACAGTTTGGCAGACACCGTGGAAATATCCTTCAACAGCCGCACAGTATCTCGAACAGCTACCTGACCTCGCTCGATGGCTCCATCGACAAAGCCCCGCCAACCATCCGCCCAGTCCGCGCTTGCGAAAAGAATGCGACCGTGCGGTTTCTGAAGCTCTTGCAGATGGGCCGATGCACTGTTGGGGCCCCAGCAGGCCCACACGCCCTTGGAATACGGGTCGTTCATCCAGTCATGGGTCGCGTACGCTTCAACAGTGACATCGGGCTTGATATCCCGCTTGAACCTCTGCACGATGTACTCACTATCGGTCTTCTGGGTCAAATGCCCATTGTACCCGAAGCCTATGCACCAGGTGCCCGATGGTCCCGAAGGCTGGGTGCCGTTGTGGTCCGAGAACGCAAAGACGAACTCCGAGTCGCTGGCGTCATTGGCCGTCCAGAACCAGCCGGGCAGCGTTTCACGTAGCTTGAAGTGGATCTTTGCGCCGCGGTTGATGTGGCCTTGGCTCACGGCGGTTTGACGAAGGGGTGAGAGGGGAGGGTTAAATCGGATGTCGCCGAGACAGTTCCTGGCTGTGCGTTAGCAACTGCATTTACACTGCCGGAACATACGTGACGAGAGGACTTACAGTGGGATCGTTGAGATGACCGCGCCAGCTCGGAACTTCCGTCCATCCTTCGTGCGCACCTCAACACCATCCACCACATGGTTCACTTCGGCGACAACCGTGCTAAAACTAATGTCCCCGGCATACTCGCTGAGAATCGCCCGAGCAAGGGAGGTCATCCCGCCCCGACCCAGCTTGTAAATCCCTGCCAGCTCGAACACTCCCGCCATGCTGTGACCCCCGAGCGCAAACCAGCGCAGTGCGTCGGTGAACCCTGTCTCCTTCGCCGGGGCACTGCCGAACGTGCTAACGTTGGACGCGAACAACTCCTTCTCCCATTGACCCAAGTCCGCCAGCTGGTCCAACCGGTCCTGAACACTGAGATGATCGTACCGCTTCCACGGTGAGGGTGCCCGCAGCGGGTCGTGGGGATACGGCATCAAGGCCCGACTGTCCAATCCGTCGATCGCGAAGACCCTCTGTGCCACACGCTCCAGTACCGGCCCATATTGCTCGTAGGAAACCTTCTCCACCGCACCGCCTGACGACTTGAACAATTGCTCGTGGGACGCGTAGGTCCCCGCGGAGGTCTTCAGGTTCCGGTGCAGTCCGTACCGATGCAGCTCCGCGTAGAGATGCGGCTGATTCCAGTGCACCCAGGTGCCTCCCATTTCGATCTCCTCCCCGAGCACTCGGGCCGTCCATGTGCGCCCGCCGATGCGATCGCGGGCTTCCACCAGGAGAACTGCCAGACCGTGCTTCTGACTCAGGTCGCGGGCTGCGGTGAGGCCCGCGAACCCAGCGCCGATGACGATCACGTCATAGCGGTCGCGGAGGGTCGGGGAGCTTGGTTGCACTGCATCCGTGGGCAGGCCAGAGGTGGTTTCGGTGGGAGTCCATAGGAAGCCCTCTTTTGAGCGAGACATATTGCGAGTGTTGTTGATAATACGGAGAAGCGCTTTCCAAGGCATAGAACCAAAGATCCGGCGTCGCTAAATAGTGTCATAAGAAAAGGATTGGTGACCGTGTCATGCCATTCCATAGAGCACTTCGGCGCCCGCGCATCCCGAAAGCATCTCGAGATGATACTGACTTGCAAATTGTTATCGTTCAGCTGAATATACCTCGTACTCCCAATGTGTGCACGTTGATCGCGCTGCGGGTGACGCGAGAGAGTCCAACGCACTTTTTTGCCGGATCCGGTAAGGCTAGCTCAGAACCCTAGGGTGGAGTAGAGTCGCAGATCAAGAAAAGCATGTGGAACATCTTAACCTGCGTATCTCTGAGAATCCTTTATATAGTGCCCAGTGATAAGGAACTATGTTGACACATACGCCTTACCATAAATTGTTGCGATTACATTCAGCCTTGCTGGTCTATCAAGATGTTGATTGCCCCATCGTACACTGTACAAGTCATAGTGTTTGAGGATAGCCGATACTTCTCCGTCAGCAGAGGATCATTGATTGTTTCTGTGATACATGATAATGGATGTACAATTCATTCTAAGACTTGGATACATGGCACTCCCCAGTTTACTCAGAGTTTAGCCGGCAAACGCCCCCCACACTTCCACGCCACCCCGTAACTATCCGAGGAAAAGGTGATGGTGCTGCCTCGAGGGAAGAAGAAGGTATCGCCCGGTCTGACGGTGGCGGTCTGCCCAGTTTCATCACGAAGGTTGATCTCTCCTACAGAATGGTTCCAATCAGCTAACCT